TCGTTTTGTTTTTCTTAGTCGAAAGGAAAGGACGTACGTTTCAACCAAGGTCATGTTAAATTGACATTTTTAATCATTTCTTATAATTGTTTGCGCAGAGGGCTTAGAGGGTGAAGCGTGTTTTTAACAAATAATATTCTGTCATACCCAAATAATTTTCCAATTTTTTAAGATGTTTTGATTTTTTCTGCCGTTACATAGGATTACACTGACATAGTCCTGTGGTACCTCGATTTAAACAAAATTAATTTAACTTTAAGCCTATAGACTCAGTTTTGAATCCATTCTTAAAACTGACCAGTGCGCAAAGAGTGTAAAATCTGGAAACAAAGTGATTCCTCAGAAGCATTAATTACAACAAAACTACATAAAAAGTGGAGACTCGGTTTGATTGAGTCTGTATATGAGGGATAATAAATAAATGCAACATCCCTCACGCCCCATTGCACAGACTTGAGTGGAACTCTATTCCCAACACTAAATAGTGTTGAGGTCAATGATCCCAAAGGACCAGTACAACAACACCGAAGTGAAGTATGGAGCAACTTTTCACAGCTGCCACAAAGCACTTGACACCTGCTTTTGTGGAGTATAAAAACTGGAAACTAAGTCATCCCTCGGAAGCATTAATCACAACAAAATTACATGAACATTGCAGACTCGGTTTGATTTAGTCTGTACATGAGGGATAGTGCAACATCCCCCCCCCCAGCACCAGCTTGAGCAGTAGTCAATTCTGAACACTTAATAGTGTTGCCATTAATGTTTCTTGCTAAAGGAAACAATGACTTACTCCTGACGGGGTTTGAATCTTTGAGGCTAGCGATCATTAGATATCTAGTCCGACGTGATAACCACTCGGCCATAACGCAACGTATTTACAATCTTTTGCGAGAATGCTTTGTTTTTGATTTCTCTTTCTCCTTTTCACATCTTTTCTACATATATATATGAATTTTCTTTCACCAACGCAATGTACTAAATCTCCTTGAGTTAATAGTATCAACAAATAACTTGTGATACTAAAGTAGATAGACAGTGCAGAATAAGTTCAATCACCTAACAATCAATCAACTAAATTGACAATCTTTATATAAATATGTATTTTTTATGATCAATTGTCTTTAAAATAGAGAAATACAGAATCCCTAAAGAAAGTCCAACACGACAAAATTGAAAATGTTGCAGACTCGATTTGATTGAGCCTGTTCATGGACGGTACTGGAAAGTGCTAAGTTTAAAATTTAACCCCGTTTTTACACACAACCCCGCCCCCAACTAGCACCGGCTTAAGCAATTAATGCAGAATTTCACTTCTTCACACAAATGGAATTTGAATTAGACATTCCGCAATGTGTCAATACGTCGGTTATCCTGGAACCTTCAATGTGACACTACCGTGCCATTCCATGAAAAGCGGCGTATGGTCCCCAAGTAAAAGAATGCGTGTGCAATAAACGAGAAAACAATGGGCGGAACTAAATAAAATGGAATTTTGAAAGGGGGCCTTAGGTTATGAAGCCTGCATATCACAGATAAGACGTCAAAGACAAATTAAAAAGCAGGCAACATATCCTAAGGGTGATTATACAGTATTCAAGTGGGAATACTGGAACCACCAAAGTTGAAAATGGCCAAAAAGTAGGAACTAAAAGTACCACATGACATGTATACACAACAAAACTGTCGTGCTGAACGATCTTAAATATAACATTATTGATTAAATGTACGGGGAGACTTTTTACAGCCGCAACACGGCACAAATAACACGGATGTGACATAAAATAGAGAAATACAGAATCCCAAAAGAAAGTCCAACACGACAAAATTGAAAATGCTGCTGACTCGGTTTGATTGAGCCTGTTCATGGACGGTACTACCTTATTTCGTTCTGCTCGGCCTTCTTCTATCGGAGACAAGTTTGTCATGGAAGGGAATTTAGAAAAATTGGAAATACATAATTTGTAATCAAAAGTACTATTTACAACCATAAATTACGTAATCAAGTGCATAACATTTCAATTATGAAAACCAGATCAACAAGAAAGGGCGGTGTTTAATAAACGCAGTCTCCTCAATACACAGCAGCACAGGACCACTTCCAAGGTGTCAAAAAGAACCCTAACAAAAATAGGGCATGGCACTGGGCAAAGTACGAGCGAGACGATTACTTTAACAAGAAAACAACAAAAACAACAAGGAAATTATAGACGATTTTTTTATTAATTAATATGCCTTAATTGAAAACAAAACAGGAGCAAAAGGAAAAGTACTTAACGTAGACGAAAATAAATCAAGTAGGGACAGAAAAGTGACAACATGATAGTATGAAACAACAATTCATTAATCTGAGGAGCTCAGAGGGAACAGTCAGCATCATAAGTACTGCTTGAGAGTTGAAACCGGTTGATGGTGCACCAAATCTCACTATTAGCTATGTGTAATTGAAAACTACTAAAACTTGATCAGAGAATAAAAGCGACCTAATATTTTACATCTTTACGCTTATAGTGACCAGTTTTGATTATCAGCATTTCGTGTATAATTTGTTACGCATATAAAGTTTGCTCTATATTAACAATGGTTATACAGACAGTAGAAAGATAAAAATGCTCGGAGAGAACGCAGGTAATTTAAGTACTTGTTGATTTTATATTCACTCATATTTTCTTTGTTCAATTTAAACGTATTGATTCCAACACTTTTAAATGTTGAAAATTCAGAAACGCTTAAACCGGTGTAAGGGGGCGTGATAGATGTTTCACTTTCTTTCATTATCTCTCATGCACAGACTCAATGAAACCGAGTCTGTAATTTCCATGTTATTTTGTTCCGAATTATACTTTCGAAGTGGCATGATAATCACATCATAATGTTAAACATATATTATAATACTATTTCGTTAGGTAATTATATCTCTTTGAACAAGATTATAATTACATTAAAAATAACGGTGCTTTGTGTCATGTCTAAAATTGATAAATTTCATATATACCATGTATATCATGCATTTACGTATATAAGTGTCTTTTTTAAGGTTTACTTGCGTTTGTGACACTACTAGCGACTTGTGTATGCAATACTTCAGGATCTAAAGGTCAATATTTTGTTCATTTTTATGACAAATATATTGGAAACATATTGCAACAAATTCTTTTTATGTACATAATCAATTCATATCAATTATTTTGATGTATCTGTGTATCTCTAAAATCTTAGAGGTGTTAAACTTGAACTACGTTTTAATCTCTTTATAAGTGATATAATTTTATGACGTTTATTTTAAATACTGCGAAATTAAGATATTTCAAGTTATACTGAACCGTTTACTTAATATGACATTATTTCCATCTGAGTCTAAAGTCACAGGTATAAATCAAAATATCTTTACATCTTGATCACATGCTTTCAGTTGTATAGTTTATGACGCAGAAGTACAAAAATCACCGTGACACACAGAATTTTCTATAAATATCGCTCGGAATGTACCGGTGATTCGGTTTTCAAAATGAACGCGACAGTATTTTAATAATTCAAGTAGTTTCATACTTCATCCAAACATTTTCATTATCATTTTTTGTTAGTCAGAATTATTATAGTCAAAACTAAAAGTTTCACTTGCTTGTACTGAGTAAAAATAACACTGATATGTTCAATTAATGCTGATATAATGGATCATGTAAGGTATGGAAATTTGAATTTATTAAAATCCTACCACAGCGTGAGAATAATAAATTCCTTTTGTTGCAGATGACTCTCTGGCACCTGATAAACGATTTTTACTGGATGGAAATGATGTCACTTGCAAGTTCCTTTCTTATATATTTCTTAACAAAACTCACTTTTATTCCATTTCTAAGAGATACATTATGATTCTCAATTCATCAACTAATTGCAACCATTTATATTTTCTAAACTTTATTGAACAAAGTCATACTATTTAAATACGTATGTTTTTATTTACCAATCTACAATGCTTACAATTTGATAAGCAATACATTAAGATAAAGAAAAAATGAATCCATAAAGAACGTCGAAAACGGTTAAATAATTGAAAATGTTGCGGATAACGAAAATGTTTTAATTTCAACTGTTATTTATTTATTTCAGCAAATATTTCATTAGAACAGTTTGCATCGTGTTATCTTACTTGCACACCAACATATGGAAAACTGTTGGAAACATGTTGTAAATCAGGCCTCAGTGTAGTCTGTTCAAATCTTCCATGGGATATTTTGAAGCCGAAACTAGGGTCCTGTCCAGGTACTTGTGTTTCTTCCATCTGTTCTGTTTATGTTTATGATCATATCGCTTTAGTCGTTTTTATGTTGTATTTAATTTTCCTATCACATTATTATGATGATTTTTGATAAACAATTAAAGTTCATCATTTTTGTTACAATACATTAAAAAAATGAATTCATTGTGTTAAAGTAAAAATCTGAAAAATAAACGAAATATTGTAGCATTACATGATTAATGAAATTTTGCAACATTTTCTTTTGTTACAGTCTGCAGATTGTCATTTTTACACTTACCAGTCTTTTGTGCTTTGCATGTTATACACATACAACAATAATGGTTAAAACTTTTTACCGAATATAGTTCCTTGTTATATTTTTCTTTACTTCAGAATTATTAAAAAGTCCAGCCTCTTCAGGTATATGTATAGATTTTTACAAGGCAGACAAGGTAACGATTTTTATTTCAAAAGTCGGGCTCATATGCAGATATAATGCTATAGTATTGAGCCTTATAGTTAAGCATGATTTTCTACAAAATAATATAGAAATGTATATTACGTAGACATTCTTTAAAAAAATCAATGAAGGAGAATAGTAAAAAGCTTGATGAGTTGTGGTAATATTTCTAAACTTTTTTGAAAAGGATTGATCGAGGAGACATTTGTAAGCCTGAAACTAAAAGTATATATATAAATAAGATATAATTTACGGTTAGTTTTCGTTTCAATTCCTATTAAAAACGTATATCTATTTCAGCATGGTTGTCCCTGGAACAGTTTGCTGCATGCTTTCTCACTTGTGTTGTTGGTTTCGAAAAACTTACAGAGGCATGCTGCCAAACTGGATTAGATGCTATTTGTACAAATTTGCCATGGGAAATATTACAATCTCAATTAGGATCATGCCGATGTAGTTACTTGTCAACTGTATTAAGATTAACAATGCAACTTCTTTTGTATAGCTATTGACAAAAGTATTTAAAATAATTAAGACTATAAATGTAAGATTTTTCGATAGAATTTTGCACACTTTGTTTTAATTGTTTTTAATAAAAAAGATATTAATTTGAAAAACATAGATATAAAGCAAATATTCCAAAGGAAAGTGAATGTATCGTTACTATTTTAAAAACTTTTTTACAACAAATTTAAATCCAACAGCTGACCTGTCAACAAAACCAAGTACCCTGCCTCAACCTTTCTGGTCGTCTTGGGGAACGTGGACATGTGGACATCAAGGTTCGATCTGCTTTCAGACTCGGGAAAGAAATTGTTCAACGGGAGTAGACAAAGATTGCGAATTTCAGCCTGGTGAAATGCCGACCAACGTAAGACTTTGCTCGGAATCTACATGTCCAGGTTTTCAATTTTTTCTTAAGTCTCTATGCAGTCTGATGCAAATGTAATTGAATATGAAACTTGATAAATTGCGACTTAAAGGTCCCTAAATATAAATACATTTATTGTTTGGTATATGATAACTTAATGTGTATACCAATTTGTAGATTTTATGAATATTGAAAAAAGCAGACTGGCAATGATAAACGTTATTACACACACTATGTAGCATTATAAACAAAATACACAACTCCGAAAAACATTACAACTCATGTATTGCACCAAACTTTACTAATGTGCGTCTGTTTAGGGGAATAAACATTTCCACAAGACAGTTAATATTCAAAATCGCGCAATGAGATATTTAATGGGCGTTCTAGATTCACACCTATACTTGCCATGCTTGGCGTCAAAGAATGGTTACCAAACCGTTACCGAACATGGTCCTCTACGCTACGCCTCTGGAATCGATTTTTGTGTATGGATAATACCGTACTAGACTGACATACAAACTGTTTGAAACATACTATAGAAAGTGCTCAAAAAATCGGTACGGTGATTTAAAAACAGTAATGTACACACTGGGATTTACTGATATTTTGACACTTATCCCCTGTTAATCTTTTTCAAGCAAAATGTCTCATTAATAGTCATTATTCAAACATATGGGCTCGAGTTTTTTTTTAAACTAACCACAACTAAGAACATACAGACTATTCAAAAGGAAATTTAAAACTGAGGAATATTTATTATTAAACTTTGAAAGATAATCTTTCGTTCAATCCAGGACTGGCATTTTACCTTTACGGATTGAGATATGTCGATATGTCGGCAAGCCGACTGTCCGGAGTCATGGAAACAAAGACACACTTCTTTCTAGAATCCAGTTTATATTCAAATTTTAGAAGTACTGTATTTGACAATTTATTAACAGACAATTCATTATTTAACCGAATGACCGAACATAAACTTGAACACTTAATGACAAAATATCCACGTAAAGTGTCAAAATATATTGTTGCTGCCCATATGTGTAAGCGAAACCGACTTTACAAAACAAAGGACTGTCGTATCCCAAAATAATGATAATGATAAATATGATAAATGAAAAATAAAACCGCAACTCTCCATAAGCTCCATATAGAGTGTTTATCGTGTGTAGCCTTTTTGTAATTTTGTTTACGCATTACACTTTATACATTGATTTCTACATTCTATGTTTTATATGATGCACTTTGAAATCATTACATTGGTGACTTATAGGCCTATTGTGCCTTGTGCTATACTTGTACACATATATGAGTGTTAATTGTACTTGACTATGCACATGTTACAATAATAAACATTTAACTTACGTATTTACTTTATAATAACAAATTAAGTATGTTTACAAAACAAAAAAAATATATACAGTGTATGGTCCCTAACATATAACAATCCATATGGTCCCCAACATATAACAGTCCATATTTTTGCCTATTGCATTTTCATTATATTTAAAGATATACAATGCTCATTTTGTGTGAAATATTCTAATATTTTATATATAATTATTACAGAATATGCCTAATTGGAATAAAAGAATGAAAGCTTTGTTGTCAAGTAAAATAGGTATTTTTCTTACAAAAGCTAACCTGTTCTTTAAGTAAAAATTTGTAGTCATAGTGTGACCACCTAAAGTGTGTAGCGTTTTAAGCATAACCTATCTACTTTATGTAAAGCCAGCACATGTTTATTATATATTTACAAAAAAAAAGCGTGTAGCAATAATCAATATTTCAATTATCAAATTTGAGCATTGTAGATCTTTAAAATCTGCAAATGAATTGTTGTTAATCAGATATTTGCCATAGATTGTCAAATAAATGAAATTTCCTTGTTGTTATTCCTGGTCTATCCAGATTCATTTGGCATACTTAGGCTTGCTTCCTAAGATGAACTGTGATAAACGATAATATTGAGGTTATTTTGATCGGCATTTGTCAGAATTGTGTAACTTGTATCATTATAAGAAGTGCCATAATGTACCTCAGATTATTAAAATCAATCTTTTAAGTGATTTGTAGCGAATTCAATGAATTTGCCTTTCATACTATCTCTATCAAAAAACAGTAAAACACAATTATGTAAAATCTTGAACCTTGATAGAGGTTAATCTATCTAAGCACTGTGTGCCTTCTTCCTTTCTTTTTAGATTTCTTCTCAACAAAAGTTACAAGCACTACAGCTTCGACAACGCCAGGTAAAATGAAACTAATTTTATCGTTTTATAAGTGTAACTGACGCTATGATAACGAATAATAAAGTTCGAACAACGTACTTCATTAATATGTCGGTTCTTAGATATTCCGATTCAAAGCGCAACAATTGACAGATATAATTTAATCTTTACATATATCGAGAGACACGTATGACCGTGGTCAAACAATTATGATCCGACGGAGAAATTTTATTTTCTGTGTTAAATTTCTTACAAAATCAAATGTATAAACGTTGAACCAATTCGAATATTGAACCTGAAAAAATAAAAGCGTTAATGAGCAATAATGTATAAAATATTAAATGATATCTGACAACCTTTTCTCACCTCCGACTCATTTACACTGTTGCAAACACTCGCAATGCTGGCATAACAGAAATGACAACGTTAACGTCTGTTAACGTCATTTTATTACGTTGAAGGTCTTTGTCGCATGTCGGCGTTCAATTACTTTAATTTTGATACAGCTGTTGGCTCATAACCAGCAAGAAACTTTTATTTATGATACGTGGTGAACTAAACGTCCGTTGGTGTTCTTAGGTCATCTTAGGTTTAACCGCCATATGAACACATCTGCGGATGTTTCAAAATTCTAAATTTAACCAGTTTATTTTAAATGTTGAATACTGCTTAAGCAGGTGCTAGGGGCGTGGACGGTACCTTGCACTTACCAGTACCGTCCATGAACAGGCTCAATCAAACCTAGCCTGCAACATTTTCAATTTTACCGTGTTGGGATCGCTCAAAAGATTCTAATTTCTCTCTCTATTATAGGTAATTATTCAAAATTGATTTTGTTAATGCAGTATCAAAATAATTATGTATATTTCTCTTTTTGTAAAATACCATATATCAGATATAATTTCTTTCTTACAATACATTTATTGGTATGTGAAGTAACAATTATATTTTTTTCTATTTACAAAAAGCGACTCATCCTAATCACTGTTTGAGTTGCTCAGATGTTGTGCATCCCTCTGATTGCACATATCAGGTCCTATGTTATCCAGGGGAGGTAAGAATGATTTGAGTACGTAATGTAAAAATTAAAAGAAAGCCAGATTTGGTATGTTTTAAATATAGCTTTTCTCCTGATTCAACTATATGTTGTGCTAATTTGTTGACAGTCATATTAGTTGTGCGTTTAGAAATTCAATGATAATTTACTTCGCAACAGCACGTGTCAAGTGTTGTGTGGCAGCTGCAAAAAGTTGAAACGTTCTTCACGTCCGTCAGTGTTGTTATATTTTTTCTGATTTTTCGGGATTATTGATGCCAGCACTGTAAGTGTTGAGATTGAGTACCGCTCAAGCCGGTGTTTGGGAGCTTGAGGGATGTTGTAAGTATTCATTAACACTCATGTTCAGACAATCGCACGGAGTCTGCAATTGTCATGTTATTTTGTTGTGATTTATGCTTCGAGGTGTCACTTTGTTTCCAGATTTTATATCTGAGAAAAGTACATGAAAGAATAAAGGAAAGTATTATTTGCCTTGAGCCATTCTAGCCTGGCCCTCGTTGAAATGGCAGTTTTCTACACTTCACATAATTTGATCCGAAGGATAAAAATAATGAGAAGAATTGAGGAATCGTTAAACAAATATCTCTTTAGCATTAATTTTTATACTACTAAAATCAGACAAACAATTTCAGGAGAACAAAGAGATGTAAATAATCAGGCTGGTCAGCTGATAAAATTGCCATAAGAACTGTTCTTATTTTACAATGAATGTAATGATTCATTAACCCCTGTGTTATTGTGAGTTATCTTCTTTTTTTAAAGCTGTGTTACACGGAGTATATCAACTTGAATGGTGCAGATAGATACAGAATGGGATGTATCGCAAGCACAGTAAGAAATTATCATTTAACTTTCATAAATTATGATGCGCCTTTTTGTGCTATTGGTGTCACTTTGTACTTTTTATTGTTGAGGCAGCGTTCTGTGAAGTTTAATAGCTGTGTTACATAGACATTATCATAAAGCCTCTCCTACTGTAATGCTTTCCTTCCAGAAAATTCTAACATCGGCCAATATCCTAATGAATCAGTCATTTCCGGAACGATATTTTTCACAAAGTTGGAACTAAATCATTTTCAACCGTTTACAACCGGAATCTGTGCATAGCGATAAAGGATAAGTGATCGTTCTAAGATTTTGAAAAACTAACGTTCGGAAAATAACAGATTTTCTACGATATTGGCCGACGGTTAGATTTTTTTGGAGGAAAATCTTTACAGTGAGATTATATTAAATTCTATAATAAGCGTTATGCCTTTTTCTCTTTTAAGTGCTATAAGTGTCCTCTTGGATGTAGTTGATTTTTGATATTGTAGGGGGTGCGTTCTATGAGGCTTCTCTAAATTTCTGTGATAGCAATATTAATGGAAACATAAATAAATTAACACTTATGGTATTTTCACAGGTATATTCAATTACAAACCATCCGTTGTTTGTATGTTTATTGGTTCGTTCGTTTGTTTGTTTGTTTGTTTGTTTGGTTGGTTGGTTGATTGGTTGTTTCGTTTGTTATGGTTGTTATTGTTTCTATAAAGAAATGACCAACTGTGAAAAGGCTTCAAGTGTACACGTTACACCTGGACTTAAAAAAGGAAAACATCAAAAAATATTTTTCTCACCGTTTTGCAAAAAACGTTTGATATTCCAATTAACCTGCCGGTTTGCTTCCGAAAAGAATGTAGCATACTATTTAACGTTTTAAGATATCACTTTTTAAGTTTGATTATTTCAGGCAGGGACGGGCACCCGATAGATGGTTCCAATATTCCTTCTTGGAAAATGTTGAATCATCCTTAGGATATGTTGCCTCCATTTTATTTTTGTGTTTTGACGTCTTATCTGTGATACCCAGGCTTCATAACCTCTGATCCCCTTTTAACCTTCATTAGTTTACGTCCGCCATTTAGAGCACCCGCTTTCTATTACCATACACCACTTTTCGTGGAATGGCACGGAAGTGTCACATTGAAGTTTGCATGATAACCGCCGTATAAACACATCTGTAGATGTTTCTAAATTCGTTTAAATGATGAACTCTGCATAAGCCGGTGTTTCGGGCTTGGACGGAAGTTTGCACTTGACATTACAGCCCATGTAAAGGCTCAATCAAACCGAGCTTGCAACATTTTCAATTTTGCCGTTTTGAACGTTCTTCAGGGATTCTTATGTTCTCTAATTTAGACTGTTCTACGACAAAGAAGCAAAATAGTATTACCCATTTATCATATGCAAAAGCACATGAATGTTTATTTATAATTTAACAATGATGTGAGAAAACATAATTACACAAAAAGCTGCTTGAAATAACAATTTGTTTACGTTTATTTACAAATTATACATTTCACTTATACGTAGCAAAACTTTTGAAACTTCTATGTTTGTAAAGTCGCTTCTTATACTTTAGTATACATGTATTTTGTAACAAGATACAAATCATGTTTTAAGTGCAATGTATAATTGTATAAAATATAACTATCCACTATTTGTGGAAAGCACTCATTATAACTGCGTGTTTACTTTTTCCTCCAACAATAAAAAAATGTGTTTTAAATTCAGGCATGTGCCAAAACAATTGCTCAACCGAGCTTAGTCGGAAAGAAAAGATTTGTAGCAGACGATCAAATTGGGATGGAAAAATACTGCAGCAAATGCTGCCAGGATTCCGTTGGTAACTGTAACCGAGAACTCTGTGGCATGTCTAGTAACATATCTTCAGGTAACAGACAATAAATTTAATATATTTATCACATACCTTTAATCACTGTGCGACTGCTTGGTCATTTAGGTGGTTGCATTCATTGAACGCCACCTTTCCTTATTTATCTAGTTGTCATGTTTCGTAAATATGGTATTTCACGACCGTGCATAATATTTTCATGTGTTTAACAAACTAAGTGTAAAGTGTAAAGACGCGCTTGATGGTAACAATACACTATAGGCGCGTCAGTTAAAGAGGATTCATGTGCATTTGCAAAAGACTTTATTTTGGTATGCGATAAATCGCGCATTATATTTGTGTTTGTTCATTACTGAATGTATTAAACTCGTTAAATAAAATAATATCATACTGGCCATAGGTTCGCATAATATAATTCTGTTTTACTCGGTCAATAAACTTGTAAACTGATTCAATATCCCTTATTCGAGCAAATTATTGAAGACCAGCTTTAAAGCTGCACGCCTCCAGGTTCGTGTTAATTTTCATAAACATTTTGGAAATGTATTTAAAAGTAATATAATGTGAGGTGAACAAATAAAGTAATTTACATATTGCAATCGGCACTTACAATCCATGAAAATTACCAAAATGAGGTCAACACATTCAAAAACAGACTTTACTGCTTTAGTAGCGCAGTAGAAATATGGTGATAAAATACTGCAAAATCAGTCTAAAACCCAATATAACATGGAAAATATAACTTGGATATTGAATGTTTTTACCGCCCTTGAAAGTTTAGTGCATTTTTCTCAATATTGATTTTCTTGAAATATTTTGGCTCATCTGGAGGCATGGAGCTTTAAGGGGGCGTAGTTTTGACATGAAAGAAAAAATGCACAAAAGGGAGAGGTACTGTTATTTACATAGTCCCTAACTTTTAAATAATACTGACTAAGATTAAAAGATCAAGATCAAAATCATGATCAAATTAAAAAAGAATATTTCACATAAACAATATCTAATATTGATTTCATAAAACTTGACTTAGAATAACATAACTATAGTGTTTAAGGATTATACAACATATGTACATTCTACAGTTGATCGAAATATTGATCTTGATCCTAAAAGTGATCATTATTTTCATCCAATTATTATTTATTATCTTTTAATCGTATTTTATCCCGAAATAAGGTTGTTTCTTTGCAAATTAGAATTTTTTACAGTTTATTTAATATACCGTTCATTTCTAGTAAAATTTTTGTGTTTAAATTGATTTATTTGATCGTTTTCCATACCTTGATCTTTTCTAAGTGAACACGGGGGTAGCTAACTAGCTATTCCTGAAGTTACTATGTTGCTGATTATTGAACATTACATTGAAATTTTTTACAGGAGTTGATGTATTTGAGCTGATCACACCTCCGAAAAGACATGACTTCTGCGGTGATTTATTCCCAGCAACATGCCAAATTGTGATTCTACAGTCGCCAGAGCTTTGCAAAGACCCCAGATACTCATATTATGCATGTAGAGAATTCTGCGGCACGTGTGGTAAATGATCAAACAATTTTCCTCACTCGTTTGCTTTTATAAATGTGGCGAATGATTTCTTACTGATTAATTTAAAAAAACTCTGACATAATTTCTATAATACTTCATGATTTGATCTTCTAATTTAATTTTATTTATTAAGAATGAAATATTTATTACTACGAGGAACAGTTCACAGTTAATAGTTGTACTGCATACTCATAATATTCGTGAGACACTTCTTTTCTGTCAGTCAACTAATTTAGGATCCAACGAATTTGTTTCTCTGCTGTGATGTTATTTATGTTTCCTATTATTTGCAATTTGCTTATTTCAAAAACAGACAATCCAAAATTAAGACCCCTCAAAAAAGTTCAATTTGTCAAAGCCACGAAATTTCCTGCCCGCAAAATCAATTAAGTGAATTCACTTAGTTTACTATGTTTTCCTACTAAAACTAACTATGTCTATTTAATTTGTGTTTAACAGTCAATCCAGGTCATAATACAGGTAAACCGCCAACAACCGTCCAGAGTGGTAATACAGGTATAAAAGCTTTGTATTTGTCCTCAAAGGTTTAAAAACATGTTTGAAACTAGTTTATTTATTCTTAACTTGAACGTTTCGTATAAAATGCATATGAGTAAATTGAATCATTCCTTAAAAATGTTTTCTTCTTTTTAATATTTGTTGTTTCTTTTCGATTTGCAGTAAGTTTTTGTCCAGAAAACTCAAGCCTACCTTCCTTGTTTTTTTTCACCAGAACATACAAGTGTCAGTAGTTGTTTTGAGCTCACAGCTTTACAATTCGAAATTAGAGAAAAGAGCATATTTCAATTTTTGTTTTTCTTTTTTTTTATATTTTTATTCATATTTGTCTTAATCAATCGATACTTTAAGGTCGTTAACATATTTGTTTTATTTCTTAATATGAAAGCATAAAAATGCAAAAGTAACTTTTTGTGAATCTTATGACCTTTGAAAATTCTTATTCATCAATAAGTCGCCAATTTTATTTCCAGAAACATAAACTAGCCTTGTTGCATTATGGTAGATATATATACCAATATCTCTGGTTAGGTATATTTTGTAGCTAGGGTACTATCAAGCTATCAAACTAAATTGTTTGTTACGTATATTTGGCTACGTTTGAAGATTTCTAGTGGATAGGCCGTCAACTGGTTGTTTTTAACAAATATTTTAAAGAACGGGTCTACATCTTCTAAGGTCATTAAAAGATTAGCAACAGTAATGATTTTAATACATATTATATATAAAGTGTACTGTCCTGGTAATGCCATTAACTGTGATAGCTTTACACTTATTGATATACATGCCACAAACTACAATTCAATACAATATTTTCAATTTGTATATGTTAACAGTGACACTTGTATTGCCGACAAGTATTTATAACCAAAAACATAAATAAAAACTGTAAAAACTTTTATCAGAAATCGTTAACTATAAGCCAATTTAGTTTCCTTTATTACAGGTTTGCCTGTGACCACACAAACTATATCAATGCAAAATCTACCCCGAACTGGTAAGGGCAATACTTATATGTTATATAAGAGATCGCACAAGTACACAAAGCACGGTAAAAAATAAATTCTGCAAACATTGTTTAATTTAGCCTATATAAAACTTAGGCTATACAGCATTAAAACCAACAACGCATAAACGTGGTTTATTAAAATGTTCGTGGACTCTTGCTGTCTTTTGTATTTTGTCCCATAAAACAAACTTTGTTGATATTAATGGAAAAGGCATCTTTATTTCTAAAAGTAAGTTCAATTTTGCCGTTTTGGACTTTCATTTTGGGATTCTTATTTTCTCTATTTTATCGCCACATCAGCGTTGTTTGTGCCATGTGGAGGCTGTAAAATGTTACCCCGTAGATTCAATCTGAGATGTTATATTTCCGATCCTTTAAAATCGTTCAACACGACACTAATGTTATGTTTGTGGTGGTATTTTGTAGTTTCAACTATTTGCCTTTTTCGATTTAGGAGGTTCTCAAATTCCTACTTAAATAATGTTGAATAACCCTTGGGATATATTGACTGCTTTTTTACTTGAATTATTAAGTCTTATCTGTGAGATCTAGAGTTCATAACATCTGGTCCCCTTTCAAAATCCCATTTTATTTAGTTCTGCCCATTATTTCCTCGTTTAGGGCTCACACTTTATATAACGTTGGGACACAAAGCCTTTTTTAATGGAATAGCACAGACGTGTCACGTTGAAGGTTCCATGATAACCGCCGTATGAACACATCTGTGGATATTTCTAAATCAAAAAAATTGCCATTTCATTTCAAAATGTAGAATTATGCTAAAGCCGGAAATATTTCAATGTCTCTTTAAAAAATCCACATCAACGCACAGTTTTCATAACAATATTTATGTGCCTATGACACTTGGCAATACAATTCTACCGCAGAAACGACGTTGTCACTTTGTTTAAATATAACCACTTAAAAAGAAATGCATCTTGAGATTCAGATGGGTAAATATTAAACTAATTTAAAACCACGGCCAAAAGTTTTAACAAACGTGCAAGATGGGCAGTCACATCAGCATATTTACTTACAGTAGATTTGTACTTAATTACTCTGTGGCTTATATCAACATTTACTTTTAGATTGCTTCTACGACAGTACACGCTATATGGGTGGATATTCAACATCTGTATCCGGAAAACCCTGTTTGAGTTGGTCTCACGTAGATCCAACACTAACAGGTTTTCCCGACGGTTCAATATCTGCTGCTTCTAACAAATGCCGGGATCCAGACAGTAAGTTTACTTTTCTTGTCAGTGTATTGTGTGTAAAAGTTTTGACGAGTTAACACATTTTTTTTCTTTTGAAAAGGATTTGTATTTTGTCGCGATTAATGATTGCATATGTAATATTAAAGAAGTTGTAGAAAAAGTGTAGGTCGCATACTTAACTTTGCAGTTGCTAATTTTTAGAAAGAATTGCATTGCCTTATTTATTTATTTTTTAATAGTATTTAATTTGACCGAATAATACATGTACAGGATACTTACATACACTGCTCCCCACCCCGCAAAAAGAGAACGGTTTACAATAAGCAAGGGTAATATTTGTTGTCGCGCCTTTAGAGTATTGTTTACGATAGTGCGCTTTTTACTGTGTTTGTATAATGCACAACCGTCACGCTGCATTGTTATTATACAAGGGCATTATATGTTTTATTTATATAAATGGCTTTCTCACAATTATTAATCCTGTTCTGATTAAATGTGAGACTTACTAAAACAGCTATTTTTACATATCAATTAATTCTTGGTCGATTACAATAAGGATATGCGATGAAAATAATGGGAATTCTGATATAAAAGAAAAAAATGAAGTTTACTTAATGTTTCCTTGCATATCAGATAATCTTCTGCAATAAAACTTCTAATTCAACACACGATGGTTTCAGCTTTCTGTTTGATAAAATGTCGTTATAAAATATTTTGATGTATTCGTTTACATGAAAATAAGCAGTTTTTTACTATAATTATGTGTACATTCCTTGCTTTTAACGTTTTGAATTTATTTTGTACTTAAAAAAAATCAAAATTTAGAACTATAGATACTTTTCTCGAAAATATTCGGCCAGTGTAATTGTATGGCAACTGTAGTTTTTGTTGTTAATTCCTGTTTATTCTCAGGGTTTATGGCCTTTCTAAAAATAGAAATGATAACATCATTGTCCGTTCTTTTTCATATAAAAATAACGGTTCTTAGGTCAGTCACTTGAACACATTTTGTCACACTTTTGTCTTTTCGTTCCAGATCGAGGTTTTCCATGGTGCTACACATCAGATACCTTTGATTGGGAGTTTTGTCCAGTTCCTTTTTGTCAGGGTCAGTTGTATACTCAAGCATATTGAGTCTGCGAAAGTCATTTATAATTTTTTATCTTCGCCATTACTTTTCGGAGGGAATTACGCCTATAACTCTCATAAAATAGTTGTAGCGCTGTACAATAAGTCGTAAAAAGTAACATCATTTCTGTATCAACTTTCAAATTACATACATATAAACGATATGTTAGTAATGTATTGGAATATAGAAATATGCAATTTTATACGAGGATCTTACAGAAAATATGTAATATAATGTTCTTAATCCGATTAAAATTAGATTGATAGATGAAATTATAAAAATAAATATCTGTATTTCTAAACAATGAAATTGTATAAAAGTGGACACACTTCTTACCCATAACAATTGCAGTGTACATAATCATTTACACAAGCAAGGTAATTCTTATTTTTTTAATTTTTCCCTGAGTTAATTATGGTCTACCTTAATATGATAATGATTCAAGTAAGTTTACTTATACTGAATAACTTTAACAAAACGGGGAATATTGAAGCTTCTAAACACTAAAACCATGATAAATGCACACTATTTTGATACACAAAAACAAATACCATGCCAAATGTTACATTAACAATATTTTACTACATATCAAGACCGAAATCAAAAGCCATAAGAATTGTTTTTGATGGGGTTCGTATGGCACTGGAATACAATTTTTATGAATTCATACGAACCATGAATATATTACAATGATCTCAATTACGTGCAAGATATGTGCAGCAAATATACATGTATACAGAAATAAAAATCATTCATATATTTCACAACATTCCTAATTGTGAGAAATCTAATCTTAAACTTTCAAATCTATTCATTGCAAGGTGTCTTCAAGAAACCTCCTTTCAAGCAAAATTTAAGAAATCAGGTATACATCACAACAGCAGGTGTCAAGTGAAATGTGGCAGCCGTTAAATGTTGCCCGTGTTTCTTTTCAGTGTTGTCATATTTTTCTAGTCCTTCGGAATCATTGAGTCCAACACTGAAGTGTTGAGAATTGAGTACCGCTCAGGCAGGTGCTTGGAGAGCGGGGCGTGAGGGATGTTGCACTTTTTTATTATCCCTCATGTACACACTCAATCAAACTGAGTCCGCAATGTTCATGTAATTTTGCTGTTTTTAAGGCTTCCAGATATCTATATCCGTACTAACATATATATTTGTTTTCCATCTTAATGTTATATTTACAATTTTAGAATGTTTCTATGCCAATCAAAGCCAAAAATATGACGGATTTGTCCATGTTGATAAGAAAAACAATACATGCAAACCCTGGACAAATTATGTTGCACATACTGGAGACACTAACGTCAACTTTCCAAACAACTCTGTAGCGGATGCTAAAAACTATTGTCGTGATCCCAAAAACTCCGGAACACCTCAATGCTATAACGGTATTGATTTAAAGGCGTGTGATGTAGCACAATGTCCACGTAAGTTTCCTTATTGTATTTAATGTGTTGCACCTTGTCCATGGTTTATGTACTTTTTTAACTGTCAAACGAATTTGGTTAACTATTTTTAAAATAAGAATGACTTGTTGTATATGTATATATATATAAATTGAAATAAATTTTTGATAGTTCGATAGTTTACTCATACAACATAATATGAAGCCCGACGAGTGAATATAGTGAATATAGTGGTAAGCATATAGCAATCTATATAATACCTCGTAGTAGGTATAAAGTGCGTATGAAAGTCAAAATTGCAATTGTGCGTTTGACAAATGATTGGACCATGCAGATGTATGGCAATCATGTAATTCTTATATAAAGAAATTGATAATTTCTATATTTCTTTATTTTTTACCGATACACAGCGCGTCCATTACGTCCATTGTAATTATAATAATGATTATTGATTATTTACATGTGTATTTATTTATTTATTTATTTATTTATTTATTTATTTATTGTAAAAGCTAGACATATCTCCCATTTTAACGTTAGTTAAGTCATTTTAAGGTCCTTTCTGTAACGTGTACACTTCTTAATTCCTATATAATCTAAAGGAGTTTTTGAAAAAACAATTTTACTAGTTAAATTTCTCGAATATTTGAGAGCCTTGACAGGTTATCAATGTTCAATACGATATTAATGTTTAATACGCATGTTGCTGATTAATATATTTTAGATGAATGTAGAGATGACCCATTGACTAACTGTGCATTAGTTCAGCATTTTGTATGCAAGTATGAATATGCAAGCGTCACATTATGCCCGAAAACGTGTGATATGTGTAGTAAGTATGTCAACATATATTCAACATTTTCTCTAGCCTTGTGCTTAAGTTTCATTTATACCGACTCAACTAAGAGGGAAATAGTCTTCCCACTTAAAACTCTTACCCCATTTGCAATGTTTATCACGTGAGGTTACTCTAACAGACTCTATTTTGAGCGCAACAGAAATTTCCATTTGAGCCTTCACGCCATTTCCAATGTTATCAGGGGAAGTCTTTCACTGATAATGCACGTGTAATATATCTGAATGTACATAGATAAACGCTTAACTTTGTTGTTGACTGCCATTTTCATAATGGAAAGATATGACCCCCTCCCCACACACCATGGGCACTATAAAGAATTGTAATCATGAACATATTCCTGAACTAAAGCTTTGCCATGAGAAGAGCTCAGAAATGTGAAACTGTAAGTAATTTATTACATATCTTTTATGTACACGCTTCCCTATTGATCATTGTGCACTTATAGCATAACAAATCACACAAGCGAAATAATTGTTTTACTCAAACTGTTTGGAATACGCATAAAAATGTTACCTTTCCGAACCCATTTAAAACATTTGTTTGACAATTTCCTAAAAGAGCCTAATTTAAAATATCCATGAAATTTATCAAAATGTGGGGCTCGTCAAATATAAACTATTTCAATGGTGTAGTTTCAATGCAGCTGACAGTAGTTAATGCCTTCAAAGAGGAGATAATGCAGTAGGGGTATGGGTTGATACATTAAGGCAATCAATGTAGAAAATCCACCTATAATTAGGAGTAACTCACAAATTTTTTACGCGTGTTCAAAACGTCGTCCGTTTATTTTGCTACGGCCATTATCTCAATATTTCTAAGATTCTATTAATATAATTAATTTAAAGATTCATATTTATGTTATCATTTAATTGAAACAAAACAATCGACATGGTTTTATATTACATTATGAATGCTTAGACTTAGTTTTGCTTCATTTCAGCATTCGGACTGCTGCCCCCTGTAAAACTAAATCCACCGGCAGGTAGCTATATCAGATAAATTTATAACACATATTTATTAAAACTGTCTTAAAGATTCTGTATGTTGTAATTAAGGTTGTTACCACACTTAAGTGAAATTTTATAAACATATGTATGTATATAATTATGCTTTTAAAACAATTTTCAAACATCGAACAAAATGTAATATACGTGTATGTGCTGCAAATATTTGTCAACATTACATGTAATCATTAAAATAAATCCATTTATTTCTTATTGAAAAATGTGACTTAGACTTTATAGAAAACAAATTTCTTATTACCTCCCTTTGTTAACATTGAATGTAATTTTCAGTAATATGTTTACAAATAATGCTTTTTGGAACTTTCAATATTGATAAATCTTCATTTGAATATTATATCTATGATATAAAACCATAAAAAATGAGTCACAGAATCTTTAAGTTATTTGATTGATGATCTATATAAATACTATTGTTGTATTTTCATGTCATATTAAGCTTTTGAGAGACTTTTAACGAATTATTTCAGCAACGGAATCTCCTACCTTTTCTAGTAACTAAATATGTGAAACATGTGCGATTTGAATCGCACACAATTTACAAAATGGAGAATTAATTGATCTGGGGTATTTCACTTGTAAGTAAACCCATTACTGATAATGATGAGGGGTAAGTTTGGTATACATAACTTAACTAGGCAATTAGAATTTGCTTACCCGGAGCATATTTCATTTGTTTTGTAGTTTTTACGTATTGCTTTGTGAAACATGTAGTATTTATCTTTAATGATACAGATATTTGCGTCGATAACACTGATGCCAATTGTGAAATACTTCAAAGTATTATATGTGCGGACCCTGATGGCGCCATTAAATTGTGTCCTAAAACCTGCAGGAAATGCAGTAAGTAAACCCATAACTACACATGAACTACGGAACCCTTTAGGTGACATTTTACACACCTTTTTCCGGGACTTTATTCGTTTTAACGAAATGTTTATTCGTAATTACGAAATATTAATTCGTTTTTACGAAATATTATTTCGTAAATACAAAATATCTATCCGTAAAAATTTAAATTATATTTCGTAAAGAAACGAAATTATATTTCGTTAAAACGAAATATTATTTCGTAATGACGAATTTTTATTTCCCTAATGACGAAATATTAATGCGTAAATACGAATTCAAATAATATTCGTTAAAAAATCTATCGTAGAAACGAATTTTTATTTTGTAAAAATGAATAAATTTTTCGTAAAAAAGAATTAATATTTAATAATTTTCACTTAATATTTCGTAAAACCGAATTATTTGTTTGTAAAAACAATTTAATAATGCCTAATAACGAATTATTATTTTGTAAGAACGTATTATTATTCGTACTAACGAATACTCTTCGTAAAAACAATTTAATATTTCGTTAAAATGAATTATGTGCATTGGAAAAGAAAAGTCGAAAATGCCACCATAGTAGCTCCATACATAACTAATTATAGCCGTCACCTCTTCATATTTAAAATCTGAAATAAATTACGATTTTAAATGTGGAGATAACTTTTTGTGAAACATAAATGTATGTTGTAAATTGTAAGCTTACTTGTTTAAAAAAGGTTAATAATGTTTTGTCTTCTATAACTATTTATTTAACCCTTTCCCCCATGAGCATTTCGTGAAAAATGGCCGTTTTCACTGAAAAGCCTCCTGTTACAAGTTCAAACTGCTATGAAACTATGAAAAATGCTTCAATACTAATCAAACTTGGCACAAATAGTGACTGGACCATTGCCTTTGTAACGACATGCTCAGTCTTAAATTTCATGTTACCATGGCAACGAGGGGACATCTCAAAATTGCCAAAAATCACTATTTTGCCTCGATTTTTTCCATCAAAATTTATTTCAAAGTGCTGCAACTGCTCAAGGGATTGAGATAGAGTCAAAGGCTTTTCAGCGTTGGTTAAACGTTACATTATGATCCACCTGGGGTCATTTTTAGCCTCTCACAAGTCCAAAATTTTCTTGCCGATGAGGGCGACTACGCCCCCTTCAACCCCCCCCCTCACAGAAGGGGGCACATCCCCCTTCTGGCAACCCCCTGATGTATCTTTTGGATGGGGGGCGGCGCCGAAAAAGTGCTCAATTTTTTTAGCAACATTTCTCATACGAAAACTTATGTTTGGGGCCCAAATAGGACAATTTTTCACTATTTGAGGCCTAAAAAAGGGGGGGGGGTCGAAAGTGCGTTGTTTCGCGTATAGATGTGGTAAAGGGTTAACAAAAAATGATGAAAAACTTTGGAATCGCCTAAAACCTAGTTTTTCCATGTTAACATGTGGTCTTTCGCCTAATTTTGGTGAAAAATTGTTGTGTTGTAACATTTATAATTTTTTTAGTTAACCCTTTCCCCCATGAGCATATTGTGAAAAATGGCCGTTTTCACTGAAAAGCCTCCTGTTACAAGTTCAAACTGCTATGAAACTATGAAAAATGCTTCAATACTAATCAAACTTGGCACAAATGTTGACTGGACCATTGCCTTTGTAACGACATGCTCAGTCTTAAATTTCATGTTACCATGGCAACGAGGGGACATCTCAAAATTGCCAAAAATCACTATTTTGCCAGGATTTTTTCCATCAAAATTTATTTCAAAGTGCTACAACTGCTCAAGGGATTGAGATAGAGTCAAAGGCTTTTGAGCGTTGGTTAAACGTTACATTATGATCCACCTGGGGTCATTTTTAGCCTCTCACAAGTCCAAAATTTTCTTGCCGATGAGGGGGACTCCGCCCCCCTTCAAAACCCCCTAACAGAAGGGGGCACATCCCCCTTCTGGCAACCCCCTGATGTATCTTTTGGATGGGGGGCGGCGCCGAAAAAGAGCTCAATTTTTTTAGCAACATTTCTCAAACGAACACTTATGTTTCGGGCCCAAATAGGACAATTGTTCACTATTTGAGGCCTAAAAAAGGGGGGGGGGTCGAAAGTGCGTTGTTTCGCGTATATATGTGGTAAAGGGTTAAAAAAAATGATGAAAAACTTTGGAATCGCCTAAAACCTAGTTTTTCCATGTTAACATGTGGTCTTTCGCCTAATTTTGGTGAAAATTGTTGTTTTGTAACATTTATAATTTTTTTAGTTAACCCTTTCCCCCATGAACATATTGTGAAAAATGGCCGTTTTCACTGAAAAGCCTCCTGTTACAAGTTCAAACTGCTATGAAACTATGAAAAATGCTTCAATACTAATCAAACTTGGCACAAATGTTGACTGGACCATTGCCTTTGTAACGACATGCTCAGTCTTAAATTTCATGTTACCATGGCAACGAGGGGACATCTCAAAATTGCCAAAAATCACTGTTTTGCCTCGATTTTTTCCATCAAAATTTATTTCAAAGTGCTGCAACTGCTCAAGGGATTGAGATAGAGTCAAAGGCTTTTCAGCGTTAAACGTTACATTATGATCCACCTGGGGTCATTTTTAGCCTCTCACAAGTCCAAATTTTTCTTGCCGATGAGGGCGACTCCGCCCCCTTTCAAACCCCCCTAACAGAAGGGGGCACATCTCCCTTCTGGCAACCCCCTGATGTATCTTTTGGATGGGGGGCGGCGCCGAAAAAGTGCTCAATTTTTTAAGCAACATTTCTCAAACGAAAACTTATGTTTGGGCCCAAATAGGACAATTTTTCACTATTTGAGGCCTAAAAAAGGGGGGGTCGAAAGTGCGTTGTTTCGCGTATATATGTGGTAAAGGGTAAATGAATAATAGCATGTATCACAACTTTTTATATCAATGACATTTCTGATATTTATTTTGCCCTAGAAAAAGTTAACTTTATCGAAGCTATGTGTGAAATATACTTTTTTATAGTTTTTGTTTAAGACATTGTACTTTTATTACCAACTATAGTAATTGTCTATAAAAATCAAAACTCATTTTTTTTTTCATTTATAAAGATGTGTTGTATGGCATTTCTACCAAATCTGCAAAAACATTCCTAACAACCAAGCCACAAACTTTTAAAACTTCAACTATCATATCAACTTCTACTTCGCCATTGGCACAATCAACCGTACCAATAACTAAACCTGTCTGGTTACCATGGGAAAGTTGGGTTTGTAATCGGCAGTCTGATTCATGTTTTCAAAGACGATTTCGAAATTGCTCTACGGGAAATGATAATGATTGTATTCAGAGTCAGGGAGGAGAGGCATACAGCATTGGTTTGTGTATGGAAACAACGTGTCCAGGTTGTTCATATTTCTGTGCTGTTGTTTTTGTTGTTATTGTTTGTTTTTTTTGTTTATTTTTGTTTTTTTTGTTTGTTTGTTTTTTTTTTGTTTTGTTTTTTATTGTTTCCTTTAATTTGTTTGTTTATTTATCTATTTTTTGTTTCTTGTTTTTGTTTTTATTTATCTTCTCCATACTAAAAGTTTTAATATCTAATTACTACTATATATAATGCTTATCTACTTTAATATAATAAAGCGTTTTCATGTCGAATGTTTCACTTCCAATATGTAACAATGTGATTGTATAGCAGGGCTATTGTTCAATATCACTTCCTGCTTGTGAACTAACATATTGTAGATGATATAGATAGTCCTTTCTTTTAACCCTTTAAGTGCTGGACCCGAAAGCATTAAGTCTTTGCCACCAGTATAGAGCCAGGCCAGCCTGCACATCCGTGCAGGCTAACCAGGCTCTACACTGTTGGCCGACAAATTTTAAATATTCAAATTGATATCCCTAAAATTGATAATGAACAATCCCAAAAATTGATGTGGGACAAGTCCATTTAAAATATTCAGCATGTTCAGGGTTAAGCTCATCACCGTGTTATGCTCACATTCAATTAAACATTAAACCATATGCATATTTTATTTTCAAGGAAGTAGTTACAAAACTTAACAATTTTTAAGTAAGTCTTTGAAAAAGCAATAGAGCTATTCTGTAAATTGCCATATTTAAAAAACTAATTTTTCTGTTCAAATCAATACAAATAAAGCTATTGCAAAGCCTCATTGGTCACCATGGGGAAGTTGGGATTGTGAGCTGCAGGATGGTGCATGTTTCCAAAGACGATTTCGAAATTGCTCGACGGGAATTGACAATGATTGTGTCCAAAGTCAGGGAGATGTATCATACAACATTAATGTTTGTACTCAGTCTACGTGTCCAGGTTATTTCAAAAACCTTTATATCTACACTATTTCGTTAATTGTCAGTTTATGAAGATTTTGTTTTATGATTTTGAGAGTATTATTGAGTTATCCATGAAAATTATATTTGATAATTTCACAGTAAAAAAAATATCAAAATGTTATTCGATACATGTACTTTTAAATGTCGAGACTTCATTTAAAGAATGTTCCTCATATGGCACCTCAATTTTATTTTTTGTTGGCAATTCTGATATTGGCATGGTTGTTCAGAGAAAAGCAAAGATGAAATCGATAAATAACTTAAATTTCAAAAGTAATAAAAATAATTTGTGAGAACACTGTTTTGAAAGCTTACTCGATGAAATAAAATTTTATCTTACACACAAACAAAGAAATATCCTCTATATAATTAGCTTCAATTAAAGTATAACAATGTCCATGTTATTTCATCCCAGACAGATTAGAAACACAGTTTAATCATATCAGATGATCATATCACACCTGCATAATTCCGATAAAATTTATGAAGCTGTTGTTTAAGTCTTCTATCAAACAAAACATATATTTGTCTTTCATCTGTATGAACTAAACATGTTTGTCTACAGCGTAAGTATGAAAGTATGAAAGTGTTTACACATTTTTTATGTAAGTTAAACGATTTTTGGCTAAATTCCTTAGAGTATGAAAATTGTGTTCCGTGTTTTTCATTTCCTGGTGTTTTAAAACTCTGAAGGATTTTTACAAAACATATAACTCATTTTGTTCATTAAGATTCATTCCTGATACTTAAAAACGCTGTAACTGGTTAGGGTAGGAACCTAGACATTTTTCAACGAAGGCAAAATAATAACATTTATACGTTCATTTTTTCGCGGAGCCCACATTCACCCCTTTCAGGTTTCGTCTGCTTTTTGTGTTAAATATTTTATTGTTGCAGCGGTTGACGTTCTGATGTACTCTTGATTGCTTGTAAGGATACCTATAAAGTTGAATTATGTTGTTGTTGTTTGTTTGGGTTTTTTTTTTTTTTTTTTTTTTTTTTTTTTTTTTTTTTTGATTTCATAAAAGACATTTTTTACTGTTTAAAATTCATCACGGTCAATACTTCTTTCTTTAGAAATGTTTACAAGGACTACTCAGATGACGACGATACAGACAGGTATGCTTCCATTATAGTTAAGGATATATTGATGACTTTTTAGCTTGGTTTTATTTATCTCTTACTTGTTGTCATCTTTTGTTATTATTATTTATTAGTCCTGTTTTTTTATATAGATGGTGTCTATATTCATTTAACCAAATGTTATTATTTAGTCTGGCCTCACAAATGTAACTAGCAGTTACTTTGTTGTTAGAACATAGACTTTATTCATATATGGAGACAAACATGACATATCAATGCAACATTACAGTGCACCCACATGTGTGTCAAGTTCCATAACTCTTTTTAGTTAAATTTGGCATAACGGTTCATCTTTTTAGCTTAGAAAATATCCAAAATATATACCAAAGGGGGCCTATAACTTTGTTATTTATGAATGAATTGTTGTCATACGTAGACACAACAATTAATGGAGATTTAGTTTTGTGCTGATAAGACTCACACTGATCTTCAGTCATAAATAATATTGACTATTAAGGTCAAATTATTGTTATTATAGTGATTGTTTACTGTGACTGACTATAACCTTATTATCATACATGCTGTCCCATCTCAGAGACGGGTAAACACATTAACCTGAATATCACTATGCAGCATTATGTTTTAAGTTTCATTGCTATGATAGATAGTTGGTCATGAACATTGGTTAACAGATAAATGAGCCGCGCCATGACAAACCCAACATAGTGCGTTTTCGACCAGCATGGGTCCAGACCAGCCTGCGCATCCGCGCAGTCTGATCAGGATCCATGATGTTCTCTATTAGTTTCTCTACTTGTAAAAGGGAACAGCATACCACAGGCTGGTCTGGATCCATAGATTTATCTAAAAAAAATAATTTAAACCATTACTTATGTTTTACTTATCTTTCTCTTTTGTTAATCATCATACAATGTTTACATTTAACATTACTAAATTGTTGTAGAATGTTAGATTTATGCAAAGGATATAAAGATAATATTTCGATACATTAAAATCGATACTTTAAAAGCTTAATAAATTTCTTCTACTTAGTTCTTTTAAAACACGAGCTTTGTATGTCTAATAAATTAATATCTTACCTAATTATTTAATAATTAATAACAGATCTTTGTGAAGATGATCCAAAGGCTCTCGGGTGTACCATACCAGATATACTTTCTGAAGTATGTAGAGATAAGCAAACTGCATGGAATTTGTGTCGCAGATCATGCCGGTTGTGTGGTAGCTAGCTGTTTAACTATTTTTTAATGTAAAAACGTATCTAACCGTAAATACTAGTATAATGAACATTGAACAAAATAAACATTTTGCAATAAGTAAGCTCATAATCCTTAAAAATCCATTGAAGTATTTACTTTACATTTTTCCTTTTAATTCATCTCTATTCAAATGATAGGGTTCTCTGAGAGTAAATTAGAAGAGGTATATAACTTTCTACCTTTCTATCAGATACTTGTTGGGACTACCTAAATTGCACTACAAAGGATGCTCAGAATTTGTTCTGTGGCAAAGACGAATATGCAATTCAGTATTGCAGGCAAACGTGTGGAAGATGTGACCGTAAGTATATTCATTTTCTTATGTCATCGTGAAATAGTTCATTGAAAATGTATCGATATCTTTGTAATTTTGTATTGATACGCATATTGATTTTATGGGGCGTCCGCGTCCGAGTGGATTATGTCGTCGATTTTAAACCATTGTCCCTTCCCACTGCCGTTCAAGTCCCGCTGTTTTTGTAATTTTATAGTTCATGTTCTCATTTCTTATGTGAGGAAGATTTTAATTAAGTGCCTGTTCATGACTGATAAAATGCAAGGGGACACCTAAGGTCGTCCTCCACCATAAAAGCTGGAAAATCGCCATTTGATCTTTACAATTGACTTGATGTTAAACTTTACCAAAAAAGAAATCATTTCACACCTTTCAAAGTGAAAACCAATAAAATTCAACCATTTGTACGATGTAACGCTCCGATATTAATCATTATGGAATAATACCTTATAAATTTAATATCTAGTTTCACGAGTTCAGGTAATGAATACAAAATGCATATTGTGCTCTTATTGTACTTCACATAATCTCACTTTTATTGACTTTAAATGTCCGATATCAATTTCCACACTATAAAGTACCTTAATATAAACTAAAAAAAAACGCATTTGAATATTATGTGTTTTCTCCTTACGAATCTATAAAAAGAAACTTCATAATATTAATTTACCTAATGCGACTTTACAAAGATAGTTATGCAAGTTAAAATTGAATCCAAAAATTATTATCCAAATGATATATAATGGATTTATTGTTTTTCCATATGATTGTCGGAATTCTTAGACTTGTTTTCAGAAGATGTCAGAAAACGGAAAATACATAATTGATGTTGGGATGGAGAAGTTATATCCGATGAGCGAGAAAGTGTATGATGGAGAGTATTGGTGAGCCGAGATTCACTTTTGCAGCGAACCGGATAAATCTTCTTCTATCCCGACATCAACCATGTATTCGATCTTTGACTGATTTTGTCTTCTTAGATAAGCCTGTGGATGTACAATTAAATAAATGTGGAGACCCTGTTACGTCTGAAGTAATCTGTGAACAGCTTCAGAATGAAATTTGTATTTGTAATGACTCAGCTTTGGCTCAACTGTGCGGAAATTATTGTGCCAATAAGTGCATTGGATACCCCTTCCCTGGATCTAACTGTCTACCTGCTGTAAGTTGTATTTTATAGAATTTAACTCAGTATATAATTAATTGAACCGATATTATTCAACATGTAGTATTTTCAATAATTGAAAATATTCGTTATTTTTCAAAATGCTTAGCATCGCGTAAGTTCCACACACGTTTTACGATTTCTTTTATACGTGTATTTAATATTTATTTTCAGCGCGATAACGAGTTTTCTTGTAATGAAAAGTTAAAGCTTATTGCGTTTAATTTTATTTTGAGACATTTAAAGACCACTAACAAAAAAGTTTAAAGAACAATGTAACTTATTTATACATTATACTAAACGAGTGTTTTCTTTTTCAGAGACGAAAGAAAAGAGATGAAATCCTCAATCAAGTTGTATTTAACTGAAAATTGATTTCGTGTTATACATGCTATTAAGATATTTGAAAGTGATAGTTGTTAATTTGCAATCATCTTCTTTTTAATAGATATTTAAAATGGTTTAAGAGGACAATCAAATGTATACGTCTTCCAAAAAATTTAAACAAACTTATTTGGGCAAAATTATATTATTAAGATTTAAAACATTTATTACGTCACACGACATAACGGCATAAATTACTCTCAAAGAAACACATAATACACTCACCCAATGTTTGTCAATGGTCAATGACCCTCAATGGTAACACAGACCCCCCTATCTTAAAAAAGTAGCCAGAAACCAAAAATAACACGGGAGCGTTGGATGTAAATCACTTTCCTCTTACTGATGTGGGTCCAAATTCTTCAAAAGACTTTAGAATATGTAATGGAAGGAAGCTAGCGTAGGAAATGGTGGCTGTGCTACTAAGCTGAGAGTAGTGCAAGGCAAAGGCACCTGAAGTCTTTCTCCACCAGTATTGCTTGACATTCATCATACGACCTTGCTGGTGCGACATGAAAACCAGCTAACATATAGGGAAATGAATATTTTTCTTTTTGTTCTGGTAATTATAGTAGTTTGTGTCAGTAAGTAATATTTAATTCATGACATTGTTTTAAGTTGTAACAAAACACAACTACACATGACGATAGGCATAGTTAAATAGTGCAATAGTTAATATTCGAGAGAATTCAAGGCAAGTTAGTGATGGCATGGTCGAGTGGTTAACACATTATTATAAGGAACTAGTAATCAAAAGATTATTGGCCGCTCGAGTTTAAAACCCGTCAGGGGCAAGCCGTCGTGTCTGTGAGCAAGGAACTTGAATATATCCTACACCTATTGACTCAGAAATCATCTCATTCTTGAGAGGAGTGGTGACCTAGTTGTTTCAGGAATAACTCCTCTGAGCTCTAATTAGGACACGACCATATTGTTTCATTAGACTGGTGAGAAGAATTATTCGGAGGTGAATACTCGCAAAAACCTGTTTCGCAATTGAGTTGAAATGAATATTATTAAACTAAACCTACAGATTCCGGCTATCTATTTAATTTTACAAACATTTTATGAAACTTCATAACGACCTATTAAATGCCTTTGAAACGACTGATACTAGTTTATGTGTAACATGACGTCTCTCTTTACATTGTATCATAGTGTAAAGACGTTTTTATTGTTAATATGTCAGATTTAACTACTGAAAGCGTACCACAGTTCAATGTACCCATCCATACCCTTTACATTGGTTCATTTATTCATTTATACTGGGAGTTCAGGTTGTGACGTCAGGGAAAGTGTTTTGACTTATGCCTTTGATACAAAAGAGAAAGAACATCAAAGCACTTGACAATCCGATTTATACTTGGAAGCTACGACCTTTGGAACAAATCAGATAGTCTCGAGTTTCGATGCTCCTTCTATTACTTGAACCTTTAGTCTTGACATCACTTTTCACGAACATTGATAAAAATTTAAGATACGAAATGGAAAACATGAAATATCTGTGTCATGTAGTATCAAAATGTAAGGGGGTATTTATGTTTTTTACACAAATTGTCTGTATTCAGTACGAGATCGTTACGAATATGCTTCATTAAAATTTATGTTGATATCATTCACTATCTGTTATGTTTGAAATAATGTTAACTTGATTAACAATGAATTCAAGAATCAATCATCTTGCATGGCAGAAATGCGGCCATATTTTTTCCCATAGCCCTCATGAAGTCCCACTTCAAAGTCTGCAAAGATTGAATTGTTATCACTTTCACCGGGTATGGTATTAAAATATTAAAAATGTGTCTTTAATGTTACAAAACTTCTATTGTCCGTTAATTAATCCTCATCTTAGGGGTTCCGCATGATCCAGCACCACATCTCTGACATCTGAGAAGATTATGACCTTCTGCTTTTCGGTACATTGTATCTACATGGCTTTTTAATACAAAAAATGGCATAATTTTTTTACATAAATGAAAAAAACATGTACTTTTTATATATCAGTTTCAAGATTTTATTTTCCTATTTTATATTCAATATTCAAAAAGGAACATTTTTTATGAAATTATTTTATCACCCCTATTTATTACTTTTCATTGTTTTGGAAATATGTCAACGCATACTACTGAATAAAACAAACTCATCACATTACAAATAGATAAACCTGTAGATATTCTGTTAAATACATTTGGAGACCCTGTTACCTCTGAAGAAATCTGCCACTCGACCACTTTGTGCACATTATTGTGAAAACAATATGGATATACGTACACTACTTGTAAACGTGCTGTGAGTAAACAATAATGTTCAGTAAAGTAAAGTTAGTATCAAAGTATGTGAGCAAAAAGATAAGGTCAATATATATTTTTTAATTCATGTTTTGTTGCTGTTGTTGTTGTTTTGATGTGTGTTTCTTTGCTGTTGTTGTTTTTTGTTGGTGTTGTTTTTTTTATTTTGTTTTTTTTTTTTGTTTTTTTTTTTTTTTTTTTTTTTTTTTTTGTTTTTTTTTTTTTTTGTTTTTTTTTTTTTTTTTTTTTTTTGTTGTTGTTTTTTTCATTTAACCAGATCAGATTTTAATCTTTAATACTTTAGCTATTTTGCAGATCAGTCCGATAATAAGCTCTTCTATTGTTTATATATATTTCTTATATCAAATGTACAATCTAATTATTATTGAAATAACATCAAACAATCTTGAAAAGGGAAATAATTGCGTTTATTTACAGTTTAAAAGATGGCATAAATAAAACGATGAATAAAGAAGCTTCGGAGTTTTAAAATACAATGATAAATGTTTCCTTTTTCAGAAACGGAAGAAAAGGGACGCAGTTATGAACAAAGCTGTACTTGACTGAATTTCAGTAATAAATGATAGTTGAAAGTCTTAATCCTTTTTTTCCCTACAACTCCTTCCGTAGAACACGAGACAATGACATAGATTATGCTTTCCAATCTTGTGTCTAAGCAAAATTTCATGTTTACATTATGGTATCAAATTAGATGACATCGTAATGTATGCGTCCTTCCCAACTAGGGATTATACCAATAGTTAACTTCAGCATTAAGTTGGTATAATGATGTACATACTGTTAAACTGCAGAAAACCTTACAAATATCGGTTGTGGTTGGGGATTTGTTTTGGTGGGACCTAGGCCGTAAAAACCGGGCTAGCCAATCATAGTTCTTAACATTGGGTACGGATGGACGCCCAAAACCTGATTTGTTAGGACATTGTAACGTAGTTTTTTTCCAATGCTTACCTACCTTACTTGTGTTAGAATATGAATACAAAAACATCACTATGTACACGCGCATGCATATGAATACTGTTACATATATATACAATCTCAATGCGGTGTTGTGAAGTCCGCTGACATGGTATATAGCATATACATGTAAATACAAGAAAAATGATTTACTGCTCGTGTGTGCATAGCAATGATAAAATATATGCTATGCATATAATTTCGATACGGTCTTAGAAAGCCCTATGACAGGATATATAGCTTGAATTGCTGTAATATTTTTCCTAGTGCGTGCATGTCAATACCGTTAAGTACTTATACTTGGCTTGATAAGTTAAAAATATTACTTACACCTACACATAGGACAGTTTGACAGTTGCAACTAACAACTTCGAGATTTAGTAGCCAAAACAAATTGGCACAAAATTGAAGCATAAATATAGCTATAGACCAATAACTTGTGTGCAAAATTTCAGACAATTTGCTATGATCTCCGTTTTGTCCAGAACAACTATAATTATGATTGTAAAAATGGCCCAAATTTGAAAAGCGTTGCAACGCTTTTCACTCATATCAAGCTAAGACGAGCACAAAAATACGATTTTCAATATATTTCTGAGTATTTTTCTGCTTATGCATATTTGTCTGTTTTAAGTGACCCAGCTGATCTCTATAAAAAAAATCAAATGTTATGTTGAAGAAATAATATCGGTCTGAGCAGTGTTTATCGGCTATTTAACACCGGTATAGAGTTTTGATGAGTTGGAATTGACCACGAAGGCCGTAGGGATCATAGATGTAAAGTTTATTAATTGCGCGATTACTTAAATTTTATGTCAGAATGTTTTTTTGCAGGCTTTGTTATTGAAAGAATGTCAAAATTAGTCCCCACAGTAATAAAACAAGTACCACTCTTAGACCTCCTAAGTTTTCGTCCTGTTAAGACCTCTAGATGATATTTCAACCCCTTTACACTTCTTCTTTTATATGTGACATTTCGACCCAGCATTTATAAGACCTTTCGATCCTGATTATCGAAAATAGAGTATAGAATAATGAATAATGCAATGAATAAAAGCAATTCCTCGTATTGCTATGACAATTCATCGTATTGCTATGTGGTTTTGTTTTGTTTTGTGTTTTGTTTTTGTTGTTGTTGTTGTTGTTGTTGTTTTTTTCTATGAACCATATGAAAAGATGAAAGAAACGATTATACATTTTCATATAATGTCTGTTATGTCCATTATTTTCATCTTAATTCAGAATGAAATTTCTGGGTCTGTTAATAGAAATAAATATAAATAAGTAAGGCGAAAACTAGACTATTGACTTCATTTAAGTAAGTTTAACATGTTAAACATGTGAACAGAGTGCAAGATTTGTCAGATTTTTTATAACATTATCATTCCTTTCTACTGTGTATGTCTACTGTAGTTCGATGTCGTCAACTTGCATGACTCAAGATAAGCTTCGTGTGTATTGAATAACCCTCTTTTACGATTGTTAGCGAACATTAATAACACTAATAATGAAGAATGTGTCATGTAGGCTTATCAGAGGTAAAACTTATGTTAACGTTTATATATTATATATATATATATATATATATATATATATATATATATATATATATATATATATATATGTATATATTTTGTGAAAATAGAGTATGTATATTGTGGCGCTAGCCGAAGATTATAACGTACTTTGATAGTTCTACTCTCCAGTTTGTCTGTTTGTCTGATTTTTAAACTGACATTCATAGTCTTAAAATATTTTTATTTTACTAAGGTTTATAGTATATACGAAATTATTTTATTTCGATTATGTCGGAAATCTGTTTCTCGAACAAACCGGTACTAACCGGTGAGTGCAAGTTCCCTGCTCAGGGACACAACGGCTTGCCTCTGACGGATTTTAAACTCACGCGGCCAACAATCCATATAATACTAATCAGGTGCATTAACCACTCGACCATACCACCACTTAATTTGCCTAGAAGTTTTTTCGAATATTAACTATTGTATTATTTGAACACACATAACGTTATGTTCGTTGTGTTTTGTTGTTCCTATTAATGTTCTATTTTTATTGGTTAATTAAGTAATACGGCGTCACAAATACAAAATATGTCATATAGCGTCTTCTAAGGAAAACCTCAAGTGCATTAGTCCATGCACGAACAAGCACCTTCGTAGAACCGGCGTGCCGTAATAGATTCATTTGATAGAATCCCAATTTCCCGGCGGCATTCAAACCAACAGCAATGAGGAGCAAGTGGTTTGAAGTCAAATACCTTAACTACTTAGACAGGATGCCCTTACAGATATATTTAGTTCTCTACAGTTGGCAGATACGTGACAAGCGAATGTTTTATTATTCTGATGATATCATTCTTATTCCAGTCACTAATATATATTTTATAAATCTCTCTGGGGCGGTTTTTTCATCAGTATAGAGTCTGACCGGGCATCATACTGCTGGGAGCTCATTCAAATGAAAACCTTTAATCTTGTCGGTTACTATTATTTCATTTTAAGTATCATTTAAGGTAATAATCCTGTCCGTGCTCTGCCTCATGCCCTGTGCTGTGTTTGTTTGGGGTCCTCCTGGTCTCCTTGCCGCTGGTTTTTGTTGCTGTGTAGTTTGAGGGTTGCGTTCATTGAACGCCGCCTTTCCTTGTTGATCTTGTTTATCATATTTTAAAACTGTATAGGATTACTCCGACTAAAACGCAGGGCAAAAACACAAAGTATTTAAATTAAATGTTAACGAATACATTGTCTTAAAAGTAGTTGATGCCTACTGTATGTCTTTATCTATGATTTAGGTATATATACAATATTGTGCTTCTTCAATTTCCTGACATTTGGTGAAACCTTCAGAATCGAAGACAAAGGTACGTTTGTTTGTTTTTTGTGTTTTTTTTGTATGTTTCTAATTTTAAATATACATTAATTGACAGGCTTGTCGGATATTTGTAACGGAGAATTGTTTTAATAAAACTAGAAATATTGTTGGAATACTGTATGGATCCCATATAAACAATCATTATTATGTTCTTATAATAAATGATCTACAAAAAGTACACGTGATTACACATCGAAAATATGCCTCTGCTTTCGAACATTCTTAATAAGGCCTACCTTTCATCTGGTTTTAATTTTCTTGTTAATTATTTGTTTCTGTTTTCATTCTTTTCGCAAAACAAATGTATCTCCGCTTTCCAGAAATGCTATATTTAAAATAGCAAGTAAGGTATTGTGCAGCGGCAGGTACCACTAGCTCATCACCTTGTAGATCTTTTTTAATCATTCATTTCAAGATTTTTTTATGGGGGAGGGGATACTTGGCAAAAAAGGCCATGTGTTCTCTATTATCTCTTTTAGACACTCAGTAAAACCGAATCTTCGATTTTCAACTTATTATTTCCTCGTCTAGAAAGATCTCCTATATTAGAATAGGGACCTTCCTTTAGCAATTTTTTATGCAGGTGGAATAGCTGATAATATTGAAACGATGGGAAAAGGTCTTGATTTGTGATGGAGTTCTTGTGCCTACTTTACCGAATTCACCATTGGTTTGAATGTTTGCATCACGAGTATCGGACGTAAAAATAAAACCTTGTTTATTTGTGTATCCTCAAGGCTAATCACTGTTTGATTATTGAACATGTTTCGTGTTTTAGGAAGACACATCCCGGTGCAGAGACGTTTCCTCATTGGTGAAACTACAAGCACTTGTGAGTATTTCAATATTTTTAGCCAAAATAATTAAACTATTTGCAACTTTTGAGAACGCGATATTTTATGTCGAAACGTTCTACGACGGAAACCGTGACATTTTCTGTCAACATAGTAGATTAAGCCACGCAAACATATGCCTACTTTTGATAGCCGAGTGCGGCGATCATAATTCGAGACATTACGTTTTAATGCTTACCTTGTAAAAAGTCGAGTTTTAGCATTAAGCCTTTTTAACTTTTTATGCTGCCAAAGAGTCGCTATATAATGAAAACAATTCTTACTCGCCGCGATATTCTATGAAACCGTTATTGAAGAACAAATTGTCGCGGCCTCGATATTTTGTAGAATTTCTACAACACTTGCAAAAATGTCGCACATTTCTTTCTGTTTTTCGATTAGACAAACTAGAGATTATATGTCAAAAAAGACTGGATCATACCCACCATGGAGTCAAAATGTGCTATACTGTTTTTCTTTCAGCATACCTGTCTGTAGAACAATTTGCTTCTTGCTTCTTAACATGCACACCAGGATATGAAAAATTAATCGAAGCATGTTGTAAAACAGGAGCTGGCGTCGTTTGTTCAAATCTACCATGGACAGTGCTAAAACCTATCTTAGGGAAGTGCCCAGGTGACATTTTTTCATATTATGTCCTACTAATCTATAACTAATACGTATATTTAAAATGTGCGATCAAAATGTATGTTATCAATTATTGTTGTTCAAAAAAGTGTTTCTCGACATTTTCTAACTTTCCTTAATATTTTTACAATAATAACAACAATGACATTTACTATATTCAGATAAGCGTATAAAACAGAAATTATTATTATTATTATTATTATTATTATTATTATTATTATTATTATTATTATTTACCTCTTGTCTAGCCTTGTTTTAACTGTTGATCAATTTTTCTTTCAGGTCTGCTTACTGCCGCATTACCTGCAGGTAAATATATAATCATTGCATTTTAATATCAAGTAATTTTTAACGATTTAGTTTGTGTCAAACTTTTCCATCAAATGTCTATTTCTCGTAGATTGTCTCAGCGTTTGTTACACATATTTTAAATAATGGAACGATCTTATTGGATAAGATATAATTTTAACCGCCAATAAGAAACAAAGAACATGTAAAGCATATCGACACCTTATTGCAGTAACTAGTTAACGCCTGTTAAATTTACAAGGTCTTAAGTCCTTACTGCACTAAGGTGACGATATACAGTTGACTATTAGCTGTTCAAATATCTAACGTTAACCTAAACAGCCAATAGGATGGAGAAAGACATTCGGCGTTAGCTGTTTAACCCATTACTTCATGAGCATTTTCTGAAAAATGGCTGGTCTTATTGAAAAGTCTCCCGTTACAAGTTCAAATTGCTATAATACTATAAAAACTGCTTCAACACTAATCACACTTGGCACAAATGTTGACTGGACCATTGTCCGTGCAACAACATGCTCAGGCTTAAATTTTCTGTTACCATTGCAACGAGGGTACATCTCAAAATTGCCAAAAATCACTATTTTGCGTTGATTTTTTCCATCAAAATTGATTTCAAAGTGCTGCCACTTCTCAATGGATTGAGATATAGTCAAATGCTTTTCAGCATTGCTTACACGTTACCTTATGATCAATCTGGGGTCATTTATAGCCTCTCACAAGTCCAAAATTTTCTTGGCGATAAGAGGGACTTCGCCCCTCTACACACACCCCCAAACAGAAGGGGCACATCCCCCTTCTGGCAACCCCCTGATGTATCTTTTGGTTGGGGGGCCGCGCCGAAAAAGAGGTCACCTTTTTAACAACATTTCTCAAACAATAAACAAGTGTTGGGGGCCTAATTAAGGCATTTTTTCACCATTTGATACAAAAAATGGGGGGGGGGAAGGCGTTAAAAGGCGTGTATATACCGTAATGGGTTAAATCGTTTTAAGCGTATTCATTGACATACTTTTTCGAATAAATAATAAATGACAGAATTATGGCTGTTAATCACAAATTAAGGTTTACGAAATAGTTTATCATAAATTTTCAAATTTTGACTTTTCATCGTATGAAAAAAAATGGTCAAAGAGAAATAATGAAAATTATCAGATGAATAATATTGAAAATGTTGTTTAAACTATTTTCTACTCACCTCCTACTCGCATCGGCCAATGTTTTACTACGGCTTACTTTCTTTAACGTTAGTGTATTCACTGTGCTGCGAATGGAGCGTAACTTTATTCTATCCAAGCAACAAAGACAAATTCTGGAGTTATAATTTAGTCTTATACTTTCCGTTTTAAAATGTTACAGGAAAAGCAAAATATTACAAAGAATGCAAAGATAACGTTGACATTACTTTCTTTTCAGTTTCAGAGTTTATATCTCTGGAACAATTTGCTGCCTGTTATCTAGACTGTGTTGTCGGGTATGAAAAATTAACTACTGCATGCTGTCAATCAGGGCTTGATGTCGTGTGCTCGAACCTTCCGTGGAGCATGTTAATATATTATTTAGGGACTTGTACAAGTATGACTGACTTTGTTTTCTGTTCACAACTCTTTTACAAGTTTGTGCTTGTGTTATTTGGAACTTACCACATATAACATTTGTAGACGCATTTGGATCCAGTTCCAGTTATACGTGTTTTAGACCTTTACACATAAGCATTGTTTTAAAACCTTGTGTCATATTATAAAAACAACATAATTTTATGAAAAGAAATTTTGCAAAATATCAATTCTTACAGGTGATTAGATTAATATATCCCTATATCAGCTAAAAAATGAAAAAAGGGTTTTGTGAGAGTGTTAAACTATTAATCAACTTATTTATTTATTTACTCATTTATTTATTTGTTTATTCTTTCATTCATTTAATTACCCAAAAATATATTTATTTATTTATCTCTATTTATTTATTTATCTCTATTTATTTATTCATTCATCTATTTATTCATTCATTTATTATTTATTTATTTATTTATTTATTTATTTATTTATTTATTTATTTATTTATTTATTCAATCTTTCTTTCATTTATTTATTTTATCTATTTATTATTAACCTTGTTCTTTACATTTAAATATTTCTTTTTATCTTTGTTTTTTTTATTTTTTATTAATTAATTAGTTAAAAAATAATAAAGCTCAAAACAATTCATAAATGAATTTAATTACTTAATAGGCACGATGACAAATAATAATTCAAACACACCTTTACCGAGTTCAATCCATACGATGACGTCACCAATAACGACGACAACGACGACGACGACGACGACGGCAACATTTCCAAAATCTACGTCATCGATGACGACTCTTCGAACTTATTGGTTACCATGGGGCAGCTGGGGTTGTGAAATCTTTGAAGGAACTTGTTTTCAAAAACGTTCACGAAACTGTTCAACGGGATTGGATAGTGATTGTAACACGCTCTCTGACGGTGTGTCCTACGACATAGGTTTTTGCACGATATTGTCATGTCCAGGTAGGGGATCAATTATAACCTAAACACAAAAAAAAATGAAAAACAAAAATAAAGAAAAAAACAACAAAAACTGAAACTTTAAAAAAAAATGTATAAATGCTACATTTATGTGTATTAAATTCACTTTAGAACATTTTACATAATCATTATGTATTATATCTTAAAATGTATGAAACAACAAAAATCAGATTTATTTTTTTTACCAAAAGAATGTTGGTAAAATACTTTTGGGATTTTTCGCATTATATTTCAGTATGTCGCTGTTTCAATTTTAACAAGTAATGATATATTAAAACTGGCTTTTACTGAAATTAGCAAATAGCATCATGCAACGACATATATAATTTTAAATATCCTTTAAGTCAGCAAATAGCAAAAACAAATCACAATTTATGGATCGAAACTTATATATCAATATTATTTTCTTTGTTTTATTTTAGAATTTTATTTGACAACGCCCCCGACAACAATGGCGACAACTCAGCAAGGTAGATAGATACTCGAAAACATCATAGTTAGGTCATTATTTAGACAGATAGATGGGCAGTACCTTATTTAACACTGCGTTGATATAATTGTTTTTATTACCTCTATAGAAGCCGTTCATACAGAGTATTACCTGTCTATGGCTAAAATTGACTTTATCACGGTCACAAACTTTCATTCATATTAGCATTGTTATAGCCAACATATTAAACAAATGCAGGAAAAAAACATTATATTTTATTATTTTAAAACCAATAACTACTATCATAAACAGTGGGCCTATACACAACTACCAACAAAGATTTTCATTGGGCTTATACTAATTGCAAATGCTAAACTGATAAAAAATATAAGACATTGTACTGATAACTATTGAAAAGCCAACTGTTTAAAAAACATCGTATCTCATCAGTTGTAAAAGAATCTAAAAAAACGAAATTGATATGTTAATTGCTTTATAACTACTCCAAGATAGTTTGATATCATATTTTTCTAACAATGTTTTAAAACAGTTTTCATTGTATTTTCAATAAGTTACCTGCCAGGACGATCCACGTGCAATTGGATGTACGGATACATTGATTCTGAGAGAAGTGTGCATTAAAAAAGAAAGCGCCTGGAAACTATGTAGGAAATCATGTGGTCTTTGTGGTAGGAAACATTAACCCTTATCATTCATAGACTGGTCGTACGTAGCAAATTTGGAACTGTCCATTATCAATTTTGGGGAAATCAAGATGAACATTTAAATTTAGACAGTCAACAGCATAGAGCTAGGCCAGACTGTACGGATATGCAAGTTTGACTGGCTTTTTGCCCTTGGCAAAGGTTTATCACTTTTTGGTTCCAGCAGATTAAGGGTTACTTTTTATTAAACTTCTAAATTTGTGTGAAGGATTTGCCCAGCTTTGCATTTCTGATTTTAAAACTGCAGTTCTTTCTCAGTTTATGTGTTTCAATATCCAAAACAAATCTGAGCAATGAACTGATAAAGCACTACTTTGATTTTTTATTTGAATAACAATAGATTTAACCTCAAACAATGGCATGTGCACTTTTGGTTACAAATATGTTGTGGTGAGATTCATTCCTTATTGAATCTCAATTCATAAGCTACTTTAAGAAAAAAAATATATTTATATAGAGAATATTAGTTTTCTGAAAATAATTGATATAAGCCGTGTCATGACAAAACCAACATAATGGGTTTGCGACCAGCTTGGATCCAGACCAGCTGCGCATCCGCACAGTCTGATCAGGATCCATGCTGTTCGCTATTAGTTTCTCTACTTGTAATAGGGTTGGTAAGCGAACAGCATGGATCCTGATCAGACTGCGCGGATGCGCAGGCTGGTCTGGATCTATGCTGGTAGCAAACCCATTATGTTGGTTTTGTCGTGACGCGGCTCATATGTAATATGCAAGAGAAAAAGATCAAATTATGATAATCATAACTTTTTATTGTTAATGTAGATACATGCTGGGACTATCTTAATTGCTCCGCACATGGAGCCCAGCAGTTGTTTTGTGGCAATGACAATTACGCTGTTCAATACTGTAGGAAGACTTGTGGGAAATGTGATCGTAAATAATTTCTTATATACCATCTTGTTAACATTCTTTTTATATTAAAATGCCATTTTGGTAACTTTTTTTATATAAAATATACCGTTTTGGTAACATTCTTTTTATATTAAAATGCCATTTTGGTAACTTTTTATTATTATAAAATATGCCATTTTGGTAACATTCTTTTTATATAAAATATAGATCTACCATTTTGGTAACATTCTTTTTATATAAAAATGACATTTTTATCATCTTATATATACATAGTACACCTTTGTTATCACCATCAATGTACATTTTTACCGGTTTAAAAAATTCAATGTATAATTTTATTATTCAAATATAAGAACTATACTTTTCCAATAGTCTGAAAAAAACTTCTTCTAATATGACCATTGAAATTTTCAAAGTATCGTTACATAGTATTCAATAAAAAAGGTAAAACAATTTTCAAAAACTTAAATCATTCTAGTTAATGGCATATCTATATAGAAACTTTTTTTTTCAAATAGCATGCAATTGTGTATGCTATTTAAAAGTAAATCAGTTGACGTGATGGTTAACAAGTGTGGTGATCCAATCGTATGCTTTTCTATGCTTTCTATAGGTAAAACAGTTGACGAAATGGTTAACAAGTGTGATGATCCGATTATATGCAATTTTATGCTATTTTATGCAGATAAACCTGTTGACGTGACGGTTAACAAGTGTGGTGATCCGGTGTCGAGTGAAGATATCTGCGAATATCTACAATCAGAAACGTGCATATGCAATGACCCAGATATTCGAAACTTGTGCGGACACTACTGTAATAACCAATGCTTATATCACCCATATAAAGGCTCGGACTGCAGACCAGCAGTGAGTAGATTTAACTTTTTTCATCAATCTTACAAAAACAAATATTGCAACATTCTACAAAGAATAAAATTTCATGGATCTTTATTCTATATTTATTCACATTATAATTGTATAAACAAGTAGGTTTCAACCTATGTCTTTATATTATGATTATACATGAAGTAATATAGTAGAGTTCAACCTATGACCGAATATTATGATTATAGTATACAAGTAGAGTTCAACCTATGCTCAAATATTATGATTATAGTTAACAAGATCAGTTCAACCGATATCCTAATATTATGATTAAAGTAAACAAGTAGAGTTTAACCATTGTCCTAATATTATGATTATAGTAATATAATAGAATTCAGCCTATGTCCTAATATTATGATTATAGTAATATAATAGAGTTCAACCTATGTCCCAATATTATGATTATAGTAAACAAGCAGAGTTCAACCTATATCCTAATATTATGATTATAGTAAACAAGCAGAGTTCAACCATTGTCCTAATATTATCATTATAGTAAACAAGCAGAGTTCAACCATTGTCCTAATGTTATCATTATAGATAACAAGCAGAGTTCAACCGATGTCCTAATATTATGATTATAGTAATATAATAGAGTTCAACCTATGTCCTAATATTATGATTATAGTAAACAAGCAAAGTTTAACTTTGTCCTAATATTATGATTATAGTAATATAATAGAATTCAGCCTATGTCCTAATATTATGATTATAGTAATATAATAGAGTTCAACCTATGTCCCAATATTATGATTATAGTAAACAAGCAGAGTTTAACCATTGTCCTAATATAATGATTATAGTAATATAATAGATTTCAACCTATGTCCTAATATTATGATTATAGTAATATAATAGAGTTCAACCTATGTCCTAATATTATGATTATAGTAAACAAGCAGAGTTCAACCTATGTCCTAATATTATGATTATAGTAATATAATAGAGTTCAACCTATGTCCTAATATTATGATTATAGTAAACAAGCAGAGTTTAACCTATGTCCTAATATTATGATTATAGTAAACAAGATCAGTTCAACCGATGTCCTAATATTATGATTATAGTAAACAAGTAGAGTTCAACCGATGTCCTAATATTATGATTATAGTAAACAAGAAGAGTTCAACCTATGTCCTAATATTATGATTATAGTAAACAAGTAGAGTTCAACCTATGTCCTAATATTATGATTATAGTAAACAAATAGAGTTCAACCGATGTTCTAATATTATGATTATAGTAAACAAGCAGAGTTCAACTTATGTCCTAATATTATGATTAAACTAAACGAGTAGAGTTCAGCATATGTCCTAATATTATGATTATATAAAACATGCATAGTTCAACCGATGTCCTAATATTATGATTATAGTAAACAAGCAGAGTTCAACCGATGTCCTAATATTATGATTATAGTAAACAAGCAGAGTTCAACCGATGTCCTAATATTATGGTTATAGTAAACAAGCAGAGTTCAACCGATGTCCTAATATTATGATTATAGTAAACAAGCAGAGTTCAACCATTGTCCTAATATTATCATTATAGTAAACAAGCAGAGTTCAACCGATGTCCTAATATTATGATTATAGTAAACAAGCAGAGTTCAACCAATGTCCTAATATTATCATTATCGTAAACAAGCAGAGTTCAACCGATGTCCTAATATTATGATTTTAGTTAACAAGCAGAGTTTAACTGATGTCTTAATTTTATGGTTATAGTAAACAAGCAGAGTTCAACCGATGTCCTAATATTATCATTATAGTAAACAAGCAGAGTTCAACCATTGTCCTAATATTATCATTATAGTAAACAAGCAGAGTTCAACCATTGTCCTAATATTATGATTATAGTAAACAAGAAGACTTCAACCGATGTCCTAATATTATGATCATAGTAAACAAGCAGAGTTCAACCATTGTCCTAATATTATCATTATAGTAAACAAGCAGAGTTCAACCGATGTCCTAATATTATGATTATAGTAAACAAGCAGAGTTCAACCATTGTCCTAATATTATCATTATAGTAAACAAGTAGAGTTCAACCGATGTCCTAATATTATTCATTATAGTAAACAAGCAGAGTTCAACCATTGTCCTAATATTATCATTATAGTAAACAAGTAGAGTTCAACCGATTGTCCTAATATTATTCATTATAGTAAACCAGCAGAGTTCAACCATTGTCCTAATATTATCATTATAGTAAACATGCAGAGTTCAACCGATGTCCTAATATTATGATTATAAAAACAAGCAGAGTTCAACCGATGTCCTAATATTATCATTATAGTAAACAAGAAGAGTTCAACCGATGTTCTAATATTATCATTATAGTAAACAAGAAGAGTTCAACCGATGTCCTAATATTATGATTATAGTAAACAAGAAGAGTTCAACCATTGTCCTAATATTATCATTATAGTAAACAAGCAGAGTTCAACCACTGTCCTAATATTATGATTATAGTAAACAAGCAGAGTTCAACCATTGTCCTAATATTATGATTATAGTAAACAAGCAGAGTTCAACCATTGTCCTAATATTATGATTATAGTAAACAAGCAGAGTTCAACCATTGTCCTAATATTATCATTATAGTAAACAAGCAGAGTTCAACCGATGTCCTAATATTATGATTATAGTAAACAAGAAGAGTTCAACCGATGTCCTAATATTATGATTATAGTAAACAAGCAAAGTTCAACCGTTTGTCCTAATATTATGGTTATAGTAAACAAGCAGAGTTCAACCATTGTCCTAATATTATGATTATAGTAAAACAAGAGAGACTTCAACCGATGTCCTAATATTATGATTATAGTAAACAAGCAGAGTTCAACCATTGTCCTAATATTATGATTATAGTAAACAAGTAACAAGTTAAAAACAAGCAGATTCAACCGGTTAATATTATGGTTTTGAGTTAAAAACCCGTGTTAATTTTTATTTTAATTTTGTTTGTTAACAATAGATTAACCTTTAAATTTCCCCACTTTAGTTAATTGAAACTATAAATTTAACAAAGTTGATTCTTGTAAAAAAAAGTTAAACAGGGCATTTTATTTTAGAAGTGAGAAAAACAATTAAAAAATTGCCCCTGAATTTTATTTTTTTTATTGTTTAAAAAAAATACATTAAATTTTAAAACTTTAAAAAAATGAAATTTTTTATTTTGTACCTTTAAGGGTATTAATGGGAAAAATTTTAAATACTAGAAAACCTGGTTAATCCTAAAAAAAAGCATTTTTATTTTATTGTTTTTGGATTAATTTAATTTCCTAGAATTTCAAACTTCATCATACAAGGTTATTTAAAATTTTCGATTTAATTTTATTTAAACAAAACATATTTGCATTCCCCCTCCGTGTAAAAATAAAGCGCAGTTGTTATCTGAGGTGCTAAGTTATTGAATGGTACTCATAGGAAGAAAACGGATATTAAAACATTTGCCAAAATTATTGAAAATTTGGTAAATGAAATTCAGAAATCCAAATAATATAAAAAATCATTAGTTACTTTTTTTCTGGGGTTTCATATTGTGACAACATAGTACGCGTTGTTATGTTTGACTATGATACAAATCAGATAGCCTCGTGTTTTGGTGCTCTATTACTTATATTGCAAATATACAAGAAATTAATAATGATTAAATAAAATCCACCACTTATTATATTATAATGATAAAAACGTTATCGTGTTGAACTTGTACCCTGGAACTTGGCCATTTGGTTTTTTTTTTCATCTAATGCTGGGGTTACAAAAAACATTTACAATAAAAACTTGGTAAATATTTTGAAAATACGCGCAAAGTTGTCAACGATTGTACACAGTGAATATTTTAAAAACGGTACGGGTTGATTAGATAGGGGAAAACCCCACATTGGCAGATTCAGTATAACATCCATATTATCATTCAGATTTAAAAAGATCAATCTTAACAAACTTCTTACTATTATTACATGTATATACATCATTTTATATCAACTTAATTGTAACTTAATTCTATTTTCAGCGGCGTAGGAAGAGAGATGCAATTGTAAACGAACTACTGTTATCAAAACTGATATAAGAGAATAAACAATTACACTGCAGATAATTATTTGTGTTATTATATATTAGTTTTACCAATCGTGTAAAATAGTGAAATTATGCCCATCCAAGGGTATATAATGAGTGAACGGGTGAAATTAAAAATACGTTTTCATTTTGCCATAATTCCTTTTAATCTAATAATAAAGTTCACATAAACAATAAATAACTCACAGATCCAAACAAAATTTCTGTAAATATTCATTAGAATTTTACCTATAACGCTTAGTTTATAAAAAAGAGTGAGTCAGTCTTCTTTAAATTTTAGACAGATTTATAATTTTACTCTTTTCATTTTCCAATATCAACTATTGGTCAAACACCATTTTGGCAGTCAATCTTTTGAAATATAAAGTGAATTCAGCTTAACTTGACCATGAAAAAGCATATGAAACATAATGACTACTTATGATAAATAAATGTACTATGGCAACTGATATGACCATACAAAATAATTTCGTTCCACTCGATTAACACGCATTGAGGGCGAACTTAAGTATTTATGACCATGACAAAATGTTCCGCTAGTCCCTTTCTCAGCCCGATAATTTCGGCCCTTTTCTATATAAGACCCCAAGAGAAAACACCCTTAAAATACTATAGGCAAATTTTTTACATTTGCCATCGATTTAAATTAAAATCGTTCTGTTAATAAAAATTTTCCGTATGTTGTGGGGTGTCATCAGGCGAAATAATATTCGCGTTGAAAAGGGGCGGCTAATTATCTGGTATGAGTGACTAAGAGAAAAATTTTAAATAGCATGCGAAATTTTAGTACTTAATTTTTTCGCCCCTTTAATAGGAAGCTAAAAATATTCGCGTCCCTGGAAACTTAATATTCTTTTCCTGTGTTTTTAGTCACCCCCTAGATAATCCCCTGAAACGGGAACTCCCTTTTTTTTTTTCCTTTTCCCGCTCGTATGGTCCTAAAATCAATCGCTAGGCTTTACAAGGACACTAAATTTGGGTTATTGTTGGGGTTTATTTCTTAAACTCCCGGTATGTTTCAAAATAATTTTAGAAGCCCAATGGAAACAAAATCCTTTAAAAAACATTAGGATAGTAAAAGTTAAAACGCAATAAAAGGACAAAATAGCCCCTCGGTGTTGAAATTTTTGAAAAGGTTTGTTTCGAGGCAGAAAACTTTTCCCAATCATAATTTATGCTTCTTTAAATATTCCCCATTTGAAAATATTTGGAAAATAAATTGGGCATAAACAAATTCCTTTTGGACTAATTATTTAATTTAATGGGTCGGCCATAAATCAATAAATAAACTTTTGAGTTTTAAAATGTAATGCGCAAGGATGGCACTTACATTGGGTCTGTTTCGACAAAATATAACAATGGGTCCGCGTGTAAAAAAAAACTGGAAGATGAAGTAATAATGGGCCCTCTTGGCAGGTTGCCCACGGTTTTTGGCCTCCAATGAAAAATTTCCAAAAATATTAATGTGCCGAGTCTTTGGTTTAAATTTTCCCCGGCGTAAAGGGGGGTACCACATACCCCCAATTGGAAAATACCTAGATATTTTTACCTCCCTTAGCATCAAATGGACTTGTGGCATTTGGTTACTATAATACTTAGGGCAACGTAACGGCCCCCGCCGGGTGTAAAAACTTAAATGTCCGACAAGAAAAGGAATGTTCAATTCGACCGATCTTTTTTAAATGTTCCCCCTTTACAAGGCAGTCTGAAGGACCAGCCTAAATCCCCCTTTCCGCAAAGTGAACATGAATAGTAAAAACTTCCTTGTTTCCCCCTTTAACCCAAAAACATAGACGTTGAAAGTTTGTGTTCCATGCCAATATCAAATAAGCAACAATAGTCAACGCGGATGGTGATTATATGTTTGGGGCCCAAAGTAAATGTAAAAATCTTCCCCGAAAGTTTAAAAAAGTGTATTGGACAGACAATATTACATTTGAACCTGGGGGCAATCAAAAAGTTATGGAGGGGAACCTTTAAATGTAACTTTTTTTAATAAAATTTTGAACCCCTTTAAGTGTGAACCTTGACCCTTTTGGATAAAGCATCTTCAATAAGTTTTGGCGCTCGCTGCATATGTTTCTTAATGAAATTGGTGAAAAAATCAATTGGTATTTCGGTCAATTTTTTTTTTAAAAATTCAAAGTGGTTAGAAAGTTAATGGAAATCAAAGAAACCCTTTTTTAAAATTTGAGCTTAAAAAAGTGGTTTACCTTGACCTTTTTGGTAGCAAATCCAATCATTTTTGCGCTCTGCACGTCGCCCCGGTTCCCTTATGGTCCCCCCAACTTGGTGCGCCGAAAATAATTTTTCCAAAAACCATTTTTCAGCGGTTTAAAGAAGTTTTGGAAGAAGTCACAAAAAATGTAAGAAACTATTTTTTTTATTATGAAATGGAAAGGACCCTTTTTTTTTAAACGTTTTGGACAATTTTAGTGTGACCCTTGAAACCTTGGTTTGGTAAGCAACCCATTTCTGGGCGCTCTGTGCAACATTGTTCCCCATTTAGGTTTATCAAACTTGTGGGCCCAAAGGTCCCCTTTTTTAAAACATTTTTTTCAGCGGTTTTTTAAAAAAATTAAGGGCGGGAACAACGAAATGTAGACTTTTTTAAAATTAATGAAATTGAAAAGGGCCTTTGGTAAACGGTTTTTGACCTTTAAGGTGTTGAACCCTTGAAAACCTTGGGGGTTAGGCAACCTAAATTTCTTTGGTGCTCTGGCACTCGGGTTCTGCATTATGGTGGATCACTTTGGTTGCCAAGTTTATTTTGCAAAAAACTTTTCAGAGGTATCTTTAAAAGTTAATGGAAACTTGGAAAACAGAAGCGGCAAACAGAAAACCAAAACGGACCTGACGAGAACCCGGAGGCCCCAATTTCCCTATAATTCCCCCTTTTCCGCTAAGGGATAAAATAAATCATATTATATGCAAAATAATACTAAAACATAAAACATTAAAGCAGCTGGGTGTCATGGTCCTTAAACACTAAGCTGGTTTGTTTAAATTAAATAAATTGACACAATTTCATAGAAGTGGATGAACAAAAAAAAAAATGGGTCCCAGGAAAAAAAATCAATGCCGCAATTTCATTTAATTAACAAAAAAGACCAACTGAACAGAAGAAGTTCCATTAACAGGTGGGTGAAAGTTGAGGGCAAAAGTAACGGGGGGCCCCTTTGTGAACAATTTAAATATGAGTTCCCTATAATAAACTCAATACGCAGGAGATAAACAAAGCCGTATTAGGAAGTTTTATAAAGTTTTACATAGGAAACTTTCCTCTTCCCCCGCAAAACTGCAATGGCCGAATGAAAATCCTAATTATCCCATAATGAAGGAAATCCGTGTTTGGTCAATTTTTAAAAGGAGTTCAAGTTTCCCTTGGTCAAGAATTTAAACTAACGGCCGCCAGAACTTAAGATAATTGACAAGTTTTGGGCGCCTTTTTTGGAACCTTTTTAAATCACGCCAAATACTTTTAATTAATTTGGCATTGAAGGAAATATGACCGGTCCCTTGCTTCATCCTTAAAGGTCCATTAGCTTCCCCCAAAAATGTTTTAAAATTTTTTTAATCCTCAAATATTTTTTTATTGTTGGTATTTCTTTTATATTTTTCCACAAGGCCAAACAAGCTAACTTACTTGGCCAAATATACCCATAAAGCTGGTTTTAAACCTTCTTAAATGCTTTTTTTTTCGCAATTTAAAAGTAAATTTTCTAGGTGATTAAGTAAGGAAATCCCAAAAAAAAATCCAATGGAAAGTCAAAAACCGCCTCCCGTGTCGAAGGGGTTTAAGAGTCCGACCGACCTTTTCTAATCCCAGTTTACCTCTTCTGGCGAGGGTCCCGATTCCCCGAAAAGATGAATTGCCTTTGGTAATTAACAGCGGTCGGAAGGAAGGTAAGTCCTAGTACTTAGGGTTAACTTTCCTCCCATGGACGATTTGGTTAGGAAAAACCCTACCGACGCCCTATAAATGACTGGAAATAACTGGTTTTGGAAAGGGCGGTAAAAATGAAACAAACAAACAAAACAAAGTTAATGGAAGTCAAATAATGGCCCTAAACTTTGGGCTTAACAATTTTGTCTACTTTAATAACGTTAAAACTTGTTTAACATTTAGTTTCCCCTAATTTCCTTTAAAGGTAGCAAGCATTTTACAATTTCCCCTTCTAAAAACGCATTAACTTACTTAATATTATAAAATGTTTTTACAATGACATTTTCTAAAGAAGTAAAATATTTTTGGGTTTCATTTTTTCTGAGGCCATAATCATTGCCTTTAACAAGTTTCATTTGAAAGTTTTCCCCTTTTAATTCTTCCCATCGTACCGTCGCAAGAAGAAATCAGGGTTCCCTGCAAATAGCCTAACCTAGTACAGAAAGTTAAGACCATCCGAAGTAACCCCTTAAATTTGTTGATAAGAGAAAGCATAACTGAGGTTGGGTATAATGTAGATTTTCCCAACTGGTTTGTTTTCTAAATGGTAAAACAATAATTTTATTTTTAAATTTGAAAAACCTGAATAAAATCCTGGAAATCTTAACCCAATAATTCAACAGTTAAACTAAACAATATAGTTGAAAAAATATTAAAGTTTTGTGGGATTAAGAAAAATAAAAGTAATGGAGAAATTAAAAAAATGAAGCATTTAAAATTTTTTGCGAACCTGAAAAACATTTTTGGTCAAAATATTAGTGCACACTGTATTAAATGTGAAAACCATTTTAAAAAATGACTGGTAACCCCGTCACCACATCCCATACCCTCGCATGGATACAGCCCGAGTATCCCCCTTACCAACCAAAATATTTTCAAGACCGCCGGCTTTGCCTTTGAAACAAAAACTGTTTTTTGGAATTGTTTTATAGTCCTGGTAACCTCTACCGCAAAGTTAATAGGCAAAACCAAGGCCAATATAAACTAAGTCCAATGAATAAGTTTCCCGTATAAGTAAATCTTTTAAGGGCACTGGGTGGACCCTTTTGGTTTTCTAGGCATCTTTAAGTTGTATGAATCAAACAACAAGTATCTTACCCTAACATCAGTAAAAAAAGTATAACAAGAAGCCCCACCGGCCGGGCCGGGGGAAGGCCAAGCGCTTCGAACTTTTTTAGCTTTTTCTAAAAAGCCAACAAAGAAATGTTTAAAAAATCTAAATCGTGTTCCCCTTTTTTTTCACAAAAATTTTTTAATCGGTTCTTGGTTCCCCTTGTTTACTTTTGTACTATATAAATTTGGCATATATAAGAATAATAGCCTCAAATTGAATAATAATATATATAATATATATATATTATAAATTATTATATATACTATTATATAATATTATATATATATATAAATATATATATAAATAATATATTATTATATATATAATATTATATAATATATATTAATAAATATACATACATAATATGATAAATATGACAATGAATATATGATACATGGACAAATTGATAATAATGACAATTGATAATATAATATATGATAAGAAATAAAAATAAAAATGGCATGAAAAATCTGAAATAAATATGACAATTTGAAAATATAGAGTATGAAATATACTGAAAAAAAAATATGAATATATGAATACATAGGCATGAATAATAATGAATATGAAATATTAAACTTTTGAATAAAAATTAAGAATATTTGAATGGCATGTTCATGAAAATATAATGAATATGACCAATATGACATGATAAAGGATAAGATTACGATAAAATACGCCCAATGAATAATATCAATAATGTTGGCCGCAATGAATACCTGAATATGATTAATATGAACATGATAAATATGAATAATATGAAAACGACAATGATAATTGGAAACAAATGAACATAATACCAAATGCCCTATATGATATGGAACATGAATTAAATTAAATGATAATGATATATGAAAACAAATTAATAATAAGCATTAAAGAACATGAATAATATGAACTGAAATAATAGGATAATGAAACATGATAATGAAAATATATGACATGATTTATTATGAACATGGTTCCATTTAATGATTTGGGATAAATGTGGGCATTGATATAATGCTGTATTTTCATAATGTGGCATAATATCTGATTATGGTATGATGTATGGGCATAAATATTATGGAAAAAATATATGAACCAATGATATAGGAAATATGAAAAATATGATAAACAGATATGTTTTATACTGAAAAATTATATCATATGTTGGGCATGATAAATCTGATATGATATTAATCTATTGTGGCATGATTAAATCTGAATATATGATATGGATAAAATGACAATGCCTTGTTTGACTTTGAAATAATATGAATATGGCAATGAAATTATTATGGAAAAAGATATTTATATTATATGAGATGAATAAAAATATTGATACATGACAAAACATGAAAATAATACGCACACAACCAATTAAAATATTGTTTGGTCAATTTAATGGCACAAATCTGAGAAAATTCAGTAATTTTAACCCTTCAAGGACAATGGTCATTAAAGAGCCCAAAGGTTCAAAAAATTCCGAAGTTTGATAAACAACAAAAGGTTCTTTGCCCCGCCCTTGAAGAATGTTTATGTTATTAATAAAATAAGTTGAATCCCCTTTCAATAAATAAAGGCCAAAAGTTAAAACAGCAGTTAACAGCCGCGAAACAATGCCAAATTTCAATTAAATTTGAAACCCTTCAAGAGAAACCAAGGTTCATTATGAGTAAAGGGTCAAGGGTTTGGTTTGCCCTTTAATTTTTAAGGGTTTTTAACTTTGAAAGAAATTAATTATGGTTTAAAAGTTTTTGAAACAATCCATTCAATACAAAGTTAACGCAGCCAATAATAGTAAAAAAAATTTTTTTAAAAAAATTTCCATAGTTTTTGGAAACCTTCACAGTCCAAAAGGTTCAATTTTATAAGTGGAAGGTCCAAAAGGTCTTGTCCTAAGTTTTTTTATTTTTTTAAGGGAATTATTCCTTGAGATTAATTAATGGCCTTTAAATTGTTTTGAAGGCAAATCCATTTCAAAATAACCAACGTTAACAGCCAAATAATAGCGAAAGAACAAAGGCAAAAAATTTGGAACGGTTTTGACATTGAAAAGGTCAAAAAGGTCAATTTAATGGTAAAGGGTCAAGGTTTTATGTGTGGTCCCCCTACTGAAGGGTCCCTTTTTCCCCAAGAATTTGTTTGTGGCCCAAGTCAAGAAAAGAACAATAACAACAGCAAAAACTAAAAAGTTATAATCGCGGGTAGCAGAGTTTTGGGCGGGAACGGTAACGGGCATAGCCCGCCCGCGACCCTTTTAAACAATAACTTTTTACTTTTTTTTCAAAGAAATTCGAGCCTTTAAAAAAGAAAGCCTTTGAAATAACAGCAGTGGGTTAAAAATCTATCAAGGCATCAATGAACCCTTGAACAAAGTGGGTTCATTTCAAAGTAAAAAGCTTAAGTTCATACAAACATGGGAAAAAGGAACATCGGTCAATAAAATAAAAGCCTTAATAATATCATGAAAAAATTAATATGGTAAAATTGGGCCCGTATTACAAAAGGGGAAAAAAATTCAAAAAAGTAATGAAAATTAACAGTTCTTTTGAACACTGCTCTTTCTCTTTACTGGCCTCTGCTACAAAATGGTTGTGAAATGGTTTTCAGCGAGATATATTTTTTACTTTGGGATACAAGTTATTATTATTAAACATTTTCCCAAAGTATCCAAAAAAAAGACTACCAATTTTTGAAATTTTTTAAAATAACAAAATTTCCTTTCAAAAAAATACTGTTTCAAAGTTATTTTTCAAGGCGAGAGTGGACAACGCACCGAACAAAAAGTGTTGACCCTGGCATAAAAATTCTTGGCCAACCCTTAACAAATAACCTTGTTTCGGGCCGCAAAAGAACAACAGGGAAACAAGATACGGTTTTGTATTAGTATAATTAATGACTGAAAAGCAATTTACAAGAATATCGTCAGGCATACATTTAAATTTGATAAACAAACTCATCATTCCAAATATAAAACCATAACTTTTAGCCATAAAAAAAATAATTTAAACTGCAGTTTATTTAACAAATTTGTCAATTTTTAACATGGGAAAAGAAAAATAGACCACCCATTCCAAAGCCGTAAAATATTCTTCTTCAGTCAAATGAAAAAAGTTGCTTCCCAAACTATCAAGATTCCCTGGCAAAATATTTAAAAACGGGGTATTTTGTCTGGACAGCTATAAAATGTATTAGTTTAGTATGAGGGCAAAGCCATTGTTTAATCTTGGGCCAAAATCTTTTTTTTTATTATGAGGAAAAATTCAATTGTAGAGATTTTATGAATTTTTGTAAAATGAAAAACAAGTTATTTTCCCAAGTATTGTTTTAATATGTCTTTGGGATTTTTTAAAGTCAAATTTAAAAAAATTAACATTAATCTTTTTTTAAATTTCTATTAATAAAAAAAGAATAAGTTTGCTCATTTGCTATTGCGTATTCTTTCTTCACAAACGCTTGTTAAATATAATCAAAGTCCTCAGCATGTAAATGGTGATATATAATTATACATTAATGGCCTACACGGTTTGTGATAATGCAATTATATATGTCCTTTAAACACGAAGTTTCAGCCACTAGTATAAACTTAATGCTTCAGTACATGTAGATGTCATTTCTTTGCCATTGTTTGCCAGTATCTGTTTGAACTGTTCAGCATTCTATTCATAGATTGGGAAGTTAGAAGTTGTAGCTTCCATGTTTTCCGAATGAAGAAAATTTATCATCTCTAGTACCTGAAATACAGAAAAAATAAACATACACATTTTGTACTTTATCATTATGTACCACATGTACTTAAGTCTAGAATAATGTTTTGTCTTGTTATTTATCTGAATGATGAATACCAACAATTTTGGTGAAGTGTAAGTATGTTGACCTAGTATCAGTTTTAATTATTTGTCAAAAACAATATCACTAACTGATAAGTATACCTGTTTGACCGTCATATTGTTAAAAAGCATAAAGTATGAAAGTTAGAGTAAATATGTTAGATTGGTGAAATACACTAAGCCATCAACTAATAAGAGACTTGAATTATTGGTGTATATTCTTCAAGGCTTTTGACTTGTGGCATTTCTAGAAGTAGAAGTTACTATCGCTTTCTTATACAATTTTTTGAATTGCATATGAGGCAACAAATACATTCTTCAGCATTAACGCAGAATTACATACTTTAGATGTTTGATGCTAATTAACAAAGAAATCAGACCGTCTTGAGTAGAAAAGTAAAAGCAATTTGTACTTAATGCGAACGAAATACTACAATACTTGTTAGATAATTGTTTCAAATGTATACAAATCCTTTGGTTATACAGAAATTACAAGCAACAGAGTCTATTTCCCTGACACAGTACAGTATAGTAGCCTTAACAAAGTAAACTGTGAGTTGGTTTGACCAGAAAGCTATATTAAATGATCATTCAAACCAGTCAATCTTTCCTACAAATAAATGTCTGTTAGTTTCTAACATCATAAATGTGCAGAACTTATATGCCAGGTGTGCCAGCTCAAGTCGGGTCACATATACAGGTCAAAGAATTGTGACTTGGGTTTCATGCCCGCTTCCTTATCTCCTAAACCCCCATGAAGGATTTTGCATGCACCTTATGTCAAAACGTTACCAACGAGGCACCATATTGCAGAACCTTTCTTTTGCGTCACCGCGGGACTATATATATATATATATAGTATATATATTATATATATATATATATATATATATATATATATATATATATATATACACGTCAACTATCGTTATCTCGACATCGCTTTTCTCGATATTTGTTAATCTCGATGAAATTTTGGAAGTCCCCAAAATTGCCCTCAATTAAATAGCCGCGTGTCATAATGTCGATTATTTTGTAACAAGTTTAGCTGTTTTTATAAAAGTTAATCTATTTAGCGTGTTTCGATTGACTTTATGTCCACAATGATGTGAATTTACATTCTTTTTAAATATTCGAACACTTGTACCAATTCATTTATGAGCTTTAAATGTAAATAAAAAAAAGTGAAAGATATAGAAACGCTATCGTTGCAAAATTGTTCACAACATCACCACCAAATCAATCAGCGGATGGAACAATCTCGAGAAAGACCCGAAATAAATTAACCCGGGAGGATATCCGGATCCAACCATATCCGATATCGATTCACTATATTGGTGATTCTGAGAAAATCTCACTATGTTTATCACAAGACACCGTATTTCCGCTGGTAAACATCCGGCTATGTTACTTTTGTTTAATATTGACTAGGCTATGAAAACAAGGCATGGATATTATATTTATTTACATAAGGTATGCACCATGTCTTTTGTTAAAATCAGTTTCGCCTTGTCTAACCCAATAGTTATCTCGCACATTTCGTTATTCATATTTTTGGACGGTCCAATGACTTCGGAGATAACGAGAGTCGACTGTATATATATATTATATATATAATATATATATATATATATATATATAGAAATGAGAGAATATATACACACATACCACCCACATCGAATGCCAGTCAATTTACGCACAGCGCCTTAGCAGAACAGTCATGAAAGCATAGCCACTGCTCATCCACCATCACAAAAATGATGGTTTCAGAACAGCTTTATATACAGTCACAAACTGCACTACACATTGAAACAGCCTCCATAAATGAAAATTTTGGTATTTGCAAATGGCGTTTGCAAATGAGGTACTGTAATTTACAGATGGCGAAGTGTTTGAAAATGGTGTTTTACAAATGGCGTAACTATCCAAACCTCTACTTTGGCAAATGGCGTCATGTAAAAATATGTACAAAAAACAAAAATAAAGTATGTATGAAAAACTAAAATAGAAAATGTTTGCAAAACTTAAATAAAGTATGTATGCAAAACAAAAAACATATGTACGAAAAACTAAAATAAACTATATATGCAAAACTAAAATAAAATATGTACGCAAAACTAAAAAAAAATATGTATGCAAAACAAAACAAAAATATGTATTCCAAACTAAAATAAAATATGTATGCAAAACAAAACAAAAAAGTACAAAAAAAAAAAACAACAAAAAATAAGTACCAAAAAAAAACAAAAAAAAAAAACATTTTAATTTCACTGTTGATAAATTTTATAAAAATATTTCATAAATATATAATTATACCCTTTAAATGGTCTTAGCAACTGAGTTCAAAAGTGCTATGCTCTAACAGGGCAAGAATTGTCAACTAGCAGTCATAATTAAAGTGGTTAGGTCATTATTTCTACTACATCTTTGCATAGTTTTTATGTCTTTTCTCTACAAGTAAAATCTTCATTAAGTTCTTCTTATAAGAATTTTTCAGAAAAAAATATTATCATGTAAAGATGAAAAAAAACAAAAACTTTTTAGCAAATGTTGCATGGCGAGAGTTTTAAATGTGTTTACTCCATTTTATTTGTCTGATTGGATTTTACGTTGCACCGACATGTTATTGGTGATGTGGCGACTTTCCAGCTTAACTAGTGCTGAAAGGCTTAAGGTGCCCTTCTGTGAATTAATTCAGACACAGACAGTTACCTGAGTCGAACCACCGATGTTCCGTAAGCTAGCTGGCAAATGTGACTCAGACCTTTGAACCAATAGGGGTTATCTACTGGCCAATACCAATGCACCTGTGAAGTTTGAAGGTAAAGGGCCCATGAGTTATGGAGATATTAATCAGAAACCGTTATTAATTATATGGTCAATGTGATCTTCACCTCTGACCCCTTGACCCAAAAAGTTCATGAGGTTATCTTCTGACCAAAAGCAAGATGGGTTGTCAAGTCATTCATTGGAAATCCTTTTTATCTACAAGGTCAATATGACCTTGATTCTTGTATCAAGCAAGTCATCTACAGACCAAGACCAATGCACCTGTGTAGTTTGAAGATCAAAATCCTAGGAGTTGTTGAGTTATCAATTGGAAACCATTAATTGGCATTCAAAGTCAATTTGACTTCTGACCTAAAAACCTCAAAAACATTAGGGGTCATCTTCTGGTTATGAACAACCCCATACAAAGATTGAAGTTCCTATGCCTAAGCGTTCTTTAGTGACTGATCGCAAACCATTAGGTCTACGCACCAACAGACAGACAAATGCCAAGCAATATACCCCCACTATTTTGAAGGGGGTAGAGAGGCATAATAAGCATAACTTACGAAATGAATTACTATCCACAGCAATCTTACAAACTTGACCTTGAAGGTATGGGTATGGGTCTTGGACGTGATGTCTTGATGTGGTAAATCATTTATGCTACATTATTTCAAAATCCACCAAGGCCTGACAATGTTGTAGTCAGAACACAAATGTGTACCTTCAACTTCTGTGTGACCTTGACCTTTTAGGATGTGGCATTGGCGTTAAACGTGACAAATTGTCATGATGTTGGTATTTGTGCAGAGTTATTTTTAAATTCTTTAATACATGGCAAAGATACAGTCTAGACAATAATGTTGTGTAAGTGGTGTACCTTCAACCTCTTAAGTCTAACCTTGACCTTTATGGTAGTGACATGATTGTGCCTTAAACGCGACACATCATCTTGATGTGGTAGATATTTGTACTAAGTTATTTTAAAATCCATCAATGCATGACAAAAATACAGTCAGGACATGAATGTTGTGTATGTGGGGACACACAGACAGACATACGTAGCGTTTTCAATATGCCGCCCTTCCGGTGCATGAAAAGTTATTGGATATAAAGGATATTCATGAAAATATCACGAGGTTAGTATGTGAATGTTAATGATTTAAATTCACGATTAATCAATAAACTATGACATTCATCAGCTCCTTTATATACCATGTATAATGTTTATTGTTGTTCTCAGGCTAAACAATTACCACTATGAATATGTATGTAACTTGCCTCATGGTTCTGAAGTCAGGATCGGTAACTGGAGTAAAATCAAAAGTTTTTTTCTTATAAACTTTGAAAATGTTGAAACTGGGTCCTAAATGTTAGGTCCCAGGTTGAAATAGCAATGATACCCTATTGGTACAGGTTGCATAACTGTATGCCTCATGAGAAAGAGAACCCTGCAGGTCATTTGTTTTACTTTCTTATCAAGATTGGCAGTTTATGTGAAATCAGAACAGTCAGTTCTTTGAATACATACATACCCAAAAATTGCTTCATGAATGGCGAGTCTATATCTTTTTTATCATAACCATCAACATGTATCATAAAATTTGGTCCCAGATTATGGTACGGGAATTTCTTCTCCTCATGTTAACATCAGGGTCCACTTCATGTATCAAACGAAGAATTCTGTTTATTCTGTTGAATTCTGTTAACACATTTATTTTTGTAAATGAATATATTTTATAAAACTTCTTACTCCCAGACAAATTTTGTTGCATAAAGAACTAAGATTATAAATTTTAATGTTTAATTGATAATGATTAAGAGATATTTTATGACTTGATTGAACGTATTATGCAGTAATTTTGTAGCTTTCTTAATTTCTCACTTGTGAGTCATTGTATACTTTAATTATAGCAGAATTTATATTGATCAAGACTATATTTTCATTCAAAAACAGAATCATCTACATCTCTTATAACCATTATAAATGAATAACAGACCTTATACGCATTATTTTACATCCAAGTCGCTGACCACTTCCTTGTATTTCAAACTGAAATACCAAAAAACCTTCACATTTTCTGGTCTCAAACATAGTAAACATAACAGAGATAAATGCTTAAATATACACTTTCATTTTTAAAATGTTGGTGATACCTTTATTTTCAGTTGATATTTGATAATATTAGTCAACTACAGTGGATTTAAAGCCAAAATGCTAAGTTATAAAATCTGAAAGATTGTTTGAAAATACATTCTATGGATGCCAGCAATTTTTGTACCATTTCCTATAAAAAAAATAACATACTTAAGTCATGCACATATAGACTTTTTGCATTGATATTCAAAATCTGAGAATGCTTCGATTTCTTTATGATCAATGAATTTCATTAGTTTCTCAGGATGTATATATTTTGAAATTATACAATCAATATTGCATTTAAGTATTCTTTGATCAGACACATACGTTTTAAAACTAATAAATTATTAAGCAGAAATATTCATCATGGTATCAGTTCAACAGTTTGACAGGCTAACATATAAACAAATTCGTCAATTTAGTATAAAGGGTAAAAAGCTATATCTTTTTTATATTTAAAAACAGTAAAAGTTACATAGAATTCATAACCTTGTGGTAATTTCTCCAAAAAGCTGTAACAAAAAATGTCATTACTATTTATCACACATGGTTTTTGCATGTATATCTGATTTAAACTTCCGGACCAAAATATCCTACCACTAGTTTTAGTTGGTTTAAGAATCACTTGACACAGTCACACATATTCCACTCTCTTTTAACAAGATATAACAATACCACAATTCGTTAACTAAGTTAACGAATATAGGGCATGTATATACGATGGACAAAATACTGTGAGCGTCTGCTGTTTCCTTATTTTATATAAACACATCACTGGTTGAAAAACTTTCTGTCATAGGATTGATTGTATGATGTCTCACTTTATATGAAAAATTTGAAAATAAAACTATATATTTACCTAACATGTATCCTCTTAGTAAGTTTCAGAAGTGTCTGAATTTCCGAATTTGTCAGACCGTCCATGAATAATTGTGTGACAAAAATGTCCAAAAAGTCTTCAGTCTCTGCCATTTTTTCAGATTTCCTTTTTGCAATCGGTGCGACGGGATCCATGCAAAGGTATGGCACCACTAAAATATCCGATTTCTAGTCATTTCGGCACCAAGACATTTCAATCCCAATCAAATGAGCCCTTTACCACATCGGCCCACTTAAACTTATTATAATGTTTTCTACCATAACTGTACTCGTTAACTCTAAAAATAAGTGGGTAGTGTCATAAAACAAGTTATAGAAAGAGCACCGAAACACGAGGTTATCTGATTAGTACGAGGGGGCGTAGCCCCCGAGTATTAATCAGATTGCCGAGTGTTTTGGTGTTCTTTCTCTTTTGTATCATAGTCAAACATAAAAGCACGTTCCCTGTTGTCACAATATGAAACCCCGGCAAAAATGAACTAATGAACGAACATCTGAATATGACATTTCTGTCGCTTTCCCTTTCTCTGCCGTCACAGTATGTAAACCCCAGCAAAAATGAGCCAATCAATGGGCTAGCTCTGGAGTGCGGGTAACTAATACCCGCACTCCAGTTAACGCACTGTGCATGTATATGTATACGATTTAACCCTGACACATTTTCAACAGATAGGTCTCCAAACTATGATACAATATGACAAATACATGATTATAACAAATAAATGGAAGATATATTTTGAATTATACAATAAAAATTGTACTGTTCGATGACATTGTTCGATTAGTCATTTAAGAGTTATGTTATGTACTATAATTTATCTATCTCAAAATTGTTATAATGGTATTGATTTCGAAGTAATTAAATCGTACTTGTGCAATCACAACATTATTGAATAGCACCTTAATTATTATGTTATTTTCATTATTGTTAATTGATACTGTGTCAGTGTCAAATACCACAGTAAGTGGTATGCATATCAAACTGATCTATATCAATCTATATCTATATCAAATTACCCACTTAGTCAAACCTGGTGCCTCTAGATATAGGCGTTTCAGATACTTCATGTGGCAATCTTTGACAATATCTCCAGGCAAATTTGGTTTCTTTTGAGGCAGGCGTTCTAGATATTAAATGTGGCAATCTAAAATAATGTCTCCAGTCAAATCTAGTGCCGTTGGAGATATTTCATGTCGCAATTGCTGAAAATGTCTGCACCCAAATCTGGTTCATTTTTAGGCAGGCGTTCTAGAGATATCTAAAACGCTAACTTTGAACAAAAGGTACCAGATTTTGCTAGATACATTGTCAAAGATTGCCATATGAAAAATCTACAACGCCAATCTCTACAAGTCCCAGATTAGGCTGTAGACATTGTCAAAGATTGCCACATGTAATATCTTTAACGCATACATTTACAGGTACCAGATTTGGATGGAGACATTGTCGTACATTACCAAATGAAATATCTGGAACATCAATTTCTATATGCATCAAATGTAACAGAAGACCTTGTCAAAGACTGCTTAATGAACTATCTACAAGTCCAATGTCGACATGTACCAGATATGACTGGAGATATTGTCAAAGATTGCTACATGAAATATCTAGAACGCATATCTTTAAAGGCACCAGGTTTGACAAGTGACATTGTCATAGATTGCTACATAAAATGTCATGAACTCATATCTTTATATGTACCAGATTTCGCTGGAGACATTGTCAAAGATTGCCACATTAAATATATACAACTTCTTTCTTAAGAGATACAAGATTTGTCTACAGATATTGTCAAAGATTGCTACGTGAAATATCTCGAATGCATTTTACAAAAGGCAACATATTTGACCGGAGACATTGTCAAACATTGCAATATAAAATATCAGAAATGCTTGTCTGTAAATGTACCAGATCGGACTCGAGACGTTGTCAAAGATTGCCACAAGTTATGTTTAAAACAATAGTTCATACAGGTACCAGATTTGTCTGAAGACATTGTCAGATTGCTGCATGAAATATCTAGAATGCATTTTTCGAAAGCCAATATACTAGTATTTGACTGGAGACAAAGATTGCGACATAAAATATCAGAAAGGCATATCTGTAAATGTACCAGATCGGAATGGAGACATTGTCATAGATTGCCACAAGTGATGTCTAAAACAATAGTCCATATAGGTACCAGATTTGGCTGGAGACATTGTCACAAAATGCCACATAAAATATCTAGAACGTCTATCTGTAAAGGCACCAAGTTTAACTGGAGACATCGTCAAATGTTGCAACATGAAATATCAAGAACGCATATCTAAAAATGTACCAGATTTTGCTGGATATAGAGATATGCACTCATGATATTTCATCTGGCAATCATTCACAATGCCTCCAGCCAAATCCGGTACATATATCGATGAGCATTCTAGATATTGCATGTGGCAATCTTTGAAAGTGTCTCCAGCCATATATGGTACGTATAGAGATAGACGTTCTAGACATTTCATGTGGCAATCTTTGACAATGTCTCAAGTCAAATTTGGTACATATAGAGATTTGCGTTCTTGATATTTCACGTAGCAATCTTTGACAATGTCTCTAATCAAACATGATGCCTTTAGAGATAGGCGTTCTAGATATTTCACATGGCAATCTTTGACAATGTCTCCAGCCAAATCTGGCACATATAGAGATATGGGTTCTTGATATTTCTTGTGGCAATCTTTGACAATGTCTCCCATCAATTCTTGTTACATATAGATATATGCATTCATATTATTTCATTTAGCATCTTTGACAATATCTCCAGTCAAATCTGGTATATATCCAGATAGACGTTCTAGACATTTCATCTTGCAATCTTTGACAATATCTCAAGTCAAATTTGGTACATATAAATTTATGCGTTCTTGATATTCACGTGGCAATCAGTGACAATGTCTCTAGTCAAACATGATGCCTTTAGAGATAGGCGTTCTAGATATTTCATGTGGCAATCTTTGGCATTGTCTCCTCTCTGATCTGGTACATATAGAGATATGCGTTCATGATATTTCATGTAGCAATCTTTGACAATGTCTCCTATAAAATCTGGTACATATAGAGATTTGCGTTCTTGATATTTCACGTAGCAATCTTTGAAATGTCTTAAGTCAAACATGATGCCTTAAGAAATAGGCGTTCTAGATATTTCATGTGGGAATCATTGACAAGACTCCTTTTAAATCTTGTACATATAGAAATATGCGTTGATGATATTTCATGTAGCAATCTTTGACAATGTCTCCAGCCAAATCTGGTACATATACAGCCCAGGCGTTCTAGATATTTAATGTTGCAATCTTTGACAATGTCTTGTGTCAAATCTGGTACCTGCATGGACTATTGTTTTAGACATAAATTGTGACAATCTTTGAAATTGGGAGACATTGTCAAAGAATGCCACATTTTATGTCTAAAACAAAAGTCCATACAGGTACCAGATTTGACTGGAGACATTGTTATAGATTGCCACATGAAATATCTAGAACGCCTGCCTCAAAAATGAACCAGATTTGGCTGGAGATATTGTGAAAGATTGCCACATGGAATGTCTACAACGTCTACATATAAAGGCACGAAGTTATACTAGAAAAACTGTCATAGATTGCCACGCGAAATACCTGGAACTTCAACATTTATATGTACCATATTTCACTAACGACACTGTCAAATAATGTCTAATGAAACATCTAGGACTCTAATGTGTAAGGGAACCAGATTTGGCTGGAAGCATAGACAACCATTGCCACATAGTAATATCAGGAACACATATACCTCTACGTATACCTGATTTGGCTTGAGACATTATCTAGATGGCTATATGTTATATCTTAAACACCAGTCTTGACAGGTACCAGACTTGGCTAGAAACATTGTTAAAGATTGCTACGTGAAATATCAAGACCGCCTATCTCTATTTGCACCAGATTTGAAAGAAGACACTGTCAAAGATTGCCACATGAAATATCTAGAATGCATATCTCTATATATACCAGATTTGGCTGGATACATTGTCAAAGATTGCTATATGGAATATCAAGAAAGGAAATTTCTATATGTACCAGATTCGATAGGAGACATTGTCAAATATTGCTACATGAAATATCTAGAACGCCTATCTCCATATATACCAGATTTGGCTGGATACACTATCAAAGATTGCCACATTAAATATCTAGAACGCCTATCGATATATGTACCAAATTTGGCTGGGGACATTGTCAAAAATTGCTACATGGAATACCTAGAACGCCTATCTCTTAAGGCATCATGTTTGACTAGTGACGTTTTCAAAGATTGCTACATGAAATGTTAAGAGCGCATATCTCTATATGTACCAGATTTGAAAGGAGACAGTGTCAAAGATTGCCACATGAAATATATAGAACGCATATCTCTGTATGTACCAGATTTGGCTGGGGAAATTGTCAAAGAATGCTACATGATATATCTAGAATGCATATTTCAAAAGGCAAAATATTTGACTGGAGACACTGTCAAAGATTGCCACATACAATATCAGAAACACATATCTAAAAATGTATTAGATTGGAAAGGAGACATTGTCAAAGATTGCCACAAGTTATTTCTAAAACAATAGTCCATACAGAATGATATCAGATTTGCTTCGAGAAATTGTCAAAGGTTGCCACATGAAATATTTGGAATTTCAATCTCTATATGTACCAAATTTCATTAGCGATACTGTCAAATAATTCCTAATGAAACATGTACAACTCTAATCTGTACGGGAACCAGATTTTGATGGAAACATAGCCAAACATTGCCTCAAGAACACATTCCTAGATACATGCACCGGATTTGGCTTGAGACATTATCTAGATGGCTACATGTTATATCTAATACGCCAGTCTTTACTGGTACCAGATTTGGCTCGAAACATTGTCGATGATTCCTACATGAAATAGCAAGACCGCCTATCTCTATATGTCCTAGATTTGAAAGGAAACATTGTCAAAGGTTGCCAGATGAAATATCTAGGACGGATATCTCTATATGAACCAGATTTGGCTGGATACATTGTCAAAGACTGCCACATTAAATATCAAAAACACATATCTCTATATGTACCAGATTTGACAGGATACTTTGTCAAAGATTGCCACATGAAATATTTAGAACGCATATCTCAGTATGTACCAGGATTTGGCTGGAGACATTGTCAAAGATTGCGACGTGAAATATCTAGAATGCATTTTGCAAAAGGAAAAATATTTGACTCGAGAGACGGTCAAAACTATTAGATATCAGAAAAGCATATCTGCAAATGTACCAGATTGGACTGGAGACATTTTTAAAGATTTACACAAGTTACGTCTAAAATAAGATTCCATAAAAGTACCAAGTTTGACTGGAGACATTGTCATAGATTGTCACATGAAAACTTTAAAACGCCTATCTCTAAAGGCATCAGGTTTGACTAGAGACATTGTCAAGATTGCCACAAGAAATATCTAGAACGGCTATCTCTAAAGGCATCATATTTGACTAGAGACCTTTTGAAAGATTGCTTCATGAAATATCAGGAACGCATATCTCTATATGTACCAGATTTGACAGGAGACATTGTCAAATATTGCTACATGAAATATATATAACGCCTATCTCTAAAGGCACCAAATTTTACTGGAGTCATCGTCAAAGATTGCCACATGAAATATCAAGATCGCATATCTCAATATTTGGCTAGAGAGATTGCCAAAGATTGCCACAATAAATAATATACAACTGCTATCTTTACAGGTACCTGATTTGTCTATTTATATTGTCAAAGATTGACACATTAAATATCAAGACTGCATATCTTTACATATTCTAGATTTCACTGGAGATATTTCAAAGATTGCCACATTCATTATCGGGAACGCCTGCCTCAAAAGGTGCCTGATTTGCCTGGAGACATTGTCAAAGATTGCCACATTAAATCTATACATCTGCTATCTTTACAGGTACCTGATTTGTCTAGATATATTGTCAAAGATTGACACATTAAATACCAAGATTGCACATCTCTATATGTTTTAGATTTCACAGGAGATATTGCAAAGACTGCCACATTCATTTTCGGAAACGCCTACCTGAAAAGATGTCAGATGTGCCCGGAGACATTGTCAAAATTTGCCGAAATTCAATCTCTATATGTACCACATTTCACTGGCGACACTGCCAAAGATTGCAACTTACAATATCTACAACCTCAATGTGTACGGGAACTAGATTTGGCTAGAGACATGTCAAATATTGCCACATAAAAATATCAAGAAAATACCTCTACATGTACCGGATTTCGCTTGAGACATTATCTAGAATGTCACATGTGATATCTAAAACGCCAGTCTCAAAATAAACCAGATTTGGCTGGACACATTGTCAAAGACTAACACATAAAATATTTAGATGGCCTGCCTTTAAAGGAAACCAGATTTGACTGGAAATACTGTCAGAAATTGCCACATGAAATATATGCAACATCTATCTCTAAAGGCACAAGGTTTGACTGGAAACATTGCCAAAGATTGCCACATCAAATTTCTCGATCGCCTATTTCTACATGTACTAGATTTGGCTTGAGAATGATTGCAACATAAAAAAATAGAAAGCAACAACTTTCACTAGAGACAGCTTCAAAGATTGCCACATTAAATATTAAGAAGGTGTATCTCTAAATATACCAGATTTAACCACAGTTATTGCCAAAGATAGCCACATGGAATATCTAGAACGCCTTTCTCTGTAGGCACAAGGTTTGACTGGAGACATGGTCAAAGATTGCCACATGAAATACCTGGAGCGTCAATGTCCATATGTACCACATTTCAGTGACGACACTTCCAAATATTGCCACATGAAATATCTAGATCGCCTATTTCTACATGTATTAGATTTGGCTGGTGATATTGTCAATGATTACAACACAAAATATCTAGAATGCATGTTTCTAAAAGAAACATATTTGACTTGAGACACTGTCAATGATTGCCAAATAAAATATCAAGAAGGCGTATCTCTTAATTTAACCAGGAGTTATTGCCAACGATTGCCACATGTTATATCTTAAACTCAGGTAGCATATTAGGCTGGATACATTCCCTAAGACACATAAAACATAAAGAACGCATATCTTTACACATACTAGATTTGGCTTGAGACATTATCATAGATTGCTCATGAAATATAGAGAACGTCTATCCCTACAGTCACCAGATATGGCAGCAGAGATTGTCAAAGATTGCCATATGAAATATTTAGAACTATTTTCTCTACAAGTACCAGATTTGACAAGAGAAATTGTGAAAGAATGCCATATTAAATATCAAGAACGCATATCTCTACATATTCTAGATTTCGATGGAGATATTTCAAAGATTGCTGCATGAAATATCTAGAACCTTGCCTCAAAAGGTGCCAGATTTACCTGAAAACAATGTCAAATATTGCCACATGAAATATCTAGAACGCCTATATCTAAAGGCACCAGGTTTGCCTGGAGACATAGTCTAACATTGCCACATAAAACATCAAGAATACATAGCTGTACATGTATCAGATTTTGGCTGCAGATATTTTCAAAGATTGCCAAATAAAGTATCTAAAATTTCTATATTTTCAGGCACTGAGACTGGAGACTTTGTAAAAGATTGCCATATATTACATCAAGAACGCATATCTCTACATGTACCAGATTTGGCATGAGATATTATCATGGATTGCTAATGAAATATATAGAACGTCCCTACAACAGGTACTGTTGATTGCGCTGGAGATATTGTCAAAGTTTGCTACATGAAACATTTAGAACGTCTTTTTCTTTGGGCACCAGATTTGACTGGATACATTGTCAAAAAATGCCACACGAAATATCTAAAACGCCTGTCTCAAAAGCCACCAGATTAGCCAATTTCCACTGAATCAAGGGCAATAACTCTGTCAATGCTGACTATTTTATTTATTTGTAAAATATGATATTACAATATGCTGGTAAACAATTGTATTATTCGTAATGAAAACATGATAATTTGAAGATAAATTTATAGGTTATTTCAGTCTTATTCATGAACATACAAGAAATACATTTACATATCAATATTCAACATTAAAATGTAAAGTACTTGATCAATCTATTACAAATTTATAGGTGACGTATTTTATTTTACAAATCAATAAACCTTTCTAACCTCTTACATCTACCTATCTATACAATTCATAGTCTATTCTTTCTTTCTTTAGCACTTTATTTCATCTTTTTAGCACTAGCAACATAATCTTCTTTTGTACATTACTATGTAATAACGCGTAAGCCGGCAATAAATGTGCCTTTAAATGTAACTAGAACTTCTTTAAATGTGACTTTATTACCCCTGCCAACAAATTGATAGTTAACACTATGACCAACTTACCTGGAGTTGACTAAAGCGAAAAGAAAATTACAAACAGACCGACAAAACAATGTGTCTTGCACATCTTGAAACCATCTAAACGGCATACAAGTATATTTGGAAAATGTTTTCTCAAAACATGAAAAAGTATTTTGCGACACAAACTTACAATACTGCATCTATATTATGTTATATAGTGACGGAAATACCAGAACATATGTTCCAAACAGATCGACGAAAATATATGTGTCTTGCACATTTTACGTACAAACTAAATTTGAAAATGATTGATGAAAACCTGTATGAGTAGTTGGTGACACAAACTTACACAGCAGTTTCATTATGTTATATGGTAACGGAAATGGCGTAACGTAAATTACAAAACCGAGTGAAAATAAATGAGTCTTGCACATATTCATCCCATTTACAAGACATATTCCAAATCTGAATATGTTTGCTCAAAAACTGTGGGAGAAATTTGTGAAATAAACTTGTAGCGAAAATGTATTATGTTGTTCGATAACACAAAAGACGGTAACGTAATTACAAATTAAGCATTAAATATATGGCCTGCACACCTTCAACCCACCTGAAAGACATATACTAAATTTTAAAATGTTTGCTAGAGAACTGTAGGAGTAGTTCGCCTCAAATCTTACTTAGTCTGTGCCTATATTACGTTATTTTAGCAACGTGAATAATGTAATGTTAGTTATAAACAGTATAATGATAAGTGTGACTTGCACATATTTAACAATGATCTACAAGTCATATACAAAATTTGAAAATGTTTCCTAAAAAAATGTGTGTTCGTGACACAAACGGAAGGACGGACGTCCGGCCAGATTGGAATAAGGGGCCATTTCTATTGTTTAATAGAGGGCAAAGAGCCACTTATTCGTTTGTTACGGAATGAACTTTTGTTCTTTTGTGTTCTGTTTACAGTTAAGTCATCCCCCACCTCTTTTCGGTAGCCCGGAAGGACGGAGGGTAAACTTATAGTCACCTCTGGTAAAACCATTTATATAACAAGAACTGTCGGAGGACAGTAACGCTCGACTATTCGAAAATTTGGCACAAGGGTGTTTCATTGAGAATAATAATGCTTACCTATATGAATACATAAAATTGTCTGAAAAGGTACAAACCCTTCAAGTTTCAATACATTCCCTTCAGTAGTTATGGAGATACAAGCTTACACACAAAAACTTAACCAAGAATTTATGAATCGAAAAAGGGGCATAATTATGCGAAAAAGTAAATCAGAGTTATGGGACTTGTGCCAATCATCTTAGATAATCACAGACAACAAGAGTGTGAAGTTTCAATCCATTCCCTTCAGTAGTTATGGAGATACCAGCTTACACGCAAAAACTTAACCAAGAATTTCTAAGTAAAAAAAGGGGCATAATTATGCAAAAAAGCAAATCAGAGTTATGGGCCTTGTGCCAATCATCTTAGATAATCACAGAGACCAAGTGTGTGAAGTTTCAATCTATTCCCTTCATTAGTTATGGAGATACAAGCTTACATACAAAAACTTAACCAAGAATTTCTAAGTCAAAAAAGGGGCATAATTATGCAAAAAAGCAAACCAGAGTTATGGGACTTGTGCCATTCATCTAACATAATCACAGAGAACAAGTGTTTGAAGTTTCAATCCATTCCCTTCAGTAGTTATGGTGATACCAGCTTACACGGAAAAACTTAACCAAGAATTTCTAAGTCGAAAAAGGGGCATAATTATGTAAAAAAGCAAATCAGAGTTATGGGACTTGTGCGAATCATCTTAGATAATCACAGAGAACAAGTGTGTGAAGTTTCAATCCATTCCCTTCAGTAGTTATGGAGATACCAGCTTACATACAAAAACTTAACCAAGAATTTCAGGAACAGGAACGCCGACGCCGACAAATAGGTGACTGCATTAGCTCGATTATTCTGCGAATAGTCGAGCTAAAAATGACCTTTTATTTGTTTGCAAATTAACAAACGAACTTTAAAAATCCCTGTTCATTTATGTTTTGGAATTAACCGAATTCACAAATGATTTTATTTTCAAAACTTAATTAATCATTATCATTATAACAATATTTAGATTTAAAAAATAATTTAGATGCCCGAATGAAAAAAATCCAACTGTTTTTAAATATCAATTTCTATGCTTATAACACAATTTACGCAAGCACAATGCACGTTCAAACACAAATGAATACCAGTTTATATGAGAGAATAACGCTATAAAACTATCTGATAATTTAGTGGTAGCACACCTTCACAACGATCCCTTCACCAAAATGACAACGATTGCAAAAAGTGACACCCCATTTTTACCGGTGAAGACACAGCTGACAGTGTTACCGTAACACCGTTAACACGTGTTTTTTCCCGCCATAATTTCGAAGGGCGAAGTTTGGTACTAAATTTCGCATGTATTAAATTTCGCTAGTCTCTCATGCGATAATTAGCGCCCTTCAAGGCGATAATTATCGCGTGAGAAACACACAACATACGAAAATTAAGACGATAATTATCGAGGCGAAATTGTTAAATTTCGCTAGTATAAGTGTCTCTGGTCTTTTGAAAGGGCGATAATTATCGCGTGAGAGACTAGCGAAATTTAAGACATGCGAAATTCAGTACTAAATTTCGCCCTTTAGAGGCGATAATTATCGCGTGTTACTAGCGAAATGTTGTGAACGAAATTTGATTCCGTTCTTGAGTAATTCTTTCGTTTTCGCTCTCTCCTTTGGGTCCTTCAAAATTTCAATCCAGTAATTGCGACAAATTTCCTGTAAGTTTATGGCATTGAATGTTTTTAACCAAATGTCGATTGTTATGTTCTGGATCAAATCTTTTTTAATATGTTCAAATCCTAGTTCCCCTAGGCATTTAAGAATTCTTGTAATTCTGTCACGATTGTGCTCAGATCTGAAAATACAAAGAAATCAATTGAGTACATGATCATCATTATTATCATTATTATCATCAGCAATTTGCATGAAAAATATTATTGTGTGCCTTGAGACTACTTTTACATTGGTTGTAATGAATCCTCGTCTGCTTTTAATTAGAAACCAACTAATTTGGACGGTATGATTATTCAAGTGATTCAATATTGTAATTTTAGTCAGGCAAGAAATATTATTGAAATTAACGAGTGATCATAACGGTAGGTCTTAATATTGTAATTTATTCTTCATCATACATGTATCAATATTTTCATAAAATTACTTAGACCTCTATCAACATTTAGTTTTTTAAGAAATATTTTGTAGAATTTTGTAAGCATATCTAGTATATACATTTCAATCTTTTGTTTGTGGCAATATTTGATGTAGAAACAATGTAGACCAATCTACAAAATAGTCTTTACTATCGCAAGCAATTTGTTTTCACAACATCGGGTTTTAAATGAAAACTGCGACAAAGCTATCCTTATTGTTATAGAATTCGAATGTGTCCTTTTTACGCATTTTGAACATTACTAGTATCAGCCAAAATATTTTGAAAAGCAAAATATCACTTGTTTAGATGTTCCATTCTTTCTTTATAATTAGCCTTTGTCCTAACCAAAGTCGTTCCATATGTACCAACTAGTTGCATTCCATAAAAATCTAACATCATCTTGTACGATAGTAAAAGTCTATCTTGCGCCTCCTTACAATCACGAATTTTCTGTAGTAAGATAAATTTGTTTTAATAGATGTCAATATAAAATGACGTGATTCTTTTAATGATCATTATCCCCCGCCGATGGAATCGGGAGGGGGATATAGTTTTGGCGTTGTCCGTCCGTCCGTCCGAATTTCGTTTCCGGAGTAGTTCTCTGCAACTACTGGCATGGAATTCAACGAAACTTTATGGGAATCATCAATATCAAGAGGAGATGCGCATCTGACCGTCCGTCCGTCCGTCCATCCGTCCGTCCGTCCGTCCGTCCGAATTTCGTCCGATTTTCGTTTCCGGAGTAGTTCTCTGCAACTACTGGCTGGAATTCAACGACTTAATGGGAATCATCAATATCAAGAGGAGATGCGCATCTGACCGTCAGTCCGTCCGTCCGTCCATCCGTCCGTCCGTCCGAACTTCGTTTCCGGAGTAGTTCTTTGCAACTACTGGCTGGAATTCAACGAAACTTTATGGAAATCATCAATATCAAGAGGAGATGCGCATATCGTCAGCCTGTTTCGGTCAGACCCTTTAACTCAGAGTTATGGCCCTTGATAAGTTATGTAGAATGCATATAGAGTAAAATTTTGTTTCCGGAGTAGTTCTCTGCAACTACTGGCTGGAATTCAACGAAACTTTAGGGGAATCATCAATATCAAGAGGAGATGGGCATATCGTCGGCTTGTTCTGGTCAGACACTTTAACTCAGAGTTATGGCCCTTGCTTAGTTATGTAGTAAGCATATAGAGTAAAAATCGTTTCCGGAGTAGTTCTCTGCAACTACTGGCTGGAATTCAACGAAACTTTATGGGAATAATCAATACCAAGAGGAGATGCGCATATCGTCGGCTTGTTCCGGTCAGACACTTTAACTCAGAGTTATGGCCCTTGATTAGTTATGCAATATGCAGATGGAGTAAAAATCGTTTCCGGTGTAGTTCTCTGCAACTACTGGCTGGAATTCAACGAAACTTTATGGGAATCATCAATATCAAGAGGAGATGCGCATATCGTCGGCTTGTTTCGGTCAGACACTTTAACTCAGAGTTATGGCCTTTGATTAGTTATGTAGTATGCATATAGAGTAAAAATCGTTTCCGCACTACTTCTCTGCAACTACTGGCTGGAATTCAACGAAACTTTATGGGAACCTTCAATACCAAGAGGAGATGCGCATATCGTCGGCTTGTTCCGGTCAGACACTTTAACTCAGAGTTATGGCCCTTGATTAGTTATGCAGTATCCATATAGAAAAATAGTTGTTTCCTCGCTACTTCTCTGCTACTACTGGCTGGAATTCAATGAAACTTTATGGGATACTAAGAGGATATATGCATATAGTCGCCTTGTTCCAGTCAGATACTTATAACTCAGATTTATGGCCCTTGATTAGTTATGTAGTATGCATACATCTCATTGGCATTTCCAGATTTTACTATTTAACACAAAGTTATGGCCCTGTTATTGCCCTGAATATTTATCAAGTTCAAAGAATATTACTGTTTATGCCATGATTAATATATAAATAAAGCCTTATGTCTTCAGTTGTTGTGTTAATAATAACCAGTACTCGGCGGGGGATATAAATTCAACGAATTTGCTTGTTCCTTATAAGAGCTTTGTTATATTCTTATCTTACTTCGTTACTACCTCTGAACTGAAGCTAATATAAATGACAGGGCAACATCAAATATTTAGTTAAACATCCAAATCAATGTTTTGAGGTCGATTATACTATCAAGAAAAAGAAAGTAATGTTGGATTGAGGCGTTACCTTGTGGTAAAATCTATTTTCAAACATAAATTTATATAAAACTACATTGCATACCTGTATTTCATGAGGAAAAAGTTCCTGGGAGTGTCTGTTACAACTCTTTTCTCTTATTGGAAACAACCTATTAGTATAAATAAATATATCAAAAAACTGTTCCTGCTCATTTATAAAAAAAATGAATTAGAAAATATAATAGCAGTATGAGTCGTGTGAATTTTTCTTATTTTCCTCAACAATATTTTCGTAGTATGTGACATCAAATTCATAAGTGTAAAAGGATAAATATTGAAATTGAAATATACGTTTATAGGCCCGATATATCGGCGAAATAAACGCTACACCAACACCACTTTTATGCAGACTATTAAGAGAAAATGGACCATCACGTTCTGTGAGTAAAATAGTCACATTTGATAACAAGTAGAGATTTTGATGCTAAAGCATCAAGTGACTCAAGTCGCCGGAAAGAAAAATGATTGTATTATCATAAATATAAGAAAATATAAGTTTAATGGTTCAAGTACAAAAATAAGAGGAACAATTAGTTGAGTAATGTTTGCCACTGAGGCTTGTAAGGCAAGTGCTATGCTGGTAATTCGTCTTGTTATTGTACTTTATACATATACTGTTGTACCATACATTGAAATCCGTATAGGTTACTACTTCAGATTCAGTTAATTACCGACAAATAATTACCGATCATCGAATATTTGCAAAGTGACTATGAAAATATATATGTTTAATTATTTCATGAAACAATACAATTTTACTGTAAAAGTGTTGTACATCATTATTTTGTGCTATAGAAAAAATATATAATTTAGTTGAAATCAATACATGTATTCCCATCGTTACATACGATATATAAAATTAGCGTTTAATTGCCTTTCAGTGCGATAAACCATCAACACAAAGATAGTTTATTATTTTTTTCTATGTATCTAATACGATTCCGGACCCCTAACGTCATACCGTTTTAGAAACCTGCGTGATGGAAACCGACGGAATATACCGAAATCAACGATTACCATTATACATTTCAATAATGTGCCTCTTAAGCATAAAATTATTTTGGGATGTTCAACCTTAACCAAACTATTGAACTTTCTTGTCGAAAGTTTGACAGAAAGGGCCAAGTTTAACCCTTTACCAAGAAGAAAGGAAAAGGTTTTGAAAATTTATTTTGAATGTGTAAAATATGAGTAAAACAGGTTTTTCTAATGATATAAAGTATGAAACTGATTAATGAAAAATAACTTATGTAATTATCTGTACAAAATTACAATGATAAGCATCTTATCAGCTACCACACCTTTTGCCAACCATTAACAAGTTACCTGTATGTCTTATCAGCAATCTGTTACTATTAATAGATTTTATAACGATATACAACATATATAAACATGTAGTCACGTGGTTCTTACGAAAAGACCAGGGAGAATTTGTTTATAATTAGATAAAATAGTGTAATATAATGTCTCATTAAATGTAAACAACCAAATAATTTTAAAGTGTCATTTCAAATATCATTCATGATTTATATATTATAAAATAGCAATGCTTGACACATAGAAAAAAGTAAAAGTATCCCTTATATTCAATGACTGATCCTCAGGGATACGTTATTGATTCAAAATTGTAAAGTTGCTTTTTCAGATGTCAATATGTGCATATTTCATTTCAATGAGCAAAGTTATCATATGTTTGAATTTTTGAGATAACTGAAAAATAATTGTTGTCTTTAATTGTTCAATGATTGATATGCTTTTATTTTCAGATTTTAAGGACTTCTCCTACCATAGTTATAATATTAAACTGGCGACTAATTACGTGCTGTAACGGACTAACTTACCACTGCATATAGTTTCGATCTTCCTCTAATCTTTTATAATCACCCCACCATTCTTTATGAATAGTATCAATGTAATCACCTGTAACATAATTATGGTTTTATTTATCTAATTTACAAAAATAGACTGATAAACATACATTGAAATGCATGTAATTTTTTGATATTTTTTATTTTTTGAAGTTTAATTCGATGTAGCTCCCCGTACAAGCAACACCATGTTTAAATATTTGTCTAGTCCTCAATGATTATCAATACGAATCCTTTACATGTAAAGTTTTTAACTGTTATTATACCCCCAAAACGAAGTTTGGGTGGGGGTATATAGGAGACACCCGGTGGTCGGTCGGTCCAGACGTCCGTTGCATTTTCCTTGTCCGGAGCATAACTTGAAGACTAATGGTTGGAATTTAATTCAACTTCATACAATGGTCAAGCACATATAGAGGAAGTGCAGTGCACAAGAACCATAACTATATCTTCACTAATTACAGAGTTTTGCCCTTTGTTACTTTTCCTTGTCCTGAGCATAACTTGAAAACTACTTGTTTGAATTTAAAACAACTCCATACAATGGTCAAACACATTGAGAGAAAGTGCAGTGCACAAGAACCATACTTTCATCATGCCTCATTATAGAGTTATTGCCCTTTGTTACTTTTCCTTGTCCGGGGCATAACTTGAAAACTACTAGTTGAAATTCAAAACAACTTCATACAATCATCAGGCACATTAAGAGGAAGTGCAGTGCACAAGTTCATAACTCTGTCTAGAGCAATTATTGAGTTACTGCCCTTTGTTTGTTTTCTTGTCGAGAGCATAACTTGAAAAGTACTATTTGGAATTCAATACAATTTCATACAATGGTCAAGTATATTGAGAGGAAGCGCAGTGCACAGAAACCATAACTTTTTCTTGACTACTAGTTGGAATTCAATACAACTTCATACAATGGCCAAGTGAAATATGAGGAAGTGCATTGTACAATAACTATAACTTCATCTTCAGTATTTGTAGAGTTATTGCCCTTTGTTCCTTAACCTTGTCCGGTGCATAACTTAACACTAATGATTATAATTCAACGCAACTTCATACAATGGTCAAGCGCAATGAGAGGAAGTGCAGTGCTCACGAAGCGTTACTCTTTCTGGACTTATTACAGAGTAATTCAATAAAACTTCATCAATGGTCAACCATATTGTAAGGAAATGCAACATACAAAAACCACAACTATCTTTAATTGCCCACATGTGTCCATAACTCTATTTCAATTCTTGAACAAGGTATTCTGTTACCTGTAACTTCCTCATTTCTGAAGCAGTCTTGCGGGGATATTAATCACATTTAGTGATAGTTCTAGTTTTTTTTTAATTCTTTAAGACGATTTCATTAAATATAACAGATGTTACTTTCTCCATTATTACTTTAAACAAACTTCATTAAAGTAAATAATTCATTTTGTATCAGTTAAAATTATAACAGACATTACATCAATGTAAGAGCTGTTTTGCTTTTAAAAATTGGAATGAATATTAAATTGCTTCATATTAGATTATGGTCGATACGTTTTCAGCGGAAATGATGATAATGTTTAATTGTTGAGACACATTCGAGACAAGGAGCAACGCAAAGTCTAACTGCTATATAGTTTCTTTGTTGTCTTTAGCATACGCTATTTCAGTTCGTGACAAAACATTATACAATTAATAACACGGACCTAATAATCAATTTCAAATTCAATTAGTTGAAGATTGGTACAATGTTTTCATGTGGACAGAAAGTCAACTTGCATATAACCATTTTGTAAAGCAAAATCTTCCGCTAAATAGAAGCAATCTTTAAAAAATGTTTGAATAATAGTGTTCTTAACAACCACAAATCAAAAAATTACCATTAGGTCGTGAAGGAATCTCGTTCATGAAGAATTTGTAATTTTCGTCCATATTAAGATCGTCTTCTTGCTCCTGACAAATATTTACATAATGTGATTTCAGAGTAACAATATTCATGGTAGTAACGTCTTAGTGATAGATTAAAATTACAATACTTACTTATTCTTATTAAGTGACATACATAGAGTAAAAATGTGATGAATTAGAATGAAATAAGTTTCAAATGTTTGGTTAATAATGAAGTTATTGTTTTGAATAAAGGTGAATAAATGTAACACAAATTTCGTGATGAATGTGTCATTATAAGAGTCTATAATTCCACATTTTGATATTTATTTATACTTATTAGGTGGCATATATGTAGTAAAAAGAATGAGAATAAAATTAGCTTAAATGTTTTGTAAATAAGTAAGTAATGAGTCATTATAATAGTTTATAATTCCATCTTTTGATATAATGTAAATAGTTCCGAAAAACTCAGCTTCCGTTTATGTACTTGTGTAATTTGTGTAATGGATTTGTCCTATGAATTTAAAACAGCTTATTCACAGTTACGGGATTGAAAATTTAAACAACCAACAATAACGAGCGTTGTAAGGGTGCCTAGATGGGCTGGTGGGCCTTACTTTACTTTGGCAAGGGCTAATCACTTTCGTTAACAACAGGTTGAAGGTTAAACACATCGAAGTATCTATCAACGTGGTTATTAACATTTAATCTTAGCGATTCACAAATCTTAAATAAAACAGTAATACGGTAAAAATGCTTACAGGGTATCCGTTTATATATTGTTGAATGTCCTCTGCATATATTCCCTGTGAACATTAATAAAGACAATGTAAAAACTAAGAAGTTAGGTTTTTAATGAGTTAAGGTACATTACAATGTTTAAATGTGTTGGATGTTATTTTTTCAGTTCCTATAAAACATATAAAACAAGTACACATATATATATATTGTAATACCTTAAATATAATTAAAACGATGTTAACTTCTTTGCCAGAAAAAAGCTCAAACAAGTTGAATAAAATAGCCAAAAAAAATGTTTCGTTTGATTTGATTCATAAACATAAGAGTGTATTAAATATAGAAACCCAATAGTTTCTTTTGTCAAATTTATCGTTATCATTTTGATAAACATCATTCTCATAAAATTCATTCCGATATAATTTATAATATATTCTTCATTAGTAAACAGAAACAAAATAATATAAATTCTATTATCAATTTTAAACAGAAACAAAATTAATACTTAAATATAAAATAATTACTTAAATAGCCCTACGGTATTACAATAATCATTTAACATACTTCAAGAACGTGTCCATCTCTTTCAATTCCAATCTCTTTTGGCAAAGTATCAATCGTTTGTTGAAATTGCGGTTCATCACCTTGATGTGAAAATTATGTGAAAGTGTTGCACATTACTATGTTTTATTCAATATCACTAAAATGGTGGTTTCAAACATTAATTTTGTAGCTTAAATTTCAATCGGAAAGGGTCTCTTGCATGATTATACTTCTTTGTCGGATAAATTGCAATGGGTTTAAAATCATTCTTTCATTTTAAAGAAGGCAAAATAATAATCACTGATTGTGTGTTATCAAGTAATTTATTTCATGTAGTATGGATTCAATCTGTTAAGTTTAATTCATAAGTATTTAGACGTAATATATAAATTTTCAAGCTGGTGTTCAGATAGTATTTTGTATTCTAGTCTAAGACTTGGGTTATCAAAATAGAAATGAGACATTGAATGCATTAGATTCATTTAAAGTTGAAATGAATTGTTAAAATAATAGTGTTATTGCCAACCAAGTTTCAACAAAACAATAATTACCATTTGGTCGTGAATGAATCTCGTCCATGAAGAATTTGTCATTTTCGTCCAGATTACTGTCGTCTTCTTTTTCCTGACAAACATTTATATTATCTTATTTCAAAGTAACAATTTTCGTGGTCTTAGTAAGAGATTAGAAATACAATACTCACTTATTCTTATTTAGTGGCATACAGGTAGTAAATATGTAATGAATTACAATTGAATTGGTTTCAAATGTTAGGTTAATAATGAAGTAATTGTTTTAAATAAAGGAAACAAAAATTTCATGATGAATGAGTTATTATAATAGTCTATAATTCCACCATTTGATGTAATGTAACTAGTTTCCGAAAGAAGTCAGCTTCCATTTAGGTACTTAACCTGTTAAATTTGTGCAATGACTATGTCCAGCAGACCATTAACGGTTAAGGGATTACAATTAAAATTCACCAGTAATAACGAGCATTATAAGGGTGCCTTGATTAGCAGAAGGGCCTGACTTTACTTTGACAAAGGCTAATTACTTTCAGTAACAACAGGTTTAAGCTTGAACACACCAAAGTATCTATCAACGTGGTTGTTAACATTTTATCTTAGCGATTCACAAATCAAGAATAAAGCAGTTATTCGGTTAAAATGCTTACAGTGTTTCCGTTTATATATTGTTGAATGTCATCCTCTGCATATTTACTCTGTAAACATGAATTAAGACAATGTAAGAACTAATTAGTGTAATCTTTTAATGATTTAAGGTACATTATAATGTTTAAATGTGTTGGATGTTATGTGTTCAGTTCCTATAAAACAAGTACACATCTATATATTTTGTAACACCTTGAATATAATCAAAACGATGTTTACTTTTTTTGCCAGAAAAAATGCTCAAACAAGTTAAATAAAATAGAAAAAAAGAATGTTTGGTTTGATTTGAATTATTAGCGGAATATAAAATTGCATTTAATATTATCAAATCTGGAAAAAAAAACAATAATTTCTTTTGTCAAATTTATGTTATTATTTTGATAAACAACATCCTCATAAATTCATTTCGATATAATTAATAATATTTTCTTTATTAGTATACAGAAACAAAATTATTACCTAAATATAAAATAATTACTTAAATAACCCTACGGTTTTACAATAATCATTCAAACATACTTCAATCTGACTTTGATTAGAAATGTGTCCACCTCTTTCATTTCCAATCTCTTCTGGCAAAGTATCAATCGTTTGTTGAAATTGAGGTTCATCACCTTGATGTGCAAATCATATGAAAGTGTTACACATTATTTTATTCAATATCACTAAAATGGTGGTTTCTAACATGAATTTTATATTTTAATTTTCAATCGGAAAGGGTTTCTCACATGATTATACTATTTTGTCGGATAAATTGCAAGGGGTATAATATTTTTTCTTTCATTTTAAAGAAGGAAAAATAATAATCACTGATTGTCTTATTAATGATTTTTTTAATAGAAGTATGGTTTCAGTCTGCGAAGTTTAATTCATAAGTGTTTAGACGTTAAATATTAAGTTATATATAAAGTCTCAAGCTTGTGTTCAAATAATATTTTGTAAGCTAGTCTCAAAATTTGATTATTAAAACAGAAATAGGACATTTAGTGCAAAGGCTTTCTTTGAAATTCAACAAAACTAAAATCAATATGTATAACTAATTGGTTGGTAAATGTAAAATATATTACGACTTTCTTCAACCACGCTTGTGCATTCTTTCAGAGTTTCATTCTCATTTTTATACCTTTGGACCTAATGTATAAAAACAAAATAAATATATAAATTTGATTGGTATTTAAGGTTTGAAAACCGAGTGAAAGTTTATTAAATCCCTTATTCTAAATTAAAGTTTTTTGCCGCGAGTACTTAGTTATTCATTATATTAATTATGCCTCAACACTGTTGTTAAATCCTGGAGTAACATAAAATTACCACATTGTTTATACAAATATAACATCAATTTCTGTTTATTCTAACTTATTCAATATTTTTCAATTCGTCGTAGTAAAAACGTTACAACATCTAACACTGAATGCATAGTTCGTGTTTATCATTATCATTAACTGAGCTTCTAAGATATTGCTACAAAAAATACAATACATAATTAGTTTTTTAATTGTGATATGTATTGAAATGAATGAAAATTATTATTGAAAATTGCCATGCATACTTCTATCCTTGTTGGGTTTTTTTCAAAAGGTTTACCATCTTTAAGCATATGAATTATTTACCTCAATTTCTTTTACTATCTTTTCTTTTTCCAACTTTCTTACTTTATTTTGGAGATGTACTATTGTTTTAGCTGCTTCTTCTTTATCTTTCTTTAACCGAATTAACTGAACTTCCTGTTGGATTATATAAACGTTTAGATGCTTGTTTGTCTGTCTTCAAGCACACCTCTTTTTAAATGTATAGATGTATCAATACACAGAGTAATAATCGTGAAGATAACTAAGCAACCCCATTAAACAACATTTATGATCTAACGAATTCATTGGGTTGTGAATATTTCATGAGTTAAGGAGACAGATAAGCTTCCAATTAAGTCTGCAAACATTCCCACTTATTCTGGTTTTAAACAAACATGAAATTGTATGACGTACATAAATGCGAAGGTAATTCGCTAAAATCTACAAATCATAAATCATGCTCTTATTTATTAGAAGTAACAATATACAGTGGACAATAAAACTTGAGTTCTGGCACCAATTTCTGCTAAAAGCAAATTATTAGCTATTTAATAGCTGTGTCATTGACGACTGTTCACAAAAATTAACATTGTACATATACAATTCTGAAAGTAAAAACAAAAATAGATGGATATTGCAGAACAGGTATGATTGATGTATAATGAAAGCATAGACTATCAAAAACATTTTTGATTTTGAAAAAAGATTAACTTTAATCATCGATTCCGAATCATGTCATCGATATACCGAGAAAATAAAGTAATTGGAAAGTTTAATAGATTGTAAAGAATACTTTTAAATTACTTGTTTTACTAGTCTATAAAATGGTCAAATATAAATGACATTTTATGTACACGCTAGATAAATATATTAACGTACAAATTACTAAGATTCTCTATCCATAGTACAATCGTGTATTAAACTCTATAGGTTAATCGCTTTCTTTTACATATATCAGGACTTCTCACCTCTAATTTTTTACTTTCCAGTTCTTTGTCCAAATTGTTAATTTTGTCTACCATTTCTTCAGGCTCTAGTCTTTCTATTTCTTTCTATAACAAAACAATATGTATGAAATCGTGTAAAGAATGTTTAAGAAATATGCAAAGGGAGTCATACCATGCGCGCGGATCCTCAAAATTCTGATATCCCGAACACTTTTAACCGTAATTTTGAACAAAACCGAGTCATGTAAAGCAATTAGAATAGATTTAAATTCAATTTCTTTTGCAAATAAGATGTCCTTACTACTAGTTTTAATATTTCAAATGCCTTAATTCCAGCTGTGTTAAACTTTCCGTTTAATTGACAATGTCTCAATTTCTGTAACATTTAAACATCGGATGAATGCAGTATCCAGAATCAAAATCGCATTCTACGCGAAATAATGACGAGACTTATGTGAAGGCGTTTGATCAGTAAGGACATCTTCTTTGCAATAGGAATTAAATTTAAATATATTCTGATTCTGCTCTACAGGACTCTTTTTTGTTCAAAATACCGATTGAAAAAGTGTTCGCGGTATCAGAATTTTTGGGGATGCGCTCGCATGGTATGACCCTGTTGTATATAGGATAGCTGTTTTCTTAATGGTTTTATCCCAACAAATATCTTCTTTAAATACAAGCTTGGTTTCATTGCATCTAAAGTATGTGAATTCTTTTAAGATGTGTAAATACAATATGCATTCAGAGAAATTAATGTTATTCATTTATTTTGTACCACAGATTAACACACTTCAGAATTGATCCTGAAACTGATTACTAATACCAACTGATTCTTTTTCATTGTCATGAATATCTTAGCCAAAATATCAGCCAAAAAATCATGGGTTAAATATAGAATAAAACATACAATAAAACGTTAAATATAATTTACATACTTTAACTTCTTGAAGATTTTGTCCTGTATGTTGCTGGAGGACATCCAATTTTTTAAAGTCCTCGCTTTCTTTATCACACTCTGCTTTATCTAGTTCTATCGTTACACTCTTCTGTTCAAATACTTCTTTAATTTTTGACTTGTACTCGGCTTGTTTATATACCAATCCCTCGTTTGCTGTTATCTATTATAGAAAAAAAAGAACTAAAATTACCATGTAGTTAACATTCTCTCACATAATTATGCAACTTGCCATGATATATATTTCCAATGTTTTCTACGTAACAATGACTTGACAGGTTATGTGAGTTTGTGATTTATTATTTCTAGAGCTCTAAGCAACATTGAATTCGAAATAGCACTGAAATGATCGGGCAGGATAACATAGTATCAAATGAACAGATTATAAATAACATTTTGACATCAAAAGAGCATTGGAAAGTCTAAAAAAGTATAAATAACACTTTCATTAAAGTTTTTATCCTTAAGCTATAGAATAATATATTCATACTTAAATTTCAGATTAAAAAATCGCACATATTGTCTAATTAAGATGTTCGAGCAATTCTTGCTGTAAAAAGAATTTCATAAACCACCACCAGACACATACCCCGAAACCTCCAATATTTTCAAGTATATCTAGTACACGTTTACTGGTGCGCAATTGTTCGTCATCCGTAATATTTTTATATAGCTCATCAGCAACAGTTTTCGCCTCTTTAACCTTGGCTCGAATTGTTTTGCTTTCTTCAGATTGACACTTTATAACAAAGTCTTTCTTTGCAATCTACAATCCAAACTATTTCATTACAACGTATTAAGTATTTCTATTAAAATATCATGCATTTGAAGAAAGATGCGTTTCTACACCATGAACAAACTACTTGAACCTAGAAACGTGGGAAGACACGTTCTGCTAAAAACTAAATTATTGATACTTTTCTCAAAAATCAATATTTTGAAAGTTATTTATATTTAAAGATTTTATACAAAAAAATTGATAAATGATGTCTTTTTAATAAGACAAAATATCTAACAGTACAAAGATAAACATATTTAAACAAAAATAAGTATTCTGTGATTAAAATGGCAGGCTACTATTAAATTTGAAATTCATATAATACAAGGATTGTCCAACAAAGTCGTTGACAATGACAGTAAAATAAGAAATATCACGTATGCCCCTAAAATAACTTTGCTCAAGGGCATCTCCGTCAATTTGGCGTAAATTAAACATATTTAAAATTATTTTAAGAAAAAATATTTAGTAAATATATGCACAATATTATATTATTTCAAGATAAAATTATAGTAATGATATGCACAAAATATTAAAGCACTCATATCGATCTTAGGTGTGCATTCGCTGCCCATGCAAAATATCGACATTCCATTAATCTAAAAAAACTTTCTTCAAAACAGAGGTTAGTGGCCGATGACGTTCGAAACTCTGCTTGATGTTATTACGTTGACATTTACTGTACGCCTGACACTTTATGACTTAAGTTAAAGGACATCGCAAGGCATATATGTATGTTTACATGTTTATAGTGCTTCTTTAACTTCATACATTCCTTAAATAAGCAGAATTAAAATGGCGACGTATGACATTGACGTTGCCCAACAGTCAATGATATTGATTTTGAATGACAATTGCGGACACTTCAAAAATATTTTACGCTGAGGAAATATTTTAATATGTTTTGTGATCGTTTGTATAGAAGTGCCATGAAATATACTTAACAGTTTCGAAAAAAAGTAAATATGGGAAGTTCGTAGTCAAGCAAACTTGAACAGAAAAGTTAAAAACATTATAAATGAAAATATACTGTACAATTTATGTATGATATTGAGGATGCGTTAACTTTTTTGTTGATCTTTGTTCCTTTTTGTGTAAGTAGGTAGCTTGACATTAAAAGTATACTTTCATAATTTAATATATGTGATCATACTAATAATATCATGCAGGTGTTTTTAATGATTGTAAAATGAATTTGAAACCCTACTTAAACAATGTGGTTTATTACCCTTCCAGATTTTTTCCTCCTTTTTGATTGGATATTGCTCACCCGAAAGAAATGAGGGACAGTAGTGAATAACCTCCCCTGAGTACTCCCTATAAATAGATAGGTCCTAAGCTATTGTATTACTCGGACTTTATCGCCTATTTCTTTGTAGCAATCTGAATTAATTAGGGCTAATTATGATCATTTGTAATATTTAGATTAGATATTGCGATAAGATGTAGAATCTGTTGACATAAATTAAACATTTTTTCCTTAAGGTTTACATATTTGTTGATGCATGTGTAAATATTTGATTAAGACATATCAACCTGTCTTATATAAAACTCAACGATAAAAGCAAAGTATTCCAAATATTTGGACCTACTTACATTTTGGTTAACCTCGGTTTTTATCAAGGGAAGATAATCCACTACTGTTCCCCATTGATATTACCGAGCCAGACGGGTAATATACACACTAAATTTCCCCGTTGGGTACCCGACGTTGTAAACAACATGCGCTGTGGCAATGCGCGTACGGTTTGATTTTACGCGGTGTAAATTCCGATTTACAAGCACTTTTTAACTGTCAAATGATAATATTTACCAAAATGGAGTAATGATACATATTCGCATCAGTATTGAAAACAAATATGACATTGTGAAAGCTTAATATTAATTCCAAAAAAGTGCGTTCAACATACTACTCATTTTTTTTGTTTACATTCATTAGGTTCGAAAGAAAATACGTCATGTATTTATGTGACGTCATGTTGTGGTGAAGGGGTACCCTAAAGGGAATCTTATTTCGACGTTTCATTTGAAGTAGCAATGATTTATATTAAAATCGTCTTAACTCGGCAGGGAAGGGTAATAAAATTGTTATTTTGGTTTTGGAGTGATATACTCGTATGTGGATATATTACCTGCCAACATAAGATATTACCCTCGCCTAACGGCTCGGGTAATATAAAATCTTGACAGGTATTATATCCACACATATCACTCCAAAACCAAAACAACATATACTATTACTTATCGGGACAGTGTTAGAACCGTTTACAGTCCGAAATATCAAAACATTTTCTTTTACATTTTGTACCACGTCAATTTCTGGTTTATAACTAACAAGTTATATTATGATAATGCTGCTCTTGCATGTTGAAACAAAATATCTCATACAATGTTTATCTACATATGTATATCAAAATATACTTACGTCTTCCAATCCCGCTATAGCGTCCTTATAATATGTTTTCTCGGTTATATCTAAGCAATCTAAAAGCGCCTTTGTCCATTTTATAATTTCTTGAGTTTCGTCTTCTTTCATCATGTTGTCAGGCGAGTGCATGAGCTTATTTCTCCATTCTAAAACCTGAGAAAAAAAAACATTTAAGATATCAACTTTTCAATTATTGGCATATGAGAAAATAAATATAATGCATTATTTGCGGATATGATGTCAAAAAATGTCCATGGCGACATTCTGTAAGCGCACATGCCATCATATTCAATGGTTTATCAGTCCATTATTGTATTATTATATGGATAGATTAGAACATTACAAGCAGTAAGTTTAATAAGGAAAACCATTATAGCACATTCGACATTTGTCCTGAAGTGCGGGAAAAACACGAACGTTATATCAAAGGGTTGCAAGCTCTGTGGTATTGTCTGATCATTGCAAAGTGAATCTTTCTTCTAAATCGTATTTTATTTCCTGTGTAAGGTTATCTTGATATATTATATTTCATCTTGCAGGACACCGCGTATGCTGCGACTGCGTTAAGGGTAAAGGCGGGCGAAAATTTTGCCGTATTCCACTTCGCCCTACTCGATTGGAAAAGAACAGAACCAAACAAAACATTTTTTTTCAATACAGTTTTGGGAACATAACAAAATGTTTATAGAACAAAGAATGTATAGTACCGGTACAAAAAAGTATAATCAATTAACAGAGTACACTTCCACTTAAAAAAAGAAAAAAATTACTTAAAAAGTGAAACCAAATTACAAATGTCTTTTACTAAACTATGAAATGAAATATCGAGCCGGATTGGGGTTACTTTAAGTCAAAATACATCATAAATTTATAATTCTAAATCAATTTGGAAAAATATGGAGGTTGTCTCTTGTATTGATTTGAACAATTATGTTCCAAATACGCGCCTGCGTGTATGTAAAGCACAACATTTAGTAATAAACAGAACAAGCATGTAGAGAATCTGCACGTCAATGTCGTGCATAGCAGTTATCTACAACTAAAACGAAGGTCTATCATAGACTGAAATACTGTTGGGAAAAGGCGTAAAATGAAACAGACAAACAAACAAACATTTTTTTTTATTTTGGAAATTTAATCATGATGTAAAACGCAGTTGATGATATTCCGCAAATGTCGAATACGGACGCCGTTACCGAACAGGATAAATTGGATTTATCAAATGAGAAATGAAAAAAAATATTATTTGAAACCACGTGCTTTAAAATTGAACATGAAGGAGTCAGAGAAACACATTACAAGAGCTCGTTTTCAGACGGACATTTATACGGATGGTATTGCCAGGCCAAGAGCTAGTCTATCGTCAACTCCCCAGGATTCTACTCCACAGGGCAAGCGTTGGCCGTTTATAAATTTGAATAATCGGATTGACTACACTCCCAACGGTTCGTATCCTTAAGAAACAGTGACAATGTATGAAAGAAATATGTCTTTCTCCTAATATCCTTGTAGGGGTCGAATCAGATATTTCCTGTCAGCATGGCAAAAGATAACTTCAGATCAATGGATTCTATCCATAATAAGAGAAGGGTACAAACTGGAATATCGCCCATTCTCAATAAAATAAAGCATTTGAGGTTGAAAAATATTGAAAATTTGATGTTGTCATTGTGTCATTTTTTATCGCTGAAGTAAAAGTTTAGGGTATTTTGCAAGTTTGCCAGAAATATTTTGAACAAGAAACTATGATATAACAGGATGGCATTGATTTCGGTAATGACACTGTTTTACTTCGGTAACGATCTAATCAGATCTAATAATGTAACATATTGGCTGCATATTAATAACAAATGTCTGTAAAATATATCAAAATCTGTAAATTCTCTATCTAAAGGGACTTTCTAACCCAGGAAAATTCAAGGAAGTTGGGTACCTTACTAATTTTCAGTCAATTTCTTAAAAGTAAAATATTCATAGAAAGCAAAAAGAGTCAATTTTGGAAATGATTATTTATGATTATATATTTTTTCAAAACATTCAACTTTCCACTTTCCTAATATTTGGAAAATTTATTGATAAGCAGTTCTATATTTATCCTCATATAGGATGTCACGTATGTTTCATTTTATTCAAATGCAAGTAAAGGTTGAGAAAACAATTTTATTTTTTGTAAAATAATTTATATTTATGGATATTATTTTAACATTATTATATATAGAATGAAATACGGCCAGTAAGCTCTTTGCAGAAACGAATTAGTTGTTGCTGAGAACATCAATATCTTGTAATATATTTTTAATATTTCTGCTGGTACATCAATATATTATTAACATATCTTTCCTTTGTAAAAACAATTTTGTATCTTCTTACATCTAATACAAGGTAACCGTTACTAACAGGTGTGCTAATCCCAACTTTATCTTTAATTTTCAAAAATTATTGAATTGTAAGTTGGAGTAACGTATGTTTCACACTCGCTTATTTATGAACTTTATCACGGAATTGAAACTTACATGTAAAATCGACTTTTTTTTATTTAGGAATCAAATGTACACCATTCTATTGTCATAACAATGCGATTTTATGTTTTTATATATGCATGTGTAAGCAATATAAAGTCTGTTTGATAAAAGTAACGTTTGTTGGAGAAGTAGTTCTTACAACAAATGCTTCAAAGACCACGTATGGGGGTCATAGTTATGTTCAGGTTTCTTTGTCTAAGAAACAATCAAAACTCCATATCAATTTGTTGGAAATGAAGGCAGTTCATTTATGTCTGCAACATTTTGTAGAAAAGATTCAAGGGAAATCTGTAAAAGTGAAAATCGACAATACAACAGTGGTACAATATTTAAACGAATGCGGGAAAACAAAATCCAGCAATCTCCTAATAGAAACTTGGAATCTTTAGCAATCAATTTGCAACAAAAAATTCAAATATTTTAGGAGCAGTCCATATTCCAGGGGTTCAAAATGGTCTTATAGATCAATTGAGCCGTCAAATGATCGAGAAAACAGAATGGGCTCTGCACAAATCAGTGGTGCAGTCAATTAACAGCAGGTGGGAAGATCAAGCAATATATCTTTTTGCCTCCCATCTCAACCATCAGTGTTTTGTGCATAGTTTCCAACAAATCAAGCTGTTACAATAGATGCGTTCAGTATTTTAGGGAGAACAAGTTTGCCTATGCATATCTTTCCATTTGTCTGATTCCGAGAGTTTTGAAACATATTCAGCAGTACCATTGCAAATTATACTGATGGTCCCACTTTGGAGAAGGAGACATTGGTATCCGAATTTGCTGGAACTAGCAACAGCCAAACCACTACGGTTACTAAAATTCCGAATCTTCTGTCATAACCAAAAACCCGAATCCAAAAAAAATCTTCAGTCTGACAGTTTGGCTCTTGTCTTCAGACGTATCGAAGAGATTGGATTTTCATAAAAGTCTAGAAAGTAATTAATGGCCGCTTGGCAAACAGGAACTCAGAAAGATTATGTCAGCAAATTCAAAATATACAGTAGCTGGAGTATTGCAGGGCAAATTAATCCCTAAAGTGAAACTATGATAGAGATCGAAGATTTCATTGCTCATCTATTTAGTAATTATTTAGAATATAGTATTATTAATGGGTATAGGTCCATGCTATCGGCAGTTCTACCCTGTATTGATAACCATAAAGTGGGTCAACATATCAGACAACTTTTAAAAGGCGTGTTCAATCTTAGACCACCGAAAATTAAATTTGTTCCAGAATGGAATATAATAAAAGTTTTAGAAGTTTTACAAAACAAACCTTCTGAACCTTTGAACAAGGCTTCATTAAAAATATTAACATTGAAATCTGTTATTATGATTTCAGGAGGTGCAGTGATTTTCAGTCATTTCGTTAACAACATGGATCTTTAAATATTCAAAGTAAATGTATTAATTTTCTTAGACATGTCTAAACAAGACAGGCAGTCTCATCGTCAAGCTACAGTTTTCACTTCAGCATTTCCAGATAATAGAAAACTTGATCCAAAGTGATGTCTTTATTATTATCTTACGGCAACAGGACGTTTTAGGAAATCACAAGAAGGCTCGGGCAGAGATGAAACTAGAGCTTTCTCTCACTTTATGAACCTTACAAACCAGTTTCAGCTCTGATTATTTTTTCATTCGATTGTAGAATGTTTGAGATTAACAACAAAAATTTAAATGTAATAGGACATGTACTATTAGAGCTTAAGGATCCTCTTTAGCATTATTTAGAGGAGCATTAGCTGAGTCGATTATAAACTCGGCAGACTGGACTTCTGATTCAACTTTTGTTCGTTTCTATTTGAGAAAATTAAATTGTAATGTTCTTGAATAAAGAGTTTAATTTTTGCGAAAATAGAAGAATTTAGACACCTTCTGTCATTATGAAAATGGCAGAGACATGTCGTTTATATGTGTATTTATGTGTATACATGTACATATTGGGACTTTATGAACTATAGAATTCAAATTTTATTCTATCGTTTGTTGTTAATTTTTGAGGGATCATGTTAGGTGATTTATTAAAATGTTGTTTTTTTGTTTATGATGTTATTGTGATCATCTTTATACAAGGAAGATTCAAGACTTCGAGTATTTTTTTGTAATCTATAGTTTGTTAAGATAAAATAATGAAATTAAGATTTTATTTTTATTAAGGATGTATTTTTCCAAACTTTAATGGAATTGCCCGCTTTTACCGGAAAGCAGTTCTGCTGTTCATGAATTCGAAAGCTATAAATAGCTATAAATGTTCTGATTTTTGACACTTATGTTATAAATTTGTTATTTCCCTCTTTTAGCAGTACATAAAGTTACAATTTGTTACATTTTGAATTACATTTACACACAGTATACCAAATATACTATTAGTAATTGAATTTGTCAATATAAAGAAGATTTCAGGTATAAGACTTTGGTAATTGTGCTTTTGATAATTATTCTTAGTTTATATTTATGAAACTAAATGTTTAAAAATAACATGTTGATATATTGGTTGTTTCGAAATAATTATAACTTTAGTATATATGGTTACATTTCATTGTTATCATTGGTCCTGGTAAAAACAGCCCTTTTCGGGGCTAACCGTTCCTATTGTCACAGGTTACTGTACATTTAGGTTCTCATTGACTTTTGGCTCAAAATTCATACCTTTGGCTAATACTCCGTGGAAATTACATGGAAGTAAATTATCACCACTGTGTGCTTCAAAATTAACTCTTTAAGGACATGACTGGTGACATGTCCGGGGTCCGTACTCGACAGCGAAAGCTGCATTTTGTGCACGAAAGGGCGGATAGGCCCTCATTAAGCTTTAACTTTATCATCATCTTATCATTGGTCTTATCCAAATCCCTCCAGAGGTGTGCACGTCGCGAAAAAGACACACGGCAGGTCAAGATGAAGTCATCAGAGGTGATTGGTTAACATGTCGAGACTAACTCTGCAGTGTTGGCGTTAACAAAGACGTTTTTGTTATCGTCGGTGAAGAAGTTGATGTCTGTACAGTATTGTTGTCTCCTTTACCACCAACGAATGAAGAATGGGCTACCAGGAAGATTCTGCTTGAAAAAGACGTCCCTGATGTGACTACCGTAGTGGGCCGGCAAGGATGCTATAATCTCGGACATATGGTTATTCCGGCGCCGAGTATAAATTAACTTAAAACACACACACAAACACACACATATCATTGGTAACACACGGAGGTAAATTATCAAGTGCTACAAAATTAACTCTTTAAGGGCATGACTGGTGACATGTCCGGGGTCCGTACTCGACAGCGAAAGCTGCAAGTTGTGCCCTTACGGGCGAATGGACCCTCATTAGGCATAGACTATAGATAGATAGATCGCATCATTGGTAACAACAGAAACTTTGATCAGCAGTTGAGGTACATACATGAGGTGTATTGTTTTTTTTATGAATGGTTTTAAAGCAATTCAGCAAAAAATATATTGATCTCCCAATAAATCAATTAACAATAGCTTTTGATATATCACCAATGATATCATATACTTGCTTAGTAAATTTCCTCATACCTGCCTAAAATTCAGGTAACAGTCTTCTATCAGTATTGAAAGAAATCGTTATTTTTAATTTGACATAAAAAAATGCATGTAATATTACTATATTATAATATTAGTGCCCTTTGTTACTATTTGTATATTTGTTACAATTATAATAATAAAAAAACAGACTTTGATATTTTTATCACTATTTGTATATTTGTTACAACTATAATAATAAAAAAATGATCTTTGATATATTTATCATCTTATGTTACTGCGTAAATTAGTGACACAAACAGAACACAGTACAGTCATGTCACATAACATTTACAAGTATTGTAAGTCTTGTTTGTCATTCAATGGAATTACTTTCCTTACCAGATAGGCATCAGTGACAGCATTTTTTTAAATTAAATATCTGGCCCCTCTTTTTATTTATGGACAGTGCATAAGATAAGTATAATTATGCAAAAAGTGGTTTACAAAACATTCCGAAAAAATCTACAATAGTACTTAATCTGAATATAACATGAGCTGTGCGTAGGAATAATTTGGTAGGGCATCTGTAATGAGCGCATTTTTTGCGCGGAGCTTCTCAATTGCTGCATTGCAGCAACATTTGTACTTGTGTATCTTAGAGATCAATTTAAACACATAATTGGAAAACAGGTCATGTATTTGTAAAGTTTATATGATATTTTATTTTTACCCTTAATGAGACGATTCCAAAATTAGATCATTCCATTTTTAATCATGAAAAGTATTGGATACCGTCCAATGTCGCCCATTAGCACCAAATTCGACCGTTAGCATGTTTATGGGTCAATTTATGAGAGTTGGTTACTTTATGTAGAAATTAATTATTAACCTTTTCTAACATCTAACATTTAAATTTTCAAATCCAAATATTTCCGATCCATATATCAAAAAAGGTAAGACAGTGTGATCAAATAGTTTAATAATATGATCTAGCGGTAATTTTAAATGCCTTATATGCCTGTTTCTAGATTGAAGCTAGAGAATGTCACACCTTAGTAATGGTAAAAATTGGATTTTTTTAATATTATCATCTCTTAAATTTAAATCAAAATTCCTAGTTTATCGAGCACAAAAAATTACTATTTTACATGCCAATTATAACAGTAAAATTAAAATAGTTCAAGAATAATTGTTAAAATTTGGATATCACCAGCAGTGTAGTACCGTTTGCATAGAGACGAACAAGAAATTTTAGCCATAAAGTAAGATCGTCGTGATCCAAAGTTCCACTTTTTCTGTTAATAAGTTTGGAGGTCAACACGGATAATAGGACTGGAGACAAATGTTTACCCTGCCTTAACCCTATTTTGGAAATGAACGACGCCGATACAGATCGATAATGCGAAAAAAAAAATTTAATTTTGTTGGAAATATTATGAAAATTTACCATTTGTAGAATTATCGAGCAATGTATGCCCAAGGTCCACCCTCCATACTTTATCAAATGCTTTAGAGAAATCTATAAAAAGTTTCAGTTTTTTTTCTTTTTAAGCTTTCAGTAAGAGAGTATGTGCAAATAAGTGATCAGCGCTAGGAAACCAGTTTGATTTTCATGTAGAATATTATCAATTCTTAGATATTTTTTTATCGGTTAACCTGTTGTTTAGCACCAATGTAAATAATTTAGCGAAATTCTCTTTGTAAAAGCAGTCCGACATGTATATAATATTTCACTACTCGGCATAATCTCGGCACTTCACTAATCTGAATAACAGATGTTCATTTTGGCGGCGTTAAATTACGATCAGAATATTCCTGAAGCTTTTCGGAAATAGCAGAGAAAATTTCATTGATTAACAAATATTCATCCACGTAATTTGTGATTGTGACTTCATTGACAATTCTATAAGCCAATGTCACTTTTAAACTATGAAAGCGTTATGATTCGTTGGATACTTGTAACAAAATAATAATATTTCTTTCTTTTAAATCGCTTGTTTTAAGCTGTTTTGAAAACTTCTTTGAGTTGTATGTTTCGTTGAGAAGCGCTGTTATAGATATTGAATGATAGCACTGTACTTTTAAATCTGTGACCAGAAAATACAAAAAAAAATTATATTGGACTGATAAAGACTACGCGAACTCTTACACCATCGCGGTTTAACTTTAAACTCTCAAAGCGATAAATGAATCGAGGACTATACAATAAATTACAACATGCAACAGTTTGCTTTTAGCGCGCGATTTAGAACAGTCTACGAATTATAGTAATTGAACATAAGTCAAATTCTATATTAGATGGATAAATCCAATTCAGCAGGTAAAAATGATAAATATTACATCATGTTTTTAAATTGATATTCTGATTTGGTGGTTATTGTTTTGCCCCCATGCGATTTGAGTTTTAGATCATAAAATAATATCCTTTAGATAAACTGTTTTATTTCTTGGTCATGTCTTAACGTCATGTTATATGTTATATGGCGACTTTCCAGTTTTATTGGTGAAAGAAGACTGTACATTATTTCAGGTACAAACGGGCACTTGAGTAGAATCACTGACGTCTCGTAAGCAATCTGGAATTAGATTTCTCACATGAAGAATCTGATGACGCTTTGGCCGTTCGAACCTACAGCGGTGAGAGGCATTGGTTTGAAATCAATAACTGCTATTCTTAATTTAAGATGATAAACAGCTAAATGATTACCTTTTCATAAGGTTCAGCTGAGCCATCTGGAAAGAATAATTTACAACTTCTCATGAGTTTGATAACTCGAGCTATATCAAGGGATTTTAAACTTGTGTAGTTCTCTATCGCTTCGTCTTTGTCTATGTGCATGTATAATTTCATAACTTTCCATTTTAAATCCTCTTCTTGATTATCTGTATTGGGTTCTCCAATGCTTCCACTTGAAGTTGTTTCTTCCCATTTGAACTTTAAATCCTGTTTCTGCACATGATTGTTAACAAAACGTTCCATAAGTATTTTGCATTTGTCATGGCTACAACTCCATTGCTTAAAGCCTGTTTGTTGTGTTCTTAATAAAGATATTTTATTTAAGTCTAAGCATATGAAAAATTGTTTTAATTCTAAAGGTGGAATATCTATTAGGTCTTCATCGAGTTTGTCAGAAATATGATCACACAAAGCAGTCTGTGCTGTGTTAAGTCCAAGTACACCTTTTAGCCAGTTTTTGAACTCTTTGTTGTAAATATTAATCGGCATTTTCTTCTTTTTTAAACAAGCAACAAGCAAATTCTTGTTTTTCTTCCCGTGGTTAAACAACAAAATTATTACAGTTCCTCGATGTATACATTAGATTTCCTAAAAGTAAACTAAGAGAAAAAATATCAAGAAATAAATAAACAAGATATGTTTGTAAAACATGTATGCCCTCTATCGGCAGCTAATTATTTATGTGGTTAGGTTATCATGACTGACTTTCGACCTAATGACCTTAAGGGGTTATCTACTGGTCATGAATAGTCACTAGGTATTTGTGACCGTAAAAGTTGTGTGCAGCCATTTCACAAACCTTACCAAATAACTTTATCGTAAATGTTATGAATCTTGTAGGCTTCCTTAATGACAGCAAATTTGAAAACATTCGACCTTGTAATGTGTATACCAAAAGCATTTTAGTTTAATAAAGAATATCAACCAAGGCAACTTAAATTATGGAGTTATTGGTCGGAAACCGTTTTTACCTACAAGGTAAATATGACTTTGTCCTTTGACACCCTTGACCCCAAAAACAATAGGGATCATCTACTGGTTATAAACAATCATCATACCAAGTTTTAAATTCAAAGGGCTAAGCGTACTTTAGTAATTGATCGGGAACCGTTTTTACCTAGAAGGTCAATGTGACCTTGACCTATCACCCTTTGTCATTAAAATCAATAAGGGTTATCTACTGGTCATGTAAAATCATCATACCAAGTTTGAATATCCTAGGCCTAAGATTTCATTAGTTATTGATCGGAAACCATTTGGTCTACGGACCGACCGATAGACGGACAAATGCAAAGCAATATACATGTACCCCCACTTCTTTGAAGGGGGCATAATAAAGTTATTCCCCGTAACAATGTATTATTTTCCGTCTAACAATTTTTAACAGGCGTTATGATAAATTACAATGCGTTAATTACAGATTTAGAGTGTTTAACTAAAACATAGGCACTTAGTAATACTGGAAGTTACATAAAATCTATCAAAATGTACCCAGGAATAGAAATTGTCTTGCCTCTTAAGTAATGCATTAAAATAATACATTTAAGTCATGTCATTCACAGTTCCATCTTGATGATCAAATATTTTAGCATGTCTAACCAAATATTATGTTTTGTTTAGACGTGGTCGTATACTTTTGATTGAAACTTACGTTGTTATGTACGCGTTGCTAATCAATTTCGTTAGAATGTGACCAATCAGAATCTGCAAATTACTGGTTAGCATTCCGGTACCGGAATAAGCAGTTTCTGCACTGTTTTGCGCTTTCCTTTTATGCCGAGAACCGGACATTAGTCTCTAACAAATAAAACACGTGCAATTTCTTTTCACAGAATAATCACATCAAGAGGTATTTCATCCAGCAACTTTTTGATAATCACGTAAATACCGTGAAATTATAAACATAATTCAAGTATGATATTTAAAAACTAAAATTAAAAGTATTAACGTAAACAAATTTTTTATTGTTTACTCCTAAAATATAGGTAATGCGCACGTGTCAATCGGAATATCCTCGGCTGTTATCTATAATAACCTCGGAGTAAGTTGTTCTATCACGAGGTTTCAGATGTAAAGAGAAACATAGTGTAATGTAAAACGAATGTATATAATTAACTTCCAAAAGTATGTTTCGGTACAATTATGATTTGAAAATATGACTGACAACGCTTTTTAATTAAAAAATGCCCGCATATGTACAATTTTAAACAAATCCGTCTTAATGTCAGGTTTGCATTTTGTACTTTCGGTTTCTACAACCATAATTATCAATATATAAATAATGTATTGTTTGCTGTTGTATCTATGAATTCACTTATTTTATGTGGATTTTTACATGATATATTGGAAATAAACTTGTCAACAACTCCCAGCATTAAAATACTATTTGTTTACATGTTTAGTTTCTTAGCCGAAATACCGTATCCGTTCTGTGTATTCATTCTATTGTGTTCGAGATCCTTCTCCGAAGACTGACAAAAACGACTGAAAATGCGATTGGTGCACGTGTCTGAGACGATAACAACGTACATATTAATTCATTAAAGTTTTTTAAGGAATTTTCCCTGCGATTTTTCCACTGCAAGTTGTGGGAAACATTCCAGTGTTCATGAATTCGCAAACAAATATGTGACTTGGTTTAGAAAATTTATTTAAAGGCGCAAAGCTTGGAAAAAGGTACGATCGGAAAGAAACATATAGGTAATATAAGGGCCTCTTTGGCGCCACGACTGCGCATGCGCGACGCCAAATTTGATGCTATTGTTAGAATGACATCATCGTTCTATTTTAAGAATGTTATCATCCGTCTATTTTTAGAAATTTATTTTTAATCTCCCTGAAGTATACGGAGCTGACTCGTATACACGATCTTAGGGCTTGAATCGTGGACATTGTAGGTCAGGTCCTCGGCCCTAGACGGGGAGATAATCCTTTATGGAAAAGAAATGTCTTTATATAAAACTTGCTCAACTAAAACGTATTGATAAAAGGATTAAAGAAAATGTATCGTTTTAATAAAATGTACAATCATATTTTATACTTGAATGTTTTGAATAAAATAAATATAAGTACAATGAATAAAAATTTACTTGTTGTCTCCTCGGCGTTTCATAACCAAATGACTGCTCCCATAAGTGTATACTCCCTCAATACGCATGCTCGGACCTGTTTTTACAAACGATATCATAAGTTATATTTAGATCAGGTCACGAGTGCATCAAACGTGGTCATAGTCGCAATGTCTAGAGTGTGTTGATTTAACAGCGGATGAGCAGACAATAAAAAGTAAACAATTCAAATTTAATCTCCTGCGTATTTTTTTAATACCAGATGGTTTAACATAAAAAATAGCCTATTCATCTGTCAAAGTTAATCCCCTTAAAGTCGCCGCAATGTTTGGCGTGTGTTTATTTAGGGACGGATACACTCACAAAGGACTATTGAGATGCCAAAGTAAATCCCTTTAAAGTCGCCATTACGTCTAGCGTGTGTTGATTTAAGGACGGATTGGTTAACAATGCGCCATTGATATGTCAAGTTAATCCCTGTGCGTGTATTAATATAGAACAGGAAGAAAGACGCCCTAATGTTAGGAAGTGGTCTCCCCGACCTGCATTATACGAATGAAAATATTTTTCTTTTTATTTGAATGACATGTTAACTCTTCAAAATAAACACTAAATAGACTCAGTCAAATACATTTTGACATAATGTATCTAGAAAAAACGCCTTTTTGTCTTTAATGCAACACTTTTCGATATTGATTTTCAAGATATTTGTTTAATTTGAAAATGACATGTTTACTTTTTATTGTCTGCTCATCCGCTGTTAAATCAACACACTCTAGACATTGCGACTATGATCACGTTTGATGCACTCGTGACCTGATCTAAATATAAGTTATGATGTTGTTTGTAAAAACAGGTCCGAACATGCGTATTTAGGGAGTAAACACTTATGGGAGCAGTCATTTTGTTATGAAACGCCGAGGAGTCAACAAGTAATATTTTATTCATTGTACTTATATTTATTTTATTCAAAACATTCAAGTATAAAATGTAATTGTATATTTTATTTAAACGATACATTTTCTTTAATCCTTTTATCCATACGATTTAGTTGAGCAAGTTTTTATATAAAGACATTTCTTTTCCATAAAGGATTATCTCCCCGTCTAGGGCCGAGGACCTGACCTACAATGTCCGCGATTCAAGCCCTAAGATCGTGTATACGAGTCAGCTCCGTATACTTCAGGGAGATTAAAAATAGATTTCTAAAAATAGACGGATGATAACATTCTTAAAATAGAACAATGATGTCATTCTAACTCTAGAATCAAATTTGGCGTCGCGCATGCGCAGTCGAGGCGCCAAAGAGGCCCCTATACTACTCACATATTTATTTATTAGAAGAATATCGACTGATTTACAACAGAAAGAAATAGCATGCGATAATATAAATGCATGAAATTCATTTCATTAAGTCAGTTGTGTTTACATTTCGAAGCTTGTTATCTTCAGGAAATTAAAGCGTTGGTAAAATATTGACTTTTAAAAATGTTATGAAATTCTGTTCAAAGTTGTTCACGTGTTAGACACTTAACCCTCTCTCACTAATATGAACAAACAATTAAAACTAGTTATTGTAATAAATAATACTTTAAGTTTTTAATATTCAGGGGCGGAGAAGGGCGGGTGTCTACACTACATGTGTCTGTGCAACGTTTGTATTTTACAAGGTGTTGTCCGGGGCCGGACATCTAGCGTCATTAGGGGTCTCCCTATTTACTGAGAAAAAACACCAAGAACCGACAAAAACCTATATATTGCAACTAAACAATATAAATGTTATCAATGATGGGCATATTTAATTTTAAGTGTCTATCTTTATATAGAATATTAAATATATGAGCACCGACAAATATACCGACAAGAAAAAATCGGGCCCAACGCGTATAATGAATGTTGATACCGACAAGAAAATATTGGTAACTTTAAATAATCAGTTGCAAAATTTTGTGCTGAAAATATCTTATAGTAAAAAAGTTGGAAATTTGCCTTATGATCTTAACAGTGTCTGTGCGACATATAAGCTAAAAGAACAGTCACAAAAAACCAATTAAAAGAAACAAAAAAGAAAGATGATACTTGTTAAAACTTATTTGTAGATTTCAGATCTTCAAAATAATAAACCAAAATGGTTGATTTCATTTAAAAGAAGCTAATCATGTTTCGGTTCATTAATATCTCGTTAAATGGTAATGCTTACTGGTTAATATAAATGGTTAGGATATCAATGATTTATTTTTTAACTTTTTATCTAGGCTATCTTGACAATGACAATGACAAAATTTATTTGCTTTTTGGCCTCCAGCCCATGCAAAATATAATACACAACATATTTACAGAGCACAGTAAGTGCATAACAATTAACATATTAGCCATTTTATACAACAAATTATAATTAATATTGTTAATTATAGATATATTGTCGCAACATTTATCATATTATACAATGTATATCAAATTCGCATTACCGTTTCAGGGTTACATTTATTTTGCGAAACTTTTAAAGCAACTATAAATATGCAAATTTGATAAAGTCATTCTAGTGTTACCCAGGATTACTAATTCTTGCATATCAGGCTTGCGTTTCTGTCCGGATATTATATCTGGCATGAGGAATTCCAGATGAGCCGCGTGCTACATAATGGCGTTATTTTACCGTTATGAAAGTTGTAATTTCATACACTTTTGTAAGAAAATAGTGACGGGTGAAATGACCTTATGTAAATATCCCGAGCCTCAACATATGACAGATATTATTAAGATCAAACAAGGAACTCCACTTGTATTAAATTAAAACGCTTATCACATAAACCGTGGCGCAGGAGTGTAATAAAGCCATTTAATAAAAACGATATTACACTATTAACACTCTGATGTGACGTCAGTTACGCTATATAATTATAAACATAGCGTTAAGGCGCGCTAATGTTAGCGTTACACTATAGGCGCGTCATTGAAAAATTGCTCATTTTAACAGTTTACTGTTCTTATTTTACATATGTGATAAATAGAATATTATATTCGTGTAGATTCATCTTTAAATTTATTGAACTCATTGAATAAAACAATATTATGTTCGCCAGAGGCTCGCATAATATGATTTTATTCAACTCGTTCAATAAATTTAGTATTAAACTATACCCATTCAATATCCTCTATATATTCATTCTATTATCAAATATTAAACAATTTGAATAAAGAAATACTTAAGGCTTAAAAAGAGTACAAAATAAAATATAATTTAATTGAAATCTCCAAAATACACGAACAAAAAATAAAGAAAACGTTATTTTATCATTCATCTTTTGTTTAAATATAGATATTTACATAGACATGTAATTCTACGATACGAGGAATAGTTATCTGAGCCGTGACATGACATTTCCAACAAAGTGGTCAAATTTGAAATTTTCCTTTTTTCAAAGATTCTCGAAATGCATTATTTTTTGAATCATTAAAGACATTTTTTTCTTTCTTTTGGAGAATGAAAACTTGATTTTAAACTCTATTGAACATTATTGGCGACGTCGTTTTTTCGGGGTCAGTGACGGCGTCATTGAAAAATCTTATATCATACGAATTAAACTGAATCATCGTTTTTCTTGACATTATATGCCTACATGTATAAACGTATCTCAGTACGCAAAACGCATGTAAAATTGAAATTATTGACAAAGAAGAGCACAATATTATTCTATTCAACGAGTTAAATAAATTTAGTAATGAACCGATACGAATGTAATATTCTTTTTATCACATGTCCAAATTGAAGTGCAGAGCATCATTTTTCATCGACGCGGCTATATTGTAAAGCTAACATTTAGTGCGTCTTTACACTATGTTTGTATTACGTCATTGACGTCATGTCAAAATATATGCACGGCCGTACAATACTGTTTTTACGGAGTTGCAAGTCGTGAGATTACATATTGACAGAAAAAAGACTTATATGAACATTTATCGTATTTAGTTCATCTCATACTGTAGGCGTAGACAGATAATGAATAAAGAAAAGTAGTAAATCTGTAAAACGTATTTTAAAATATGAACCCTGAACTGACATGATAAAATGCACAGTAGCACTTTGTAATTACTGTGTAAGCATGTTTTCCAGTCAAACCATGTTCATTCTGAATATTTCACTGCCTCATGTTCGGTTAAATAAACCCTTACAATAATTATATCTTACCTTGAATATTTTAGATTTTACATTTTTATGTATAACCATACCAGTGTAGACTAACAGTGATACATAAGAATCGACTTTAATTTTAGAGACAACATTTTTTTTTTGTCATCGGTATTTTTTTTATTTTTTTTTTAATTGATAATTTTCTTCTCATGAAGTGATAGATCTAGTAAACATACCTGTAAAGTCCCTTATAATTTGCAAATCCATAATCTACAAACTTTATTTTTTTATTTAGAGTTATCACTGCGGTGAAAATTGTTTATTAGTAGTTAAATATAAGGGATTATAACCACTTCACATTTTGGAATATGAATACAATCGGGAATGTGCGACCATGCTTGACCATTTGCGATTGGACGACGAAATTCACGAAGTGATCCGTTAGCGTTCGTGATCGAATTTTGATAAAGGTAGGTGGTAAAATGTGTTTACTCGCGATGTTAGCGATATTTATATTGTAATAAAGGCCTTGATTTTCGCTTAAAAAACAAAGAGATACCTTGTTTTTTTTCTTTAAACAGACGACGTGTCTAAGCCTTTTGGTAGTGCATTTATGCCTTATTGATTAAAATAACGTGTAAGTTTACCAGTGTTCACGCGCTGATTATTTGATTAACTACTGGGATAAATTTATAAAGACCTTTAACAGCGTGCTTTAAACGCTTTGTTAGTTAAATATTTGCAGATATACATGTATAATATAGTCCAAGTAGGAAAAACCGGTAATTTTCCGATTTCATCTTCATGAATTCACATTTTTAACTTTGTGAATTCACGTTTTCAACATACGAAATTAAAGAATTCACGATTTCAATTTTACGAATTCAACTTCAGGAATTCACAATTTTAACTTCATGAATTCACAATTTCAACTTCATGAATTCACGATTTCAACTGTACAAATTCACGCTTTCAATTTTATGAATTCAACTTCGTGAATTCACGATTTAAACTTTTTCAATTCACGATTTATATGTCTCGAATTCACGATTTCAAGTTAACGAATTCACGATTTCAGCGTTATGAATTTACGCCAGTTCAACTTCACGGATTCTTGATTTCAACTTCATGAATTCACGATTTCAACTGTACGAATTCACGATTTCAATTTCATGAATTCAACTTCGTGAATTCACGATTTCAACTTCACGAATTCACGATTTCAACTTCACGAATTCACGAGTTCAACCTCAATGTATATGTCACGTGACCGTGACGTCATTTAGCCATAATGAATAGCTAATAAAGACGCGGGGGAAAATGGTTACAGCTACCACGTAGCGAAGAAGGGAATATTGGAATGGCCTTCGTCTGTCCGTCCGTCAGCCTGTCTGTCTGCCCGTCAGTGTCCGCTTCATAACTTTTAAACCGCTTTTTTTAAATAACTTGGCACAAGTGATCGCCATAATGAGGTAATGTGCAGAGCGTAAAATTTGGGTTGTACCCCCAAGGTCAAGGTCATTATAAAAGGTCAAATGTTTAAAGTCTTCATTTCAAAATAAAAAGTCTACATTTCGTGTCCGTCCCATAATTCTTAAACTGCTGATTTTTTTTAATGTCACTTGGCACAAGTCATCACCATAATGAAACGGTGTGTAGAGCGCAATAATTGGGTTGCTATCCCAAGGTCAAGGTCACACTTAAATGTCAAATGTTAAAATATCTTCATTTCATAATGAAGGCAACATTTCGTGCCCACTCCATAAGTTTTAAACCGCTGAATTTTTAAATAATTAATTTGTCACAAGTGATTACCATAATAAGACGATGTGCAGAGGTAAATAATAAGGTTGCTACCCTCAAGGTCAATGTTAAAAAGTCTTCATTTCATAATTATAAAAATTCTAGAACCCCATATATGTTCTTTTTAAACCAACTGATATGAATTTTATGTATGCGTAAAACATGAACAGGAATGAAATCGGAAACAGGTATGTTTATTAACTATTGCTTTTTAATTATCATAATTGATCATTATTTAAATTATTTACTTCTATAAAGAATTTATATATAGATATTCATCTCATGAGATAGAAAACTTAAGAATGAGAAAAAATATAGTACCGATACTACTATTCAGGTACAAATTCTATATGTCGATGATAATGATAGTAATGATAATGATGATAATGTTGCTGCTGCTGCTGATGATGATGATAATGATGACAACCTTCTTGCACTGAAGTAATAATAAAATATTTTGCAGGAAGAGCGTCGTGGTTCCGAAGACAATGATGAAAACTAGCGAAACGACAAAAGAACAATGAGAACAATGACAGGTATTTCTTTCATTGTTAGTTTGTTGATCAATCCACGCTTACAGTCATTATACATGTAAATGTTGATAACATCAACTGCTAAGTACGTATGCTCAAATCGTATATGGGGGCGTCCGTGACCGATTGGTTAAGGTCGTTGTCTTCAAACCACTTGCACTTGCCGCTCACCGCTGTGGATTCGAATCCCTACAGGGACTTTGGATTCTTTCATGTGAGGACGCTATCCAGCTAGCTTACAAAACGTCGGTGGTTCTACTCAGGTGTCCGTTCGTGCCTTAAATAACATACAGAAGGGCACCTGAGGTCTTTCTCCACCAGTAAAGCTGGAACATCGCGATATGACCTATACTGTGTCAATGTGACGTAAAACCCAAACAAACAAACAAATCGTATATAAATATTTTCTTAATTTTATTAATATTTCAGGAACTTTACTCACGGACATACTGTTGATCACCAGAATGACAATTGAACCAATAATAAAAATAATAATAACAAGATGCTATTTAATATGTTCTAAATATGGAAAACAATTTTCAACAAAGCTCAATCGAAACAAACATGAAAAGAAATGTGCTGGGCGTTTAGTTAAGAAATCCCGGAAAATGTAGTATATGTGATATGTAGGAAGCAATTCACAAACTATAGAGGTCGACTCAAATATGAAAAACTTTGTAGAAGCAAAAATGAAAAAGAATCAATCTTTTAAGGAGAATAAATGGTTTCAATGTAAACCCTGTGATACGATATTCGCTTCCCCTCGACTTTTAGTTAAACATAAAATCAGTTTAAAACATAACCAATCCGTGGGACGTGAACAGGGAATCAAAACTGTATAAATAATTCTACAAAAAACTCAGATAGTGGGGCAAATGGAATACAGCGAACGTCCAAAACTAGACACGTTCGGCTTAAATGTCGACGGTGTGACAAGTTTTACGAACTACAAAGATTTGTACCATCACAGAATATCAGTGAATAATCAACCGAGTGCTTCGAATTAACAACCTTATCCTTGGGATGACAGGATTGAATGTCCTACATGGAATAATGCCGACGGGAGTATAATTGATAGAATGAAGCAGCTTTACATAGAACATAGACATGTGATTTTGGGAGAAAGGGTGGGAGAAGGTGATATGAGGAGTACATACATATTTCCAGTTCCAAATTTATAAACGATGGAACAGTACTGTTAGAAGATCAAATAAATTTTATTTTTGAAAGAAGTCAAACTGCTTTTAAAATAAATATCTCATTTGGACTCGTTTTACAACATGTTGAGTCGGAAGAATACATATACTTTTCTGCGCATTACACCGATGTATTTTTTTTATTTCCAAAGCTTATCAATAATAGAAAAGACATTGAAATGTTACTTTTGCAGTAATCTAAACTGGATATTCCCGTTATTTGATTTTCATAAACAAAAGGCAAATTCAAAATGGCGCCCGGTGTTCATTTCAAATGTATTGTGTAATGTAAACAATACGAGTTCAACCATTACCGAAATATATCTTACACTCGAAGAGTATAGTATCCTTTCAAAAGAATCCATAAACAAAAAGATGATTAAACGAGGCTAATTTATACTTTTTTTCGCTGTTTGTCTTATCACAAAATAAAGAATATTCAATGCGAAACTAAAACTAAAGAATTTTATAATACATGGATGCAGTATTGCTCCACAGACAAATTAAAACTGAAAGACGTTACACTAAATAGAATTTGCGCTTTGAGACAAATATAAATGTTTATTAACTTATTGAAGATAAGACTGTTAAGGTGCTATACAGATCCTGAAAAGTCTTCTCTGGTGAGACAAACAAAACAATGAATTAAAATCTTTTTGAAAACAATCTCAGTTCTATATCAAAATTTTCATTGTACACCTTAACATTTCATTGCAGATTGTGTGACAAGCTATCTAATCGATAAGATATTCCTATTCAGCATCAGAAAACATGTCAAAATGCTACAAAATTAAGATACCGCGGTGGTTACTACACACCACCGAAATCTTTCTTCGATCAACTAAAAGACTTTGGGATTAGTGTGAATAAATCTCTACAGAATTACCCTCTGTTTGTCACATTTGATTTCGAAGCCATGCTTAAAACAGTTAGCGAACATTCGAAAGACCCGCTTACCAAAACACAGCTTCACCAGTCAGTATCGGTCAGTGTCTGCAGTAATGATGATGGTTTTGAAAATTTCGAGTTGTTAATTGAATCCGATCCAGACATCTTACTGAATAAAATGATATCGTAAATGAATAACCTATCAGATAGAGTGTATGCCTCAGCAAAAATCAGGTGGAGCGAAGTGTATACGAGTTTAGACATTCAACAGTCAGTGGAACATGAAAGACGACATTAATTTGGGTAGCTCTGATGATGATTATGATGATGATGATGATAATGAGAATCAAGAAAAAGAAAGTTAGGAGATTGAGACGCCTTCAAATGAATTTCTATACGCCACGAGCAAAGAAAATGTTTTCTATAAATGTTTGAAAACCTCTAGTCTTCAGGTACATTTCAAGTACAATTTAACGACTGGGAGAGTGACAGAAGCCTCAGCCCAATCCCGACAATCAACAGTTGTACAGAATGTGCCAGCAAGACTGGTAAAATCTTGTTTTTTCGATTCTGTTGATCTACATTACCTTTTCGTGTACTGAATGCCAGGTCTACTATAATAATGGAAAGTGTTTATGATGATAATGATGATGTTGCTGATAATGACTTTATTCAACCTTGTCGTGCATTAAACTCTAGACGAATCGAGAGTGATGACTACAACGAAGATTATGATGATGGTTATGTAGATGATGTTACTGCTGCTACTGCTACTGCTGCTGATGATGAAGATGACGATTATGATTATGATAATGATGTTGACGAGTACAGATCTGTTCCTGTAACTTTGAAATTAATTTCCAAATTCATTCTCCAATTTCGCGAACGTTTTAGAACATACTGTAAACAAATTGCAATCATTGGATATAATTCTGCCAAGTATGATTTAAATTTTGTAAAAAATAAATTAGCAGAACATTAAAATCCTCATAAAACCATCAACACACATTTGTGGTAAAGAAGAAAAGTGCCTACATGTTTGTAAAACAACAACCTTAGCTTCTTGGATATGATGCAACCTCTAACTAGGTACGTCGTATGAGAAGTTTTTAAAAACATTTGATGTGAAACAGAGTTACTTTCCTTATGAGTACTTCACTAATTTTCGGTGTAAGGAAAGCCATCCTTTCCACCAAAAGAGGCTTTCTTTTACACATTAAAACAATGTAACGTTCTGGAAGACGCAACCACTATAGACTTTGAAAAACTTACAAAAAACGATATTAAATCAGAGAAAGAGGTTTTGGAGCATTTAAAGTTAGAATCACCACCTCGAACATAGATGAAAGATATGAACCTTTACTAGAAATGTGGCGTCAAATCAACATGCAAACATCTTTTAACTTTTTGAAATATTAAAATAATCTAGACACTTCGCCAATGGTGGAAGGAATAGAGAAGTATATAATTACACTTTGTAGATAAGGGTACAGAATCTTAACCAAAGCAGGCATTTGAATTATAAAAGGTTTGTTTTATTAATTATGTTTAACTTTTTTTTCAAATCGTACAATATCATAATTGTTACAAAAATGTATATAACAATGACAGGTATTTCTTTCTCTATCTTGTTGTACAATCCTTGCTTCAATAGTTATGAAACTTCGTTTTGTGTCTTTGTACTCCATGCTATTCTGTCCACTAACTGTAAATTGTATTGGAAAAGTATCCGTTTTTTGTCCAATTGGTAGTACTTGTTGAAAATAACTTGTCTACTGCTGTTTGAGTAGGATTTAGGCAAAATATATCTAGTTCACTAGGTTGTCCCTCAACTATATAATCAGAATTGATAGCCGACACATTCTCCCTTTACTCTTGAATTATTCTTCGTCTTCTTCTTATCCAGAGGAGTGCTTTTGCAAGACTGGTTTTTAGTCGGAGTATATTTCCTTTTTGTTTCCTTTTTTTTTTGTTTTATTTCCCTGGTTAATTGATGTACTATCTGCTGAGCCGGAGATACGAATTCAACTTTCAATCCAATCCTTGTGTTTTACTTGTTCATGTCTGATCACGTGTTTCAATTGAAATTTTTTGATTTTGTTAAATTTTGTTTATAGTTCTATTTATCTTTTATCAGAGATTTTTCCAGAGTGAAAAAAATAGGATGTTCTGATGTTCCAACAGATTCTTAAAAAATATCCATTTTTCATATAATAAGGTACGTATTTGTGATTGTGATTCATTTCGTTTATATCGTTAAGATCTGTGTGATCTTAAATGTTTACTGCAACCCCTTGATCGTTAGTAATTCTACATTCTATCTCATTAATTTCTCATTTATAATAAAAAGATCAAAATACTGTGTTTTCGCTATCATCTACAACCATTTGTCTCAGCCAAGTAGCATTTTAGACTGGTTTGGGGAAAATGTTCATCCTACAGCATTTTATAGTACAAGCAGGTAGTTAATCTAACTTACCTATTTCGAGTACGGAAGAAGGGGGGAGAAACTGGCAATTTATTGTCGATCTTTCTAAACTATTTGTTTTTAAATGTTTAAATGTAGCCATCAGAGGACACTGTACGGGAAGCTCTGCATGTGATGGTGACACTCATTTAGTTTGCAAGAACACATTATGCAAGTGTGCTGAACACTTTGGAGAAAAACTTTAACCGTCAAGATATAGGAAGGAAATACCAGATGTAGTTTTATCTATCTATAAAAACGCTTTGATAACACTTAATACGATCTTTCAATATCTAAACTAATATTTGTTGCATGATTTGTGCTACTGTAATATTATGCAAAGAATTGCAAAATAACACCAATCGATCAATCAAGTAAATCAAAGAAAAATAGTGTGATGAAAGCTTTGAACTGAGATGAGTTTTTTCATTCTCGTATTTTGAGATTTTCTTTAACTTATCACGAGTACATTAGAAAAGGTTAACATATTGTAAATGAGTTTGATGATTAAATATTTAACATTTTGTTACACATGATCGAATCATTTGCATTAGACAACTTGTCATCAAATTTATTGGTTACATTATTAAAAAGTCGTAAAATGTTTAAGCCTTAGATAGCAAGGCATACACGCCACCTAAGGGTACAAAGTGTGGTGCTAATGCTGAATGTGTTCACAATATTAAGAAGTGCCGATGTAGTGCCTGTTTCAGAATAAATGGGAATACTTGTGTTGCAGATAATGGACTTATTTGAAATCGTCGTATACCCGTGATACCCGATTATGGCTCTTAAAGAAAATTTTGATTTGTTCCTTCGGAAAAAGGAATTTAATGTTTTACAAAACATGTGATATTTGTAAAACAGAAGTCTTTATGATCTTGCTATTTTTGTCCTCATAAATAATTATATTCTTCATTAAAAGAGAATATCGAATAGTATGAAATGGCCTAGAGGAAGATAAAATTGATCCTTACGTACCGTACCGTTGGTACAAAAAGTATATCTATCAATGTATATGTAGGACAAGAGGTAAAAGAAAGTACAGATGTACGACAATTGCAAAAAAGGTAAATTATATAAATACCATTTCCTGTTTTCAATAAGTAAAACTTCTCAAGTCCTAAAATGTGGCTGATAATATACTTAACATTTTGTTTTATATTGATATTGTTGGTCAGCCTCACAGAGACAAAGGATAGCATGTGTTATTATTTATCGTATATCACTTTCATTGTTCCTTGTGCAGTTTTCTTCAAAAAAAAGAAAAACAATTTACAGCTTTTGTTTCAAATTGGCAATTTTTCATGCACTCATAAATTTTTATCAGTAAAAATAGTAAAAATGATGTTTGAAAAGTAGTCGGTTGCTAGAGGCGAAATTAAAAATAACTGGCTATTTATCTAGGAGAGCCTGATTGGTGATCGACCACCGAGATATAGCTGTTTTAGCAAAATGGGATACATAATGTCTCGATTCATGAATTCTTTAATTCTAAAAAATAATTAAGAATGTCGATGCAATCCTTAATCCCTGATATGACTCATCTTATGATCAATTCACTTTTTCACAATTTAACTTCTGCTTCTATCTTGTTCAATTGAATAAAGACACAAATATTAACATATTTTTACCAAGTCGAACGTTTGTAGAAAAAATATCGAACTAGAAGATATGAGACTTTTTGCATGGTCTGAGCAATACAATGATATTCTAACGAATTCCATTACAATGGAATTTACATAAGTTTTATTGAAATATTAAAGACAAACGCAGATCTTGTCATCTATGTCTGTTATCAGTTTATAATGCATATGCAATCAAAACCTTCATATTTTGTATTAACACCATAAATTGATTAATTTGAAAACATAAGTACAATACAAATAAGAAGTATCAAATACTCTGCTTCTTTTTCATTTCAATCATAACAAAGAACGAAATCCTCAAAACATCATTTTCTCATTGTCAAAGAATCAGGCAGCCAGGATTTTCAAAATGTGTTTTCATCTCCGCTCTCTCTCTTGGATCCTTCAAAATTTCAATCCAGTAATTACGACAAATTTCCTGCAAGTTTGTGAGTCTTTTCGAAATAAATATTTGATTTATAATGAACTTAATAAGCTTTTTTTTTAAATGTTCAAATCCTAGTTCACCTAGGCATTTCAGAATTCTTGTTATTCTGTTATGATTTTGCTCAGATCTGAAAATACAAAAGGAAAATCAATAGAGAACGAGAGTACTTATCATCATTACTATCATCAGCAATTAGCGTGACAAATATTATTGTATGCCTTGAGACTACTTTTACATTGGTTTTAATAAGAAACCAAATATTTTGGAAGGTATAATTATTCAAGTGATTGAATATTGTAATTTTAGAACAGCAAGAAATATTATTCTTATTAACGGATAATCATAATGGTAAGTCTGAATGTTATAATTTATTCTTTATCATATCAATTTTCTCATTAAATCATTTAGACCTCTAACAACATTTAGATTCCAAGAAATATTTTGTAGAATTTTGTAAGTATATCCAGTAAATTAATTTGAATCTTTTGTTGTATCAATATTTGATATACAAATTGAAATTGTGCTCAATGTAGACCAATCTACTTAAAAAAGAAAAAGCAGTCTTTACTATAGCAAGCAATTCGTTTTCATTACATTTGGGTTTTATATAAAAATTGCGACAAAACTATCCTCATTGTGATAGAATTCAAATGTGTTTTGTACGCATTTTGAACATTACTAGTATTAGTCAAAATATTTTGAAAAAGCAAAATAGCACTTGTTAAGATTTTCCATTCTTTCATCAAAGTTAAATGTGAACAAAATCGTTCCATCCTTTTCATCACTTAGTGTCATTCCGTAAAAATCTAACATCATCTTGTACGATAGTAAAAGTCTATCTTGCGCCTCCTTACGACCACGAATTTTCTGTAGTAAAATAAATTGGTTTTAATGGATGTCAATATAAAATGAGGTGATTCTTTTAATATAAAGTTTAAATGATCGTTCCTTACAAGAGTTTTGTTATATTCTTATCTTACTTCGTTACTTCCTCTGACCTGAAGCTGATATAAATGACAGGGCAACATTAAATATTTAGTTAAACTTCCAAATCAATGTTTTAAGGTCGATCATACTACTAGAACAGCCGCTTGTGTCACTGATATTTATCAAAAAAAGAAAGTAATGTTGGATTGAGGCGTTACCTTGTGGTAAAATCTATTTTCAAACATAAATATTTATATAAACCAACATTGCATACCTGTATTTCATGAGGAAAAAGTTCCTGGTATGGTCTGTCACAACATTTTCCCCTTATTGGAAACAACCTATTAGTATAAATAAATATATCTAAAAACTGTTCCTGCTCATTTATATAAAAAAAAAATAGCAGTACGAGTCGTGATTTTTCTTATTTTCCTCATGAACAATATTTTCATAGTATGTGATATAAAGTTCATACGTGTAAAAGAATAAAAATTGAAATATAGGTATATAGGTCCAAAATATGGGCGAAATAAACGCTACACCACTTTTATGCAGACTATTAAAAGAAAATGGACTATCACGTTTTGTGAGTAAAATAAGTCATACGAGTATTTGATAATTACGCGCTAACGGATTAACTTACCACTGCATATAGTTTCGATCTTCCTCTAATCTTTTATAATCACCCCACCATTCTTTATGAATAGTATCAATGTAATCACCTGTAACATAATAATGGTTTCAAGTATGTAATTTACAAAAATAGACTAATTCAACAAAAATTTGAAATGCATGTATATATATATTTTTTGTAATTTAATTCGATGTAGCTCCCCGTACCAAATAACAGCATGTTTTAGACGATGCTGACGCGTTGTTATATTTGTCTAGTCCTTAATGATTATCAATACGAGTCCTTTACATGTTAAGTTTTTAAATGTAATTATTTGAATCCTGTAAGACGATTTCATTAAATATAACTTCATTATTACTTAAAAGCAAACTTCATGAAAGAAAATTAATTTTGTATCAGTTAAAATTATATAAGACATAACATCAATGTAAGAAATGTTTTGCTTTTAAAATTTGGTATGAACATTAAATTGGTTCATATTAGATTCTGGTCGCTACGGTTTCAACGCAAAATGATGATAATACACATTCAATACAATGTGCAACGCTAAGCCTAACTGCTTTATAGTTTCTATGTTGCCTTTAGCATACGCTATTTCAATTCGTGACAAAAGACTATACAATTAATAACACTGACCCAATAATCAATGTAGAAGATTGGTACAATCTTCTCATGTGGACAGAAAGTAAAGTTGCATATAACCATTTTGTAAAGCAAAGTCTTCTGCTGAAGAGAAGCAATCTTAAAAAAATGTTTGAATACTAGTGTTTTTAGCAACCACGTGTCAACAAATGAAAATAATTACCATTAGGTCGTGAAGGAATCTCGTTCATGAAGAATTTGTAATTTTCGTCCAGATTAAGATCGTCTTCTTGCTCCTGACAAACATTTACATTATGTCATTTCAGAGTAACAATTTTGAGTGAGAGATTAAAAATACAATACTTGTATCAAAGTAGGTGGCATCAAATGTTATGAATTAGAATGAAATAAGTTTCAAATGTTTGGGTAATAAAGAAGTAATCGTTTTGAATAAAGGTAACACAAATTTCGTGATGAATAAGTCATCATAAGAGTTTATAATTTCTATTGATACTTACTAGGTGACATACATGTAGTAAAAAGAATAAGAATAAAATGAGCTTAAAATAGTTTGTAAACAACTAAGTAATTGTTTTCAATAAAAAAACAAATGAATGAGTCATTATTATTAAAATGCCGGGTTGCATATGTATACAAACTAACACTGCCACTGTCATGGCGTGAATACTCCCGCATACCACTTTGTCAGAATCAACAGTGGCCATGTAGAGCTCAAGGACAACTTCCCTGCCAAATCTGAGGTTACTAAGCCAGTGCATTGCTAAGTTATGTATTCTACATGCTTCAAATGTGAACATGTCAAAATCAATACACTGCGGACAGGCATTCTTAAGCAATTGAGGGGAAAAACATATATTTTTGTCAAGGTCCCTGTGACCTTTGACCCAGTGACCTAAAAATCAATAGGGGTCACCTTATGGTCATGATCAGCCTCCATACTAAATATGAAGACTGTGGGTCAAAGGAATCTTAAAGTTTTTTAACTTTATTAAATTCCTTATCCTAAACTAAAGTTTTGTGCAGCGAGTACTTAGTTATTCATTATATTAATTATGCATCAACACTGTTGTTAAAGCCTGGAGTAACATAAAATTACCACATTTATCTTACAAATGTAACATTTTTTTATCTTAATTTATTAACTATTTTTTCAATTCGTCAAAGTAAAAACTTTACAACTTCAAACACTGAATGCAAAGCTCGTGTTTATCATTAAATGAGCTTCTAAAATAGCTACATCAATACAAAACACAAGTAGTTTTTTAATTGTGATATGTTTTGAATAAATGAAAATTATTATTGAAAATGTGCATGCATTTTTCTATCCTTGTTGCATTTAATTTCAAAAGGTGATACCATTTACCTCTATATCTATTACTATATTTTCTTTTTCCAAGGATTTTACTTCATTTTGGAGATGTTCTATTGTTTTAGCCGATTCTTCTGAATCTTTCTTTAACCGAATTAACTGAACTTCCTGTTGGATGATATAAACATTTAGATGCTTGTTTGTCTGTTTCAAATGTATGTTATTGATGTATCAATAAACAGAGTAATAATCGTGAAGAGAACTTATATTTATCATCTAAGGAATTCATTGGGTTGAGAATATTTCATGAGTTTAGGCAGATAAGCTTCCAATTAAGTCTGCATATATTCCCACTTATTCTGGTTTTAAACAAACATGAAATTGTATGACGTACACAAATGCGAAGGTAATTTGCTAAATTCTACAAATCATAAATCATGCTCTTATTTATTAGAAGTTACAATATACAATGGACAATAAAACTTGAGTTCTGGCACCAAATTGTGCTAAAAGCAAATTATTAGCTATTTAATAGCTGTGTCATTGACGACTGTTCACGAGCATTGACATTGTACACATACAATTCTGAAAGTAAAAACAAAAATAGATGGATATTGAAGAACAGGTATGATTGATATATAATGAAAGCATAGGCTATCAAAAACATTTTTGATCTTGAAATAAGATTAACTTTAATATGATTCTGAATCATGTCATCGATATACCGAGTAAATAAAGTAATTGGAAAGTTTTATAGATGGTAGAGAATACTTTTAAATTCTTTGTTTTACTAGTCTATAAAATGGTCAAATGCAAATGGCATTTTATGTACACGCTAGATAAATATAATATTAACGTATTATCTATCCATAGTACAATCGTGTATTAAACTCTATAGGTTAATCGCTTTCTTTTACATATATCAGGACTTCTCACCTGTGATTTTTTACTTTCCAGTTCTTTGTTCAAACTGTTAATTCTGACTTCCATTTCTTCAGACTCCGGTCTTTTTATTACTACCTATAACAAAACAATATGTATGAATTCGTGTAAAGTATTTTAAAGAAATGTGACAAGAGTGTCATATCATGCGCGCGGATCCTCAAAAGTGTGATATCGCGAAGACTTTTTCAACTGTAATTTTGAACATAAACGAGTCATGTAAAGCAATTAGAAAAGATTTAAATTTAATTTCTTTTGCAAAGAAGATGTCCTTACTTCTAGTTTTAATATCTCAAATGCCTTTATTCAAGCTGTGTGAACCTTTCCGTAAAATTGACAATATCTCAATTTCTGTAACATTTTAACGCCGGGTGTATGCAGTATCCAGAATCAAAATCGCATTCAACGCGAAATACTGACGAGAAAGGCAAGACTTGTGTAAAGGCATTTGAAATATTAAAACTAAAAGTAAGAACATCTTCTTTGCAAAGGAAATTAAAGTAAATATATTCTGATTGCTATACATGACTCGTTTTCGTTCAAAATACCAGTAGAAAAAAAGTTTTCGCGGTATCAGAATTTTTGAGGATGCGCGCGCATGGTATGACCCTGTTGTATATGGGATAGCTGTTTTCTTAATGGTTTTATCCCAACAAATATCCTCTTAAAATACAAGCTTTGTTTTATTGTGTCTAAAGTATGTGAATTCTGTTGAGATGTGTAAATACAATATGCATTCAGAACTTCTGTTGAGGTGAAATTAATGTTATTCCATTGTTTTGTACCACAGATTAACACACTTCAGAATTGATCCTGAAACTGATCAATAATATGAACTGATTCTTTTTTCATTGTCATGATTGTCTAAGCCGAAATACCAGCCATAAAATCATGGGTTAAAATATATAAAAAATACATACTAGAAAAAGTTAAATATAATTTACATACTTCAACTTCTTGAAGAGTTTGTTTTGTATGTTGCTGGAGGACATCCAATTCTTTAAAGTCCTCGCTTTCTTCATCACACTCTGCTTTATCTAGTTCTATCGTTACACTCTTCTGTTCAAATACTTCTTTAATTTTTGACTTGTACTCGGCTTGTTTATATTCCAATCCCTTGTTTTCTGTTATCTATTTTAGAAAAAAAGGAAGAACTAAAATTACAGTGTAGTTAACATTCTCTCTTATAATTATGCAACTTGCCATGATTTATATTTCCAATGTTTTCTACGTAACAATGACTTGACAGGTTATGTAAGTTTGTGTTTTATTATTTCAAGAGCTAAAAGGAACATTGAATCCGATGTTTATTATAAACTGTAATATAGTAGGTTCAGTGTTGAAATTAATTTAAAATATAAGAATTTGGAATTAATTGTAAATTAGTAACACAATACGTATATAAAAATGCATGTGTTTTTAAAAAAATGCTATGCGATATCGGAATTAGTATTGAAATGATCGTGCTGGACAACATAGTATCTAAATATCAGATTATAAATAAACTTTGACATCATAAGAGCAATGGAAAGTCTAAAAAAAAGTCTAAATAACAGTTTCATTAAAATTTTTATCCTTAAGCTATAGAAAATTATATTCATACTTATATTTCAGATTACAAAATCACAAATATTGTCTAATTAATATGTTCAAGCAATTCTTGCTGCAAAAAAAATACATAAACCAACACTAGAAACATACCCCGAAACATCCAATACTTTCAAGCATATCTAGTAAACGTTTACTCGTGCGCAATTGTTCGTCATCCTCAATATTTTTATGTAGCTCATCGGCAAAAGTTTTCGCCTCTTTAACATTGGCTAGAATGTTTTTACTTTCTTCAGATTGATACTTTATAACAAAGTCTTTCTTTGCAATCTACAATTCAAACTATTTAATTACAATGTATAAGTTGTTCCATTCAGATATCATGCATTTAAAGTAAGATGCGTTTCTTTACAACATGTACAAACTACTTGATCTAAGAAACGTGGGAAGACATGCCCAACAGACAATGGTATTAATTTCTGAATGACAATTGCGGACACTTCAATGATATTTACCACTGAGGAAATAGTTCAATATGATTTGCAATCGTTTGTATACAAGTGCCATAAAATATATTTAACAGTTTTGGAATAAAAGCAAATATGGGAAGTTCGTAGTCAAGCGTGAAAACATTATATATAAATGAAAATAGACAGAAACGTTAGACTTTCAATTTACGGGGGTGTTCGAAATGTATTGCTTTATTTCTATCTGAAGACTTCAAATTTCAAGTTAGCTCAAAAGTGTTTATTTCATGCCCATGGCTAGAAATGCAAAATTTCAGCCGACGTATCTATTTCTTGAAGGCGTCACGGTAAGCTGATTGGGGTACAGTAATAAGATACTGATGAATGGCAAATCCAAGTGCCTGTCGGGACTTGAATTTCCACCAAGCAAGGAAGGATATCAATTTTGGAAACAAAAAAAATCACATGGGGCAATATCTGGAGAATACGGGGGTGAGGCAAAACAGTTACTTTTTCGGGTTTTTTTAAAAAACGCCGAAACTATTGCGGTGGTATGATCGGGGGCATTGTTATGTAGAATGCTTCTTCAAAATAAATGAACCGTTGATAGTGATATGCCTACCTTTTGTGTAATATCACGAACTGTAAATGTGGCATCTCCTTCAATGATATCCTTTATTTTGGAAACGATTTCGTTACGAGTAGCAGATTTTGACCTACCTGATTTTGGTGCATTTTTGATGCACTCTTCACCAGACTCAAATTTCTTTTTCCATCGCCTAACTGTGTCATAAGACACTCAAGAAGGCCCATAAGCAGTAGAGAGTTCAGTCATCAACTGCTTCAAAGAGCAACCCAGTTTTGAGCCTGCTTTGATGTAAGCCCGTATTTCATTTTTTTGTCGACGCTTCTACCAACCATTTTTACTACAGTGGTCAATGACTGCGTGAATTTAAATCGCAAATTGTATGTCTTACACTTCGTCTATCATGTACATTTATACACCGTTGTGTAGGTATCGTATTACCCTATACAGGTATGTATTAGTATTTATCGTGTCCGAAGATAGAGGACAATAAGCAATGCTTTTCGAACAGCCCTCGTATATATGTATATAGAGGATGTGTTTACTTTTTTGTTGATCTTGGTTTCCATCTTTGTATATGTAGGTAGCTTGACATAAAAAGTATACTCTCATAATTTAATATATGTGATCATACTTATAATGTCATGCAGGTGTGTTTAATGTAAGTAAACTGCATTTGAAACCCTACTTAAACACCGAGGTCTATGACTTATCGGGACAGTGTTAGAACCGTTTACATTTTGTACCACGTCAATTTCTGGTTTATGACTAACAAGTAATATTATGATAATTCTGTTCTTGTATGCTAAAACGAAACAAAATATCTCATACAATGTATATCAATATCAAAATATACTTACGTCTTCCAATCCCGCTATAGCATCCTTATAATATGTTTTCTCGGTTATATCTAGGCAATCCAAAAGCGCCTTTGTCCATTTCATCATTTCTTGAATTTCGTCTTCTTTCATCATGTTGTCAGGCGAGTGCATGAGCTTATTTCTCCATTCTAAAACCTGAGAAAAAAACCCATTTAAGATATCAACTTTTCAATTATTGGCATTAAAGAAATTAAATATAATGCATTATTTGCGGATATAATGTCAAAAAATGTCCAAGGCGACATTTTCTGTAAGCGAATAGGCCATCATATCCAATGGTTTATCAGTCCATTATTGTATAACAAGTTAAATGTTGATGCTGCACATCAAAGACGCCGCCAAACGATGTGAACAGTCTATCAGCATTGCAAATCGTTGTCTAATACAGTTGAATATCCGAAGCACAAATCAATTTTTTCTCCATTTTCTTGGTATGTGCTCGTTGTTTAATAATAAAGTTGCATATTTTTGTGATAAAGTAGAACCCAATGCATAAATTCATAAAAATAATACCAGGTCTGAAATTCTTTAATGTTTGTCTGTTGAAACGTCTGGTCGAATCAAAATAATTGGATAACAAATAAAATTGAAATGATTGGTATACTTAAAATAAATTCAAGACAATATGTGCCGAGAATATTCCCATTTAAATATTGGTACGAATTGCATAATGTTTGAATGATTTTGAGGACAAACTGTTCTGCAGTGATCTCCCCTTACAGGCTGTAGCGTAACCGGTTTGTTGTACTTTCTTAACGGTTGAGTGAGAACCGCCTCTCTGAAAGTGGGCGTGATTTAGGCTTTGTAACTTGTAATTTAACAATTCGACAAGTGATATTGATCAAAGCTGTCCTGGTTCCCTTCTACCCTGTCAAGGAAGACTACATGCTAACATATGGAGCATAATATCAAATTTAATATGACAATTTAAAGCGGAGCCGAACTTCAACAGAGGCGGATCAAATGAAGAAAGTGACAGTGCCTCAGTTGTCACCTCTCTCAACGGTTAAGCTTTAGAACGATCGACTATAGACTGGCTCATTGGCACGTTATTTATTAAGTAGATAAAATTAGATAATGATAAAAAGAATTTGATAATCGTTAAAGTTAATCGTTTATTCTAATCACTTAAAGCTCTGTGACATGTTGTACATCATAAAAGCTATTTTATTAGAAAATTTAAACAGTGTGATTTTGTTCAAATAAACAAAAAAGTACACAAAATCAAGTCTTAAATTTTACCCATTGCTATTTGGACAAATGCATATCTACTAGACGCCGCTTGTAAGCGGCGTCTAATTATAGAGATAGATTTAAACATTACAAGCAGTAAAGCGTAATAAGGAAAACCATTACAGCAAATTCGAATTTGGTCCTAAATTGCGGAAAAATACGAACGAAGCTCTATTGTATTTTCTGATCTTTGCAAAGTGAATCTTTTTTTCTAAATCGTACTGTATTTACTGTGTAAGGTTATCTGGATATACTATAATTCATCTTGCAGGACACCACGCATGCTGCGACTGCGTTAGGGCAAAGTCGGGCGAAAATTTTGCCGAATGTATTTTCACTTCGCCCTACTCGATTGGAAAAGATCAGAACCAAACAAAATATGTCTCTTTCAATACAGTTTTGGGAACATGACAAATGTTTATATAACAGAGAATGTATAGTTCCGGTACAAAAAAGTATAATCATTTAACATAGTACACTTCCAATTCAAAAATAGAACACTTTTACTAAAAAAGAAAAGCTTTATTTCAAATGTCTTTTTCTAAACTATGAAATGAAATATCGAGCCGGAATTAAGTCAAAGTTCGTCATTTATTTATAATTCTAAATCAATTTGGAAAAAAATATGGAGGTTGTCTCTTGTATTGATTTGAACAAGTATGTTCCAAATACGCACCTTCATGTATGTAAAACACAACATTTAGTATTAAACATTAGAACAAGCATGTAGAAAATATGAACGTCAATGCCGTGCATACGAGCATAGGAGACCAATAGGACTTTGTTTGAAAAGACTTTGTGAAATATGAGCTATATCGATTTAAAAATTTCATTTAAGTCTGTTATCTTACTAAACTTTACTGTAAGGATACTTTCCCCGACTTCCAGCTGTGACTTGCAGACTCTTGTTAAAATAAAAACAAAGCGACTAAAAAAACTACCAACATATTCACCAAGTGACCAACAGGTGTTACCTCTACCAAATATTCAGTTTTACTTTTGAATAGATCCGGTCAGATGTTATTTTTTGTGGATTATCTTTTAGTTTTTATTCTTTTGTTTTTTTTATTTTAGAAGTTTAATCATGGCGTAAAAAGCAGTAGATGATATTCGCCAGTGTCGATACGGACGCCGTTTCCGAACAGGATAAATCGGATTTATCAAATGAGAAAGGGAAACATTATTGTTCAAAACCACGTGCTTCAAAATTGAACTAGAACTAAAGGAGCTAGAAAAACACATTTCTGGCATGGAGTCGAATATGATTAGTACTCTTTCGCATATAATGCAAAGTTTGGGTAATTTACACAAGTCTGATGAGCATACTGGTAATTTTGTCATGCCGAGAGCTCATTTTAGACGGTCATGTATACGGGTGGTATTGCCACGCCAAGAGGTAGTCTGCTGCCAATTTCCCAGGATAAGCGTATGCCGTTGATAAGTTTGAATAATGGGATTGATCGGAGATAGTTCATGAAAAACCTACAGAACATGTTTGTATTTACATTATTGTTGTGCTTGTGGTATTTTTAGTTTCAACTTTTTGGCACTTTCTAGTTGGGTGGTTCCAATATTCCTACTTCAATAATGTTGAATCACCCTTAGGATATGTTGCCTGCTTTTTAAATTTGTCTTTTGACGTCCTATCTGTGATACGCAGGCTTCATAACCTCAGATCCCCTTTCAAAATTCCATTTTATTTAGTTCCGCCCATTGTTTTCTCGTTTAGGGCACACGCACTTTTTTACTTGGGGACCATATGCCGCTTTTCATGGAATGGCACTACCGTGTCACATTGAAGGTTCCATGATAACCGCCATATGAACACATCTGCGGATGTTTCAAAATTCTAAATTTTACAAGTTCATGTTAAATGTTGAATTCTGCTTAAGCCGGTGCTAGGGGCGTGGACGGTAACTTGCACTTTCCAGTACCGTCCATGAACAGGCTCAATCAAACCGAGCCTGCAACATTTTCAATTTTGCCGTGTTGGGCTTTCTTTAGGGATTCTGTATTTATCTATTTTATTCATTCATCCTTGTAATAAAGATGTGATGCATTTATATGGTTTAGAAAATAGTAATGCTCATTTGGACACTCATTCCGAACATTCTTCCCTTTCGAACAATTTGATGGGGATAGATACCATAGATTCCAAAACCCGGAGACAGCTAAATTGTAACATGAGTTATTTGGTGATTTTTTTTTCGGAAAATACTTCTTGTTCTGATAAAGGTTTTATTCTTGACAAATTAAAATGTTAAACAAATCCTGACGTGCTCAGACATCTGGACGAGTTTCAAGTTACACAAAAAGAATATAGAACATGTTTTTCAGTGAATGATAAAAATTCTGCCATGTTACAAGTACCTGGTTTAGATTACATTTGAGGGGCTATGCTAAAGAAGAGACATAGGTATTTTAAGCCTTGGGGTAAATCCATGTATCCTTTTACTCAGCCTTTGAAAACTATTGAATCTTTAGGAAATTATGGTATGTTAGCATCTAGAATGAACATTATTTTATGTGTTACCTACATCAGGGGTTATGTTCCCTCCTTAGATTATTACAAGATAATAATTTTGATCGTGCAGTGCCAAATGTTAAAGATTTGTTAGATATTTTGAATAAGGCATTGAATCAAATACTAAAGAAGGTTCTTTTAGCAGTTTCAGATACAGGTCTCAACACTTTGAGAGTTGCACATACAAAGTTTATGTTTTCACTTTATCATGTGATGCAGTATTTGGTCAAGTGCTGACAGACACATAAAAAGCTAGGGAAGAGCAAAAGGATCAACTTTCTGATATATTTCCAGAATGTTTAAATTTGAGCCCTAAAACGCATATTACCTGTTTCTTATACTAGAGTTTTGGATCCCTGTAACACCAAGTAATCTAGATATGACGTTGAGAGCAATAGATAAGATTCTCAGTACAGTTTTGACAGTACACAAACATCTTTTAGGGGTAAGAACTCTTAATCGGTCTACAATCGAGCTGGCTCCAGATACAACACAGACATGTCTATAAAGGGCAAGATTAGGGAGACTTTACTCCCAATTGTTCGTATCTTAAAGAAACAGTGACAAGGTAAGGAAAATTTTATCCTCATATCCCGGTAGGGGGTCGAATCAGATATTTCCTGCCAGCATGGCAAAATATAACCTCAGATCAATGGACTCTATCTAAAAGAATAGAAAGGGTACAAACTGGAATTTATTCAAAAACCCATCTTTTCCGGCATAATTAAAACGACGATTCCAAAGAAAAACGAAAATATTTCTATCGAAGATATTCACTCTCTTTTGGCAAAAAGATGCTATAGAAAAAGTAGAAACAAATCAGATACATCAAGGTTTTTTTACAGTACGTTATTTCTAGTGACCAAAAAGAATGGCAAGATGCGACCAGTTATAAAATTTACACCACTGAATCAATATCTCTCCAAAAATCATTTCAAAATAGATACATTTGCCAAGGTATTAAGTTTGACAAGACCAAACGATTGGGCAGTGTCCATAGATCTGAGCATCAAATACAAATTTTTCTACCTCACAGGAAATATCTGAGATTTTGTTTTCAAGGTCAATATTACCAATGGAAGGTAAAGTGCTTTAGACAAACGGATATTCACAAAATAAGTAAGTATTGTTAAGCCTATCTTCGGGGAATAAACATTCGGTTAGCTGTGTATCTAGACGACTTGTTGAATTTGAACCAAGAAAGAGAAAAATTATCAATAGGTTTCCATCAAACCAAAAGTATATTGATATCGCTAGGTTTAATGATAATAATTAAAAAATCCAGTCTTATTCCTCAAGAGACGTTTGTTTACATAGGAGCATGGTTTAAATTCGAGCAAGCATTAGCATGTCGAATTCAGAAAGGATTACAAA